CATTCTGGTTTTCTTTCCATGTAACCAATAATATCTTTTGTGAATGGGAAAGCTTTCCCAACGTTTCAGTCTTGCGTCATTTATGTCTGTAGTTGGTTTTTATTTGTCATGGAACATGTTTTTCAATACTAAACATTTTCATTTGGTACTGTCCATTTGAGTTTTCTTAAATATTCATCCCTTCTCAGTTCATTGTCTGCAAAGTAAGTTTTTATGACATTTTGCAAACTTTCGTTTGCAAGGTCATGTACAATAGGTTCTCTTCCTTCTCTCTCCCTAACTTTCTTTCTAAACTCTTCACCAAATATACCATCTCTATGGTTCTGTGTAGTTCTTTGAGATAAATGTTCTAGAACGTCAGGTGTTATATTTCCTCAGCCATGTTCATTTCATACTGGTCCAAAATATCTGCATCTTTCATATCTTTCAATGGCATTAAAGCCGCGCTGAAAAATCCAGTTATATCTGGTTCACCATTCAATTCCATTGCGTCTATAACTTCTTGGAATTGAGGTTGTAAGTTTATGAACCACTATCCGGATTAGCTTTATGACCCCATTTCATTGTAGTTCCATAGTCTGCAGAAACAAAAGTAGGTTTGTTTCCATATTGGTTAGGTTCTGAATGAACTTTAAACAATGTTTCATTTCTATATGTTTTGTTGAAATTTAACCTTTTATTTTCACCGAGTTCAGCCAAAGATTGAACGTTATAATGGTCGTAAGTAAAAAGGATTATTGTATTTGCGTACATTTTCTTTCAGTACTTCCATTCTATGCTGAATATTTTCATCTGATGTTGGAGTCTTTTGTATGTCGGTGAACATTTTTTCGATATTCTTCTACTATGTCAGCCGAATTTTTCTTAGACTCTTGGAAAGATTCCACATTCTCCGCATACACTTGTTGAGGGTCAAGATTTTTCGCTGTTCCAAATCTTCATCTAGTTCTGTGAAGTTAGTTTCCAAAGGAGGGACTTGTTCGTTTCTTCAGGCTCTTCTAGCTGTTGTTGCTGAACTATTTCTTCTATGTCTGGTTGTATCTGAACTTCTTCCTGTGGAGTTTCTTGTACCTCATCTGCTGGCATTTCATATATTCCGAGACCGTTTTTAACAAGTTCCCTATCTAAGTAATCCGGACTCATAAACCTTTCTTCTTTCGTTCCGTCTCTATTTTTTACGCGTTTCATGAAGAGAGTTGAATTATCATTTAGCTCTGACATCAAATATCTCGGAGTAAATTCATTCATGTCATTTGGATGATATGCTATTAAATCATATCCCTTAGCGAGCTTGTATTTTCCAGGTTTGAGATTATATCCGATTTTATGCTGAACCATAAAGCTAAATAGGTTCGGGTCAGTATTTCTTCCTTGAACTTTCTAATAGCTTCTTTATATCTGTCACTAAAGTCAAGAGTATCTGGGTAACCATAATCTTCCTTAAGCATTTTTAAGAATTCTTGGTTTCCTTTTTCTCTACTTCTTTATGTCCTTGCTCTGTTTGTGGTTGTTGTTGTGCAGGGTTTTGAACTGTTGGTTGCTGTGCTGGTTGTGGAGGTGGTTGTTGTGCTGGTTTTGGTTGTGGTGCAGGTGCTGGATTTTGAACTGTTGGTTGTTGTGCAGGGTTTTGAACTGTTGGTTTTGGTTGTTGTTGTGGTGCTGGATTTTGAACTGTTGGTTGTTGTGCTGGTTGTTGTTGTGGTGCATGCCTGTGTCTGTGTCCATGTGACGATGTAAATGTTTTAGGTAGTCCTGGTGCAGGTGCTTCTCTTGGAGGGTTTGGTGGTATATAAGTTCCACCAGCTGGCACATATGTTCCATCTGCAGCATAATGTCCTACCTGACTTTTCGTTTTTAAGAAAGCATTTACTAGGTCTGTTTTGGTCTGTTGTAACTCTTTTTCTTGACTTTCCACAACAGTTGCTCTAACGGCGTCATAGGCACTTTGAACTGCCTGTCTCGTTGCTGCATCTGTTATTTTCGTCATATTTTGTGCTACTTCTCTTAACTCGTTGTCGAAACCTTCAGACTTCAGTTTCTTTCCAGATGAGAAGTCGTTCACGTTTCACCTTACTATGAAGAGCTTCGAAGGCATTCTTAAAGTCAGCATTCATTAAAGCTTCATTTGAACTGTCTTCATCCGCTTGTATTTTGTCCTTATTGACCCTATAAGTTGGGCTGCTTTAGCGTTGGCTTGGGCATCTAACCAGTCATTATTAGCTTTTATAATATCTGCGCTTTTCTATGCCTTTTGCATGGCTGCGTCGTTATTTTTACTTTCTTGTGCTAAGTTTTCATACTGTACGGTTTGGTTTTGCAACTGTAAAAGTTTTTCTGCCTTTACATTTGCTTCAATTCTTTTTTATATACTCATCGCTATCCATATATGTCTTCATGGCTTTTTGTTTTATCTCTTCATCTTTCAGTATTTTATATTGAGTAGTATGGTTTTTCAAATTTATAACATCTTGTTCCATTTTTGCTACTTCTGCTGCTCTTTTCTGACACTTTTTTCGCATTTTCCTCTGTATTAGTTCTTTCAGTTGTTCTTCTTTCTTCTTTTTCTCTACGTTTAACTCATTGAGTTTCTTTGTGTGTCTGTCATATTCTAGTTTCTTTTCGTTTTCACTTATTTGTTTCTGTATGTCTATGTTTGACTTTTTGACATCTGTTATTTGATTTTTGAGTGAACTCAAATTCATTTGACTTTGAGGGTTATAAGCTGTTCCGTCTGCAGCTCCACATAGCCTGCATCATTTCTCTAAAAGTGCCGCTCTTAAACCTCCACTCTGTGCACCAATAACTCGGTTTAAAAGCATAGGGTTGCTTGACATTTGTTGCAACATAGTGGGGTCATTCATCATTTGTTGTTGCAACTGTTGTTGTGGTGTCATTTTTACTATTGGATGTTTCAATGCTCCCTTCCTCTTACGTATATTCTTACGTAGCTTACATGGCATTTTAAGTGAAGTTAAAAAGCGGTTTTTGACAGATGTTTATATGACACTTTTTGTTCAGCACAAAAAACTACTCGGTCAAAGTGTTGTCAGTTTTGTAAAATAACCGTCCTATCTTGTTTTAAAAGGGAGAAAAGGCTTCTCAAAGTATACTTCCTTGGAACGCCTGTAACTTTTCCTGTAGCGACGATAGACCCTTACTTGTCCGGACAAAGTTATACTATTTTGAGTGCTCTACAAAAAAGTCAACGGCGACGACTCTCAAAAACCGTTGTGTAAAAAGTTTTACCGTTGGACAAAAAAGTATATATAGAAAACAAAAAACGTTTATAGTTCATTCAATATTTGAGATAAACCGTTTTTCCAACGGTAACTATTAAATAAAATAAAAAAATAGAGGGTGTTACCGTTGACGAAAACGGTTCATCTCAAATATTTAAATATCTGTCTTTTTTGGTCAGTTCATTTTTATCTAATGAAAGCCCCACTCGCCACATCCTTTATAATGTTGAGAACTTTATACCAAGTTCGTCAAAATCTTCCTCGTTACATCCAACGGTCATTCGACACGAGAATTGCCGAATTCACACCAGAAGACTAACAATTTTCCGAATAAAAACTTCATTTATACTAAACATCTTCGGGGCTAGAGGGCGCAACGCGCCTGGAAGCCTTCCGAATAAAAACTTCATTTATACTAAACATCTTCGGGGCTAGAGGGCGCAACGCGCCTGGAAGCCCCACTACCTTTTTTTAAATATATTATTAAATATGAGAAAATCACTCAACAAAAAAACAATTCTTTCAAAAAGTTTAAAATTTATCTTTCTAATACATATTTTTGGAAGGGCGTAAGATACGCCAACTTAAATATATTATTAAATATGAGAAAATCGCTCAACAAAAAAAACAATTCTTTCAAAAAGTTTGACATTGATCTTTCTAATACATATCCTATGGAAGGAGTTTACATTCACAAAATAAAAACCAGTTCAAAATCTTATTACTCCTTGAATTAAAATCATTTAATTTCAAATCCATTCCAAATCCTTAAATCTGTATTAAAATCATTTTGCCAACAACCAACACAATACAAATTACATTTCCATATATCTTCTTGTCCATTTTAATTTTTTATCTCATTTTATTTAATTTTATTTAAAGCATATAGACATCGAGATCCTTTACACATAGTTATATAAAAGTCAAATACAATATAAATTCTTAATTCTAGAGATATCTCAAAATCTCAATTTTTTAATTTAAAATACCTTTCATTTTTCACAGTACTATCACAACAAACAAGCCATTTACTAATTAACACATATAAGAAAAATATCAAATTACAAAACAACTTTCAATATCATTCGCATCGAATTCTATTTTTTCATAATTATCAACTACATGTTATTATATAATATATGTCGGCGCATATTCCACTCTATACAAGTGTCAGACACACTCACACAAAGCTGTGAGATTCATACCTCTATCAGTAGGACTTCTCAAATCAAGAACACATATGTTTCACTATCGCACATCTGTGTAGGATCTAATTAACCCTTTGGACTGGTACTTCAAAATTTGATAATTTGATAATTTCATGTGATATCATCATTTGCCTTTAAAACAACTGTGCGTTAAACTAGACACGTTTCTCTATCATAATGCAAAATATCAAAGTTTGGGAGACTCCCAAAGTGTCTGAAACTGATCATAAGGGTGAAAAACCATTTTCCAGAAGTTGGGAACGTAGGGTATTTTAGATGTTATGCTTTGCCTTTAAAGCATATCTTTTATTATTATTAAATTATTTTATCTAAAATCGTTATTTTCCTAAATTTTTGTATTTATTTCTAAATAAATATTAATATTGACTATTAGAAGTTTAATTACAATCTCTAATCTTTTATTATGGTTAATTTAAAATGCCAATTCAAATTAAATTTGAATAGTGCTTGATAACTAAAAATAAAATCACCAATTATGCAAGATCCAAACATTTAATCATGGATAACTAATTAATATTAATAACAGATCCTTTTATATAAACTTTAAAATTTTAGTCGATTTAAGATTGCAAACTCGACTAAATACTCTGTTAAATGCTGAAGCTGTCAATCTTTCCATGCAAACATATGATCCTTTTGATTGGTCATAGTACTGGCATAATTTTGAATATTTTAATGCTGTTGCCCTCTTGAATGCAATACTGTTTCTATAGCAATGATCACGTATATATAACATAGCATCGAATGCAGTATGAAACTTTCCATAATTACTCTCAACAAGGTTGAATGGGATCAAAATATCTCGGGTAGTGTAATATTCGTGCGTTTTGAATGTAAATTTCAAACTGTTAATTGGTTTAAGCTTTTCTTCCTCCTTGACTTCATTTTTGTTTTCTACATTAATGCCATTAGAATTGATCATTAAAATGAATGAGGTTTACAATCCTAAATTGAATACTAAGACCAACCGAAAATCATATTTGAAAAAAATGTAATGGTAAAATAGTATATTACAAATCAACGATATATATCGAAGTTTTGAAATTTTGTGTGATCTGAAAAATTTTTGAAAGCATTTCCGAATAAAAGTTTACTTTTATTAATTATAAAGAATTAAGCAAAGAAAACTTTCAGATAAATTCCTTTGAAAAGTCCGCTTGAAAAAGTAAATCAATATAGATTAAAAATATTGCACATATTTTAACAATTGTAACTAAGCATTTTTTACTTTGAATAAATATTCGTTAATTTTTATGAATTATTTTTACTAAATATAATAACAAAAACTAAATACTTATAAAACAATAAATTTAATACAAAAGTGTATTTTGAAAACAACAAATTTTATCTAAACAAGTGTCGATATGGGATTTGTCCCCAACAAAAATACGAAAGAACAATTTCGAATTAATTTCATGCATTTTGACCAAATGTAATTATCATTTTCTTGATTCTAGTGAATGAAATATAATTCATTTTACAATATGAATGATTCAATGCAATACTGCTTGAACCTGTATTTTGTAATTAAACTATTGAATACCCCATTCAATTCTAAAATTCAAATCAGATTTTAAAGCTTAAAAGGCTTATTGATTCTCAACATAATCTTCCTTGAAATGATTAACTTTTATATTATATATTTTCAACAACAGTGTTCAGCAATAAAAAATTTAGCTCAAATTGTATTATCATGAAAGTTGCAAGAAAAAAATGATAAAGAAGGATCACAAACTTTCTAACTTAAGCATAAACTTATATCAACGCAATTTCAAATTTCAATATTTCTATCCTTTCTGAGTTCAACTTAATATCAATCACAAAATATTAACAGCAGTTATCTACTCTCTAAATTTGGAGAATTTATAAGGAAACGTAAATAGCAATTTTTTTGGTTGATGAAATTTGTGTCCACTTTTTTACGATAGAAAATTTTTGATGACAAAATCATTTTTATGATTGGGTCAAACGTTAAACCAGCCAATTCATATGAACTTGGACAGCTCTATGGCCAATTCTATACTCAATTGACTTTAAAAGTAAAACCGTCAATGGTTATGGACATTGTTGAAGAAATTTCGAAGAAAGTATGCGGATGTCATACTCTTTTTGACGGCAAAAACTACGTTTATACTGAAGAAAAGTGCAAAACATTTAGAATTCCCGATAATTTCCCTAATCTCGAAGAAACACATTTATTTGTTTCCAAAAACCATACATTACCAATGAATGATAGATTAGCATGCATATGCTATAACAATGACACAGTTGTTTTGCATGGATCTCATGCTTGCCACGACGGCGGATATCTAAAATGGGTTTTAGATTATTTGACAGGAAAACCAACACCTATTGATCCTTGTTTCAAGATACACGAGTCGCTTCCTGACTGTTTTGAGAAATATTTTGATAAAGTCTCCGGAAAAAGTTTGTTTTATTCAACACCAGTGAAAAGTTCCCCAAAACTGAAAGAAAACGTTAGTTCTATTTACAGATACATCGAATTCCCTCTTGAAAAGAAGATTAAAGGATTCACAGAACATCTTATGATGTCAACTTTGTTGACAACATCAATTTTGAATGAAAAATTATCGAGTTTTTCAATTCAATGCGCTTTTGATTCGAGAAGAGCACTTCCTTGTGCTGATTGGCGCCATGTTAACATGAATACATTAACTACTGTTGATGCACACATCGAAAATCCTGATAAGAACGTAACAATCGGTGATTTGAAGCGAAATTTGAGAAAAGATTTGGAAGAAAAGTTAACAAACGGAGAAATGTTCCGAATTGCTAGAGATTATAAGTATGGAACAATTGATTTCCCAAGTTATGCAACACAAAGTATTTCAAATATCGGAAATCTTCAAACAAATAATGAAATTTCTGATGCTTTGATATCAACATCGCTTCATGGACCAACATTTTATCCAGGTTGTGTTTCATTAGGAGTTGTAACTGTTAACAAATCAATTTTTAAGGGAAGATTCTTCACATCTCCTTACATAACATCATTTAGAGAAGCAGACAAACTTGCAAAATCATTAGAATTCGCTATCAAGAATATTGAAGATGAAATGTCTATTCAAGAAGCTTTCAAATTAACAAAGCAAATCTATTTAGAGTAAACTAAAGTTGCCTCAAAATCTCGATTGAAAGGCATTGAATTTAGTTTTGAGAAGACTTTTTTACATTTTGCGAATTATTAATTAGTATATCATTAAGATCATATTGTATTAAGTTATCAATTCTCTTAAATTTTGAAAGCTTAAGAAATTTAAAAGCACAAACAAATATATATTATTAAAATCATTGTATTGATCAATTTAAAAAATTTTGAAATTTTGAATTCGAATTTAAATGTAAGCTTTAATAGTTGTAACAGAATAGGAAGCATCACAGATGTCAATTTAGATTAATGAAAAGTTGAAATTTTTCCAATAAAATTTTATTAATGAAAAAAGATTCATGAAATACAATAATAGTAATATAGATATTTTATACAACATGTTATATAAGAGATCACTATAAATGGAATAGCTTTAAACAAAATAATCAAATCAAAATTTGTATTTGTAAACAGCAAGAGTGTTATATGCTAATATTATGTGTAACTACTCATTGGATAATGAATGCAATATAATACATTGATTTATTGGCTAAAGAAAAAAAATTATATCCTTCAATTTGGACAATCCGAAATTCTTCTCATTTTTTTGAATTGCATATATATGAATTTGCAATTGAGTGATATCAGCGAGAAACTTATATGCACGTTTAACTTTATCAGATTTCAAATGAAAACATGGATTTCATTGATTGTTTTTCAATACGAGCTCAACAAAAATGATACAAAGATGAATAAATAGTAGTGCCCCTAAAAACAAGGTAAAAAACAAAAAAATTAGCAACAATATACTTAATTTCGGCCAATATGGTGAAAAGTGAATATGTCAAAAACATCTACTCCATCATCTTGTTATCTGTACCTCACGACAGACGAATATAAAGAGATATCAATTTCCAAAATTTTACCAAAAAGAGATTAGGCCTAATTTTTACGGCCAATCTTTATTATTTGTTACACAGATGCTAGATCCACTACTCCCCAAAACAATTCATTTTTTGAATGGCCCTGTTTTTTAGGCCTTCATTTTATGAAAAATGCCAATATTATACGAATCTTAATATATTTATTTTTTTGTTCTCAATAAAGGTATTCAAAAGTCAATATAAACCATTCAAAATTGAGAGGAAACTCATTGAGAGGCTCGGAATTCGAGTAGTAAGGAAGGGTAAATTTTAAGAGCCAAAATTTCAAATCCCCTCAATATTTCAAAGCCCTTCTACTTAGATTTTGTGACTACCTTATATTATTTAAGAAATTAATACCTCTTTCTGACATACTCTCAGTTTTTTTTTTGGACAAATTTTTTAAGGGAAAAAGTTAAATTTTTTATTAGAAAAAAGTTATTACAAACCATTATTTAGTATCTAGTATGTTCACTTTGCTTTTTTTCCCATTAAAATAAAGATTTATTGATTTTGAGAGAGTATTTCAGAAAGGGTGTATTTCTATCGGAAGATCATATGATGAAATTATATATATACTTATGCGCAGAGTTAATATATTTTCATTAAAAGAGTGTAATATCCTTGGAAAAAGGGATATATGAGCTTTAAGATGACGAGATAAAAGCAGTATATTTTTGGTCTTTGAAAGAGATTTTTTCCCCTATTTCATTTCAAATTTAATAAATTTATCAATAATTTCAATTCACCACAGTATTCAAAATATAACATGGAATTGATTTTATGTCAAGAAATCAATTCAAAATATGATTGGTTTCTCTCAATTTCTGACAAAATGACAAAAATCATATTTTTTGATATAAAATATTATACTTATATACAAATCACTCATCTCTTATATTAAACTTGCTAAGATATAGTAAATATGTTACACAATGATTACATTCTAGTAGAAAATAAAGAACAATCAAGCTATGTTGAAAGAAATTCAGAAGGAGATTACTTTATCCATAATTCCAAGTTTAATAATCTTAGTAATCATGCAATTTTAGTCGTTCAACAAAGTTCATTTATAAAATGCAGCTTTTCTTCTTATCAAGGAGGATCCATATATTTTGGCACTAAAGGTGAGTGTGCATTATCTAAAGTATGCGCTACAGAGTCAAAAAATCAAGGTTTAAGTAATGGCGGAATTTTTAGTTATCAATATGTTTCTCAAGAAGATTCTGCAATAAATTCAATCGATTTAAGCACTATATTCAATTGTGGTATACCTGGTACCGGAAATAATGTGATTGGATTTGTCAATGGAAACATTACATTAAGTAATACTAATGAAAGCCAAAATCTTGCGGTCGTTGATCCTTTTTTTCAAATTGATAACGCAACATCATCACATATTAAATACTGCGAATTCGAAAATTCAACTACAACCAAACATACGATGGTATACCAATTATGCACAATTACTTTGAATAGTTGTAATATTGTAAAATGTAAACTGTCAAATATTGAAGGTGTTTTAGTTATAGTACAAACTTCAGTTATTTTAACAAATTGTGCAATTTTACAGCATCAAAGCAGCGCCTACTTTTGTATTGACTCTATATCTACTGCAACTTTAATAAAATGCGCAGTTGATTGTGATTCCTCAGGATTTACGGTGCTGGGAAATTCGCAAAACAATTATAATACTGTTCAAATTGGAAAATCTTCTTTTATCAACAACCCATCTTTATTAGAGTATAAGGTATGCTTAGGTGATGATTTCTATCAGAGCCAAACTAAAATTTGCATCACAGATAAATTTATTAATTTTAATAAACCGTATTTATCATTCATATTTGTTTTAATTGCTATCTCTGTTTAACTACAGAACATAAAAATGCTCTATATAATAATAGAGAAATATCTTCAAGTTAATATCAAAACTCATTATTAATTCCATTCTACACTAGAATGTAAACATATTTGTGATAATTTTTTAACATTCTTTTGCCATTAATTTGAAATCATGAAATTCCAATTTTCCATCCTGAGCAAGATTTTTAATTTACTCATTTGTCATAGAAGTACAATTACATTTATTCGAAAATAAACATAAATGAACGGAAATCGCATCAAAATTCAAATTAAATTTATTCGTTATTTTTCAAAATCGATATAAAATACAGAAAAATTGCTAGAAAACAATTATTTTCTTGTATAAAATAACAAAACATCAAGTTATATTGAGAGAAACTCGTCTGGTGAGTATTTCATCCACAATTCTGAGTTCAATAATCTCAACAATCGCGCAATTTGCATATCATCAGATTCACATCAGACAATATTATTCGTTCAACAAAGTTCTTTTACAAAATGTAGTTATTCCTCCAATCAAGGAGGATCTATTTATTTCGGCACCAAAGGTGCATGCGCATTATCAAAAGTATGCGCTACAGAATCGAAGAACCAAGGTACAGAAAACGGCGGTGTTTTCACGTACCAAATTGCTTCTAAAGGAGAACTTTTAATCAATCTAGTAGACTTAAGTACTATCTTCAATTGTGGCGTATCAGATATCGGAAATAACGTTATTGGACTTAATAACGGGAACATCACAATAAGTAATACAAATGAAAGTCGAAATCTTGCTCCATATGATCCTTTTTACGAAATTGATAATGCCACAACTTGCCAAATAAAATATTGCGAATTTGAGAATTCAACAGGAGAAAAGCATACAATTGCATACGGATCAACTTCTGCCACTTTCAATAGTTGTAATATTGTAAATTGTAAACTGACAAATCCCCAAGGAATTTTTTTCTTCTCCGGATCTACAATATTATTCCTAAATTGCGCTATATTACAACATGAAAGTCGATATTATTTTAATCTTAATCAAAAATCTTCTGTAACTTTAATAAATTGTTCAATCGATTGTGATTCATCAGCTTATGATACTGCTGGAAGCGGACCCAACATACATGATACTTCTAATGTAGGAAAATCTTCATTTGTCAATTATCCATCATTATTTGACTATCAGATATGCTTAAACAAAGATTTCTATAAATTTCAACATATTGATTGTAATTCAGTTAAATTTATTAATTATACTTTTATGAATGCACCTACGATGGCTGCTTTTGTTACAATAAATTCTTAAATTTATATTAATCCTCTAAATTTTTATAGTTCCAAGCACGAAAACGGTGTAAACAAAATTAGAAAGCTTTCTAATAATGCGCGAAAAGAACCATTTGGAATATATCTCATCATATTCATATCTTTGAAAATGGTTCATTATTGCTTTTTTCCAATATAAATAATGTTCAGAAGTCACTAATCACTTTCTGACATTCTCTTTTTTTACACATAAACTTATTATCCCCATTTTCGAAGGTAAAAAAGTTTTATAACTTCAAAGTATCTGATACGTTTGTTGTAAATTTTTGTTTGTTTGTTGTATATTTTTACAAAATTTTGGGAGCTCATGTCAGGAAGTAGTATGCACCCTTAAAAAAAGTAATTTCAATAATTTCAAATTTTTAGCTTATTAAGAAACTTGATAAAGCACCAATTATTTTATATTGATATTGAAAGCTACATGATCTAATATAGTGTGCTTTCAATATATCCGGCAACATAGCGAAGTAATAAATTATTTTATTAGATTCTCTTTGTTGCTCATCTCTTGCGAAAATTCTTAGTGTGTGAATTCCCGGACTAATCTTCTCAAGTTTCCTTATTGTACTAAATGAATACCAATCTACTTGGTTAATTGTTTGGGAGTAATGGTCTAAAATATTCTTATTATCGATTGATGTGTATATAGTTATGGTTGATGGGATTTCATAATCATGGAATATTCCTTTGATTTCAATGACATCATGATATGGGTAGTAATATGAGATATTGTTTTGTATGATGATATCAGGCGATGTATTACTAGTTACAGTGTATGATACTGACAAAATATTTGAGGAAATGTTATAGTCATCTACTGCAAAAACAGTTAATATGTGTTCAGAACCTATTTCATATGAAGGGATACCAAAAACTATTCGAGTCTTATTAAGTGTGTAATTGCAATCCTTTCGAATTATTTTGTAAACTATGTTTTCATCTTTCAGAGTAATATTAACAAAGCTATCATCATAAACTTCAACATCGATATATCCTAATTCTGTCTTGGCAAAATTAGCTTTCAGTTCTGTCAAAAGTCGGATTTGAGGTATAACATTGACAAGGATTTGGAAACTCAAAGTAGTTGTGGTTCCTGATTTAGATGTAACAGAATAGGTTAATGTCAAATAACCTGTTTTCGACGGAACACGAAATGAATCAGTAAAATTGAACTCTGAACCTGTATCAGGATGATCTCAAATAGTGACAGGATCGTTGCTATCTATTGTTCGGTTAATTCTGGCATTTTCTCCGACTGCTAACGAACTTAGAGTAAAAAGGAAGGAAACGGTCGAACTTGGATCATATGACTTCAAAAGAGGTGATTGCCTGATGAGGAGGTATCCAAGGAGGGTGATTCTTGCATAGCCATCTCCAAAACGGCCAATTGAGGTGGTTCCATTCGGGTTTATAATTGATTCGTTGCCAGGAATGGTCTTGGCAATGATGTCTTTAAAATCAAACACCTTTCCTATATATCCAGAACAACCTCCAGCACTTCCTCCATCGTTTCCTTTCAGAGCATACCCTCCATAGTACCCACCACCAGCACCAGCACAAGATCCTTCTGGTGTAGGTCCGCCTGGCTGTCCATTCAATTTTTGATAGCCAGATGTTTGGTTGGCAGAGTCTCCTACAAGACTTGGATATGCTTTTGGCCGGCCACCTTCAATTCCTCCTCCATATCCGGTTTCGATGTATTCAAAGAAATAAATATCAAGGCCATTACCTCCACCTCCACCAGCAACTATTACACGGTAATCAACTTCTTTATCTCCTACTCTGATGTCGGAAGAACCACCCCCAGCACCGCCATCATCATTATCACTAGTGTAAGGAGTAACATCACCACCTCCATTAAATCCACCACGGATTAATGAAGGGGGAGGGTATCTAGCATCTTCTCCTTTGGCACCAACAAAAACGTAGACTTTTGTCGGTTCTGATATTTTATAAACTCCGACAGAATACCCTCCAGTTCCTTTAGAGGGATACTGGACTTTATCAGCAGTACATCCACCACCTTGGGCTCCCCAGACCTCGAATTTGTACAACCCAGGTTGAAGAATGGATTCATAATATGTACAATCATAATTAGTGGAACAAGGATAACCGAACGAGGCAATGATACCATCACTATGATAATTCGATAAACTACCTATATTTCTCCCGAGTTTCCATGAATTCATGAATTACCATTAACCAATCCATTAGTTTCGGATGGCTTTTTAATTTTGAATTATTTTATCGTCCAAAATTTGATACAAAAATTTGACAGCTAAAAAACCATTCGGGATTCATTATTTTGTTTGAATTAAACATGTAAAACTACACATTTAAACAAGTAGTTTTAATTGCGAGTTTTCTTTTATTCCTATGTGGATTGTCTGCCCTTAAATTGATTAAAGATAAAAATTTACTTGATAAACATCATATTTTGCATCACAAATCACATCTTTGCTTGTTTCTCCAAATGACTTTGTTTCTGACAGAAATATAGGTAAATTTTGTAATTGATTGAGCTCATACAATTATTTAAAAGATCACGATTATTTTTGTTAGTAAACGTAACTTGAGACATGCATCGATTTATGAAGATATCTCCAGAAATAATAGAATTTAGGGATCTTGAAGACGGAGAATCTGATTCAATCGATGTTTCCATTACTAATATTTCTCGAAAAACTCTCAAAATACACTTCTCATTAACAAATGATTGTTTTTCGATTGAACAAAGTCCATATATTAGCATTACACCAGGCTTAACTATACAAAAAGAAGTTACTTATACCGCTTATAGCCAGAAAAAAGAAGAAGGAACTTTTTCAATAATCTCAAATGATGAAAAAATCGACATTCCAATAATTGCATATCCTCAAATGCCATCATTCGATATAAATATTAGAAATCTTGACCTAGGAAATCTCTCTCTTTCATCGAATCAAACGAGTTCATTTATTATAACAAATTTCGGCTCAATTTCAGGATTTTTCAAAATTGCTACAGAAAACAAGTACGCAGAAATCAAACCATCATCAGGAAATTTAGATCCAAATCAAAATCAAGTTATTCAAGTCGGATTTCGCCCTCCAACTACGGGACCTCATGAATTTGAAATAAAATTCGAATTGCCTAACTCATATAATACAATTCCTCCCCTTAAAGTTAAGGCTTTCATCGTAGGACAATCCTTAGAAATTTTTGATAACGGAATACAAACTTCTAAAATCAAATTTGGACATGCATTTTACGGTCAAAAGATCTCGAAATCAGTACATGTTAAAAATAATGGTCCTGTTCAACGAACATTTCAAATCTTACCAGCACATCACTTAACTGACGACAAATCCGAGTCATACTTCACTCCAGAGGAAAAAGAATACACATTAGAACCAAACGAAGACAAAGAAATCACTTTTTATTTTAATCCGCCAAATAATCCGATAAAAAACGACGAAATAGAAATAGAAATAGAGCAAATATCAACAATAGAGATAAACAATACAAATATATCATTCGAAATCATATTTACAGGTTCAACTTCACAATTTTTATGTTCAATTTCACCTGTTGACTTTTCATTTGGAAAACAACTCATTAGAAGTCAAACAACGAAAACATTAGATATCAGAAACTCTTCAAAACATCCAATTTCATTTTGTATCAAAGAAATTGCAGGAATTCATTTTTCTCCTTCACAAGGCATCATAAAACAAAATTCTTTAAGGCAAATAGATGTAATCTTCAAGCCGAACTCATTAGGATTATTTGATTCCCCTGTTTTAGTTTCATTTTGTGATGGATTCATCAAGAAAAAACTGAATATTTCAGGAGAAAGTGTCACTTCTTTAAATGATGAAACAAAATTCAGTAGAAAGAAGATTTGGGAGACAAATCAAGAGGCAATGATGAACTTGAAATATCCAAACAACCCGTATTGTATGACACAATCTGATATGGAAATCAAAGAGAAATTAAATGCAACTTTTCGTGATTATATTTCTACAACAAAAAATTCTCAAAATTTGACACTAAAAAGTGACAAAAATAATAAAGAAAATGATATTAATTTAGGATTTAATTATGGTGAAGGCTTGATCCCTCCTGAACCTACAATGAAGAATATTAAAACGAAAACAGAAAATAAGACAGAAAATATAAAAATTCAACCAAAAAATACTCAAAAATCAAAAATAAAACAAAAACCAACAACAAAACTCGAAATACAAGAATGCAGTAAACAATTGACACAGAAACAATTATCCAGTGTTATCTCGTCTGCTGAATCTATTGATTTCGGAGTAGTTCCTATTTATGGACAAATGACAAAACAATTTACAATTCAAAATAATTTGAATCAACATATTTTTGTCACTTTTTCAAAATTTTCAAATGAATTTTCTAAGTCAACTCCGCAATCACAAGTTGTTTTTCCTCAACAGACAGCTAGTTTTGATTTAACTGTTGAAGGCATGAATATATGTGAAATAAATCAATTTCTTAAATATACAATAAATGGTTCTCATGATTATATAATTTCTTGTCGAGCAAAAATCATTCCTCTTGAAATTAAATTGTCAACAAAAGAGATTATGTTCAAATATCATGAAGAACAAGAAGAACAGACAATAACTAAACAAATAACAGTAACTAATCCTACATCAGCAAGAGCAAATTTGAGTTGGACAGGTTTTAATGATAATTTTTCAATAAAACCAATGAATTGTAGTGTCCAATCAAATAAAGAACAAATTTTCGATGTAACTTATAAACCAAATCATGAGAATCATAGTGAAGTTAGAGTAATACTTAATGTACAAGGCGGACAGCAGCAATACGTGAGATTAATTGGAGAAACAGGAAATACTGCAATAGAAATCGAAAAAAATTCATTGGATTTCAAAATTATTCCTGTTGGAATTTCGAGAATTCAATATTTTATGGTGAAAAGTGTTGGAGAATTTCCAAGTTTCTTTAGTGTTTATTCGAATTATGCTGATTTCATACAGATTAATCCTACAAATGGAATTTTGTATCCAGGAGAATTTTTGAATTTGGAAGTTGAAGTTTTATGTCAAAAAGAATTGAATTTTGATATTCCTGTAACAATAAAAACATGTGGATATCAACCTTTGACATTTAATGTTACAGGTGTTGCTCAATATCCTACTTTAGTTATTGATTGCCATGAAAACAATTTGAATTTCGGAGAAGTTTTCGTTGGATCAAGTGAAAGTCGAAAAATCACTGCTACAAACAAAAGTAATGTTCCTGCAACGGTTTTCATTAAATTTGAAGAAAAGACATGTTTCAAATTAGAATATTCTTCTATTTATGATGTCTCAAGTTTATCAAGAATTTCAAGAGGATCAAAAGTATTTAAAAGTGATAATAGTTTGCAAATTGCTAGGTCAACAATCCAACAAATTGATAATGATTATCAAATTGATGTTTTACCAAACTCTTCAGTTGAATTCGAAATTGTTTTCAAACCTTCACAAAGTGGTGATTTTTCCTTCAAAAAATTGCCATTTTATTCTGACAATATTAAAATCAATTTTACAAGGCCATTGAATTTGTTTGCTGTTGGAAGAATCCCTCCTATTGAAGTATCCGATCAATGGTTAGATTTTGGTATTGTTAACATTGCTGACCAATTAAATCCAAACGCAAGACCAACAGTTAGACAATTAATTTTAGAAAATAAATCTCATAAACCTGTCAAATTTAAATTTGACACTTCTAAGTTGAATAGTTCGATTTCTGTTGAACCAAGTGAAGGACAAATCAACTATTCAAGTACATCAACAGTTTTCGTTATCTTCAAACCAACATCTGGTAATTTTATTGATTGTTTTCTTCCTTTAACAGCAATTACTGAAACAGAAAAATTTGAAATTGCAAAGATACAATTGACAGGAATTATTGAACAAAAACAAATCAAACTATCACAAGAAAACTTGTGTTTCCCTATTGTCCCTATCAATATTCCTATTTCTAGAACTATTTATGTTGAAAACATCATGTTTGTCAATGCAACAATTAACGTTATTGTTCCTTTGAATGAAAAATCATTTCCTTTGACGTTTGAATTACCAGAAGGAAACGAAATCAATCATCAAATCACTAAATTACCAATAACATTCACATTTAACTCTCCAAAGCCTATTTCCTTCAGTTCACAAATAGCTGTTGTTGATAATTTAGGAGATTCTTGTACATTTACTATTTCAGCAACTGCTGATTCTTCTGTTATGACTCTTGATAGTTTTTTGATGAATAATGATTGTAACATTTTAGTTGCTCATAACAAACCTGTTATTATATCTTTGAAATCAAAGAATGTAATGAATGATTATATTAGTTATATTTCGGAACTTATTGATATTGGTGATTATGAATACAATCACAAAATTCTTGATGAACAATTATATGATTTTTTGACAAAATTTTTGAATTCTTATGTCATGGAAACAAAAATTGAAGATATTGCAACAGATTTTAGTAATTCAGATGGCGACAAACTTGTTGAAGTGTTGAATTCATTAACAGGAAATAAGAAACCACCAAATCTTTCTTCAATTGAAAAAATGAAAAGTGAAAGTGAAGAAATCAAACTTCAAAAGATGAAATCTTTGCTACAATTGTTGATATCAATGGGATGCTTAGTATCAAGAATTAATCCTTTGTTTTTGATGTCAAAAACAACATATTTGAGTATAATGAAACAAAAAATCACAAAAATGTTGTTGGCTGATTCTTCCGAATTTGATAAAGAAAAATGGAGAGAAACTCCAATGACAAAGTTCGTGAACTCAGAGCATTTCCAGTCCAAAATAATTCCAAGAATAACAAAAGCTAAAAATGCTTTTAATTATATCTCAAAAGTTTGTTGGTCGGAAGTTATTTTACAAGTTTTGAAAGTTTTTTATTTAGGAAAAAGTGACGGAGAAAACATTACACAAATAAATGGAGTTGTAGAAGCAATGAGGACAACAGGAATCCAGAACATTGATAAACTAAATAAAACATCAACTCTTCAATCGAATTACATGACAACAATCGAATCAAATTTGATGAAATGGGTTTCAATTCATATTTGTAAAATGCTTGGTCCAGAGAATCTTCCTGTTTTGTTTAGTGATTTAAGAGATCCGAAATACTTTGCGAATTTGATTTTTTCTCATATTCCTAATGCAAAATTAAACTTGATAATTCAACCATCAAATGAACGTGATTTATTGGAAAACGCAAAAGAAGTTGCAAAATATATTTCTGATCTAGGAATTGGTATAAATATCAAAGGAGAAGACATCATTAAAGGATCACCAATTATTTTGTGTTTGTTGTTATTCCAACTTAAAGAGAGTTTACCACATTATATTCCTAATACAACAATCGAATTCAACTGTTATTTGAACGAGAGTTGTAAAGAAAGTCTTCAAATACATAATCCGGGAAACGTTGAAATATTATACAAGGCAAGAATCAATGGTTCTAAGAACTTCACAACAACAAATGAAATCATTTGTGTTAAACCAAATTCTTCTACAGAAATAACTGTAAATTATAATGCGAAGACACATCATGAAGAAAAAGCAGTTTTGGAATTAGTTCCTACAAGAAACAAAGTTTCAGAACCAAAAACAGACAAAGCAACTTCATCGAGAAGATATATGAGATCAAATAAATCATTTTCATCAAGTAAATCATTGAATAGTACTGATGAAAATAAACAATTTTCATTGGCATCAACAATTGTAATGAACTTAAAATCAATTCCAAAAATTAAAATTCCTAATGACATTTTTAATGTCGAAGGAAAAATTTATGAATTATCAAAACAATCTCTTGTTATTCCTAATCTTTGTGAAGTAGAAGGAACTTATAAGTTTTATAGTTACATGATGAGAATTGAAGATGAATTCGGAAATAGTTTCACAAATAGAAAAGAAGATGAAAGAATTATTGAAGAATTCTTTTCAAATCCAACGAAAACAAGAGAAATTGATCCTAATTTACCTGTTTTAGAACAACAAATAGCAAGTCATCCTTATTTCATGTTCAAAACAGATGAAGTTATTTTTTCAAAAGAAAATGGAACAATTAATTTTGAATTTTATCCAGTTTGTTTAGGCAAATACAGATGTTATTTGTTGTTTAGTTCAAAAGACAATTGTGAATTCCTTGTTGAAATACAAGGAAAAGTTTCATTGAATGATCAAATTGATAATTTCATCAATCTCAAAACAGAATCAGGAGTTTTAACCAAATTTAAAGTTCCTATTGAGTCACAAAACAACAAACTCATTAATGCTCTTTCTTATGGAATTGCTCGTAAACAAAGTAAGAACCAAAAAATATCTGATATCAAATTAAGTGAACTTACGAATTCCATTTCGAAAGAAGTTCTTAGTAATTACATGAATCTTTTTTTTGATTCAACATTCCATATCATTCGTTCTTTAGATAATGTTGAATGTCCAAAAGAATACAAATACAGTGCATTATCTCCATATATTGAATGCAATTTTTCATGTGAAAAAGCTGGTCAGTATTCCAGTAAATTTGTTTTCATCAACAAAGAATCATATGATGTTCGCGTCTGCAAAGTTGATTTTAATGTTATTAATCATACTCATAGTATGTTTATTAACATTGATACAACATGTGGAAGACAAGTAAAACAAGATATTCCTATTGAAAATCGTTCACAAAACACTTGGCATTTCAAAGCATCATTTTCACCAAAAACTGATTTGTTTTCTTGTGATCATAAATTTGAAGTTAAACCTAACTCAACATACAACTTTCCATTTAAGTTTATCTCTCAGAAGACTGGTGAATACACAAGCCAACTTAAAATCATTAATATCACCAAAGAAAAAACAGTAATTTTTAATATCAAATGCAATGTAATTGAACCACTTTCAGAAGATAAAATCAACATCAAAACACGTGCAAGAGAGAAAACGCAACATTCTATTTCTATTCCAAGATTCATTGATGAAGGAATTTTAGCAGTTGAAAGCGATCTTTCCATTCTTTCTTTTAATAATAGTGTTGAAATCAAAAAGAATCAGGAAATACAACCATTTGTTATTGATATTTATAGTCCAATTATAGGAGAATACAGAGGAACTCTTACTTTTCGTGATAAGAAGAGTGATCTTTATTTTTGGTATATAATTGAAGTTTTTGTTGATAATCCTGTTCCAACACAAGAATACGTTGTTTCTATTAAAGAACGAGAAAAAGTTTCCATTTTCATTCCTCTTACTAATTCATCTGATCATAATGTTTCTTTCCATGTAAATAGATCAGATGATTTCATCTTTGGTGAAGATGATTTTTCTGTTGATGCAAAATCAACGAAAAGTTACGAACTGACTGTTTTCTCATTTGTTTCATTCCACAAAGTTTGTTGTGTTACATTTACAAATGATGATGTTGGAACATTTATTTTCAACATTGTAATAACAGTTGATAAACCTGATGAAATTATTTTGTCTCCTTTGGTTTCATTCCTTGGTCGATCATCAAAAACATATGTGCAATTATACAACAACTCGGATTCACAGTGTACATTTAAAGTTAAAAATACAATTCCAGAGTCATTCCATGTTATTTGTGATGATAATATCTCTGTTGAATCACATCAATCAAAAACTGTTGAAATCGAATATATTCCAACATGTATTGGCCAACAAGAAGAATGTTTAATTTCTTTTGAATCAGAAGAAGTTGGTGATTATATTTATAGAGTTAGAGGAATTGGAAAACCTCCACAACCAGAATCTCCTTATCTTGTTGAAAGTCCTATCAACATAATGAGTAGTGGATGTATCTATTTCATGAATCCATTCCCTGGTGAAACAACATTTGAGTTTAATATCTTTAGTGATACAGCAGGCGTTTTCAATCTTTTGAATCGGAAACATCGTTTCGTTCTTCATGAATATCATGAACAATATCAAATCAGTTTCAGTTTCATTTGCAGTAAATTTGGTCAATACACAGGTTCTATCATTGTTTCTGCTGTTGATCGAAATATTTCATTCCATTTCCCATTGATAGGTATTAGCACAACATCAATTGTTAGTTCTAAATACAGTATACATACACAATCAAAAGTTTCAGTTACAAAAAGATTCAGATTTTTCTTGGCCGGTGAAAATGAAGACAATGAACTTTCTGAATATAACATTGAAACTATTTTTAATCGAGAATATTCATGGCTTTACAAATACTTTGAAGTCCATGTATTCGATAAAATCAAAGAAGCTGAAGGATATTATATTGATGTTGATATCAGATTCAGTCCAAGAAAACCTCTTGAAACAGATGTCAAACTTATTGTTTCAAATTCACTTGGCCAGAAATGGGATTTCAGTATTTTCTGTAAGTCAATTGAAGGAATCATTGAAGGCCATATTTATTTAGAAAGCAAGATTAATAGTAGCAGTTTCAAAGAAGTCAGTATTTCTGAGAAATTCCAAGAAGATACAACATTTTCAGCATATTTCAAAGAAGGTTCATCAAGAGATTTAGAAGTTACTCGAGATAGAGGAATTATTGCAGAATCAATTTTCTTATCTGAAAGCTTTGTTCCAACAGAAGTTGTCTTCCATCCAAAGATCTACGGAAAGAAAACAAAAGGAATCCTTGTTATTGATACAGACGAAACACAAAGTCTTGTTGAAGTTACTGGTAACATTCCAGAATACATTCCTCCAAAAGTCACTCGAAGTTCATATAGTTTCAGCAAAACTAAAGAATCAGAAACAAATCGTTCTCTTCGTCGCAAACACAAGAATGTTATTCGAGAGAATATTGATTCTGTAAAGATCACCAAACCACTCTCAGCTAGGCGTCGCAATTTCATAGATTGAATTTTATTGTTATATTTTTGTTATTTGAATAAATGTTTGTTTATTTTTTTTTAAAGGATGCGAACAATGTATATCATTAACTTGTACAACCATGAACATTTAGATTCGATGAACTAACAATCCAATTATAGAGGTACATTCTTAAACCAAAAAAGTATAATGATGGACTATGATTTTTTTAAGAATTGATTGGTTTCCAGTGGGGCAAAACGAAATCTATAGTTAAAGAGCAAATCCGATCTGGCACGGCCATTGTCTAATTATTTTAAATCTATACCATATACCATAGTATATCTCCAAGATGAAGACTATTACATAACATTCAATTTTTGAAGAGTAATTTGAAAGTTCCATGGAACATTCAAAAACTTATTGGCTCTAGATTGATACTTTAAAATTTTTCATCTCTTACATCCTAAAATCTAAAAATAATAATCTATAAATTTATTTATTAACAGCACATAATCCTTTCCATTCATTAAATAATTTACGGTTTCTATTAATCTGGTGTACAATTGGGATAAGTTTTCCTGTCTTCTGACATCTATACTGTCCCAATGGAGCATCTTTATATCTCTTCCCTTTTTTATCAGGCATCCAATAAGCGATTGATCTCATTCCATCATTTACTTCCCAATAAAAACCAGATTTTTTAGGTATATCTGATTGAAGAATCACATCCATCACAGCTTGATCAGGGACGGCGTTTTCACCAACTCGATAATAACCAGAAACAAGTTTCATGAAATTTGTAACTGTTTCGAGTTTTCCTCCAAAAACACCAGAACATATCATTGAGCCACTCTTGAAGTAACTCATTCTAAACCCAAAAAGACCAGGAATCCATAAATGATACCATTTGACCTTTTTGTACTTTACGTCTTGATCACTAACTTGAAGTTTTTTATTATTGAAATCAAATGGATCAAGTTGGAATATTGTATCCATGGAATCAACATATATAACTCTATCAATTTGATCACTAACTAATGAGATGGCTCGTGACATCACAGGAAATCGAGAATACTGTGAATGAAAACCATCTGTGTGTGGTTTAATTTCTGCAGGAATTATATAGATTCCGCGGTTTTTGTGGCGTTCGTCTATATCGAAATCACTGAAAATAAAGATCTTCCCTTTGAAGCCAGCCGTGTGAGCAGTTAAAGCAGATTCGTATTGGACAGGTCTGTTGAAATACGCCATGAAAATAGCATCTTTTTCTGTAGATCTGTTATTATAAATTATTGGCGGAGTGTAATTGCATAGAATACATTTGGAATAGTCTAGTTTGGATTCTAGTGCATCTTTGAATACCTTTTCATCAAATTTTGCCCAAGATGAATAATTTTTTAATTCAAAAATTTTTGACAGAAAAGATTTTTCATTGACGTAGTTCGGCTTGCATGCGTTTATGTGTATATCGTTAGTATTAAATAATTTAATTAAAATTGGTATCAGAGCGATCAAAAAATTGAGATGATCAACTTTAAAATAAATTGATGCCGTAGCTATGGAAATGATTAGCAATATAATTTCGTAGATATGGGTAATATTAGTTGTATCGAGAATATCTCTTATTTCTATTGAGTCAATCCAAAATTTTGTATTTAATGCTTCGTTTTTATAATAAATCGTAGGATATATCACATCTTCTGAATCCCAATCTGTAATTAAGTTAAATGTATATCGCCCTGGTTTAAATCCGGTGAATGTGTGTGTTTTTGTATCAATGTATCTCGTAGTATTTAAATTGGAAGGTCGATCATCAACAAAGACGTTGAAGAATCTGTCTGTTCGATAAAAGTTTGGTGTGAAACATATAAAATCGATATCTAGTAATGTTGGAATAGTAATTTCGAAAACTTGATTGAGAAAGCTATTAATATTAGAAGAATTCATTACAGCTCTGTTTTCAATCGTTACTATTCCATTGCAATATGTGTACTTATGAAAAAAGGAAAGAAAAAGCATGAGTTCAATATTTTGAATTTCTTTGTAGTCATTTTGTATTGAATTTTTAAAATAGAAATATTATCATATTTTATCTCTAATCTAGAAATGCATTCATCGTTTGAATTATTTTATTTGGAAAAATGGGAGAACTGGAGTGTCTCAATTTCTATCGTTCTGATTTGTAAACCTTTTTACAAAAATTCGACCTGGGCAAAGTTCGATCAAGGGAAAACAAAATCTATTAGATTTCCATAAAATTTATACCAGCAATATTATTTATCACAAAGCGAAGTTTGTTGTATTAGTTGTTACAGCTCATTCTATTCTACATTAACTTATAATATTTAGCAATTAAAGTCAACATGCTTATTTTCATGTTCAACAATATGCATTCGCTCATGTATAAAGAAATATTAAGGGATTCATCATGTATTTAACTTTTCAGGATGAAATATCAAAATCTCATATTCAAACATTTTTTTATCCCAATAAATACTTTTATTCAAAACATGTAATGATTCCAGTCTGTTTTCTTAGTCACATTCAACAGAATTTTTGAATTTTTTTACGATCAATTTTCAATTTTGAAACAAGTGTTTTTCCTCCAAAAATTTGAATTTTAGACCTCAAATTATACAGAAGAGCTATACACAACATGTAACGTTGGATATTTAACTAATAGTTCGATTAACATCATTCAAAAAATAATTGAATTCGCAAATCAGTGACTGATTGCAAAAGTTACCATAAAACTATATTACTTTGTCATATCAAATTACTGTCACCATTAGTTCAATTCTAATCTTTATTTTCAATCTTATTCTTCGATATAATTTTACTTTCAAGTGAATAAAGTTATTAGGTATGCTACGACGAGCAAATATGCACATCGTGCTAACTATAAATAGCATGTTAATGATTGTATCATGAAAAAATGTTGGTCATTATTGCGTATACTTTATTATCATGGGAATATTTTGAGTAATTTGATCAAAGAATCATACTTATCTTTATTTATCTTAATAAAATAGCTTTCGCATTCTTTTTGTAAAGTTTACATTTTTCAGATTTAAAAAAAATATAATATAAGATATTTTTAAATAACGCATTATTGAATGATCAGATATTTGAAAAATTGAGATACCTTTTCACTTTTTGATTTTTTTTTCAAAGTGGGAAATTTCGAAGGTTGATGGTAGATGATTTAAAGAAGTATTACAATATAACCAAAGCTAATATTAATACAATAGACAACAACACATTTGGAATATATATCAGCCTTATTGATTCTTTTGTATCTTCTTTCATCCCACCAAATTCCAAACGTAGTTTTTTCTCATCAGCCAAAAAGAATCTCATTGACTATATCAGTATACTCAAATCACTCACAAAATCGAATTCCAATACAGTTTTTGGCAATTTTATGTTACTTGAATCTTTATTCAGTAAGTTACTCAATCCATTCAACGATTTTGAAATTATACAAGAGTCCTGGAAAACTTTGCTCATATTAATTTCAGTAATGTACAATGAATGCCCACTTGAAAATTACAAAACCCTTTTTACTTCTTTATTTCTTACTACTACAGATTTAGAAAGCCATCGTATTAATCTTGGATCAAAATCTATTAGCATTTCCGAAGTTTTCACTTTTGAAATTAATTATTTTCACGAATTTATTTTACCTCAAAAAGAGTTAGCCGTTTACTTTTATTTTTGGCGTGTTTTTGGTCGCTCATTGATGCCAATAATTATAGAGCTTAAATCATCAGATGACAATCTATCACAATCATTAATTATTACCACATTAACTTACTTAAATAAATATTTTGTTTTGAATACAAATATGTTTTCTCATATTGGACGAATTCAAGTTGGAAGAAATGAACATATTTATGATACAATATTGACACAAAATATTTTAGAATTTATCAATATCATTTTAAATTCATTTACTATTACACACAACGAAGAAAATCTTAATCTTATCATTGATCTTTACATTCATCTTTTTCCTTTTGTCAAAGCAAAATCAGTTTTTAAATTTGATGTTGATTCATGTGACGAATCAGAACTTTTTAATTATATTTCAGGTGAAAATGAACGAATTTCATTCACACTTGATCACTTTGTTCAATGCAACAACTTCGATTTTGTCATCACAATCATCCAACATCTTATGACTATTCTTGGTCATATTTCTCGAAATCATCCACAATATATCGATCTTTGTCTTATCTGCAAAACATTGACATCACGATTCATCTTCCGTCTTCCTGTTTTACGTAAAGACGAATTCTTTCCAAGTCAAATCACAGACATCATTGATCAAAGTTCTCTTTGTCCATTCTTTTGCTTTTTTCTTAGTGTTTTATATGAAGTTGGTCATTTCCACAAAGATTATAACTACAGCATTGCATTTCTATCACAACACTTTGTTGATTACTACATTTACATATATTTAGTTTGTAAGTTCACCGCGCAAATCACAGTTTCTAGTTTTGCATGTCTTTTTGATATCGAATCAAACACAGAAATTAAAAGTCTTCTTAGTAATCCAGTTATTTACGAAACAGAGAAACTTAAAACGAAAACATTATCAGAAATCGAATCACATGTTTGTGAGAGTATCCATGATTTTTATTATTTGCAACCATCTTCTTTTGATAATTCAGATTTCATTCTTGATTTTTTGAATTTTTTTGGTCCATCAGTTCGATATCTTTCTAGCTGTGTTTGTTGTGAAACCATCTTAGAATTATTATCTATAATGAAAAAATACAAGAAAAATATTTATAAAAGTCAGAAAAACTTTATTGAAAAACTATTTCATCATTTGCTTGATGTTTATGACAAAACAGATGCATTACTTTGTTTACCAATGAATTACATTGGAAACAATTTTCTTATTTCCAAAGAATCATATTTGAAATGGCTTTCAATCAGCAAGAAAGAGATATGTGTTGAGAAACCACAAAATATATCAACATATAAATCAATGTACTTCAATCTTATCAATCTTTTTCTTAAAGGTCATTTCTATATTTATAAATATACAAATGAACTTTTATCATCAACATTGAAAATCATATCACAAATCAACATCAATCATGAAGAAAGAAATACAATCAATTCGTATTTATTTAGTCTGATTACAATTTTTAAGAACAATATTGATAAAAATCTAAACAGTGAAGAAAACAAAATTCTTTGTTCACATATTCAAACAATTATTCGATTGTTTAATTTCGAACTCGAACGAAAATCACTTAATCTTTTGAGTTTCATTTCATCAGATTCATTCATTGTTTTAATTATCAAAACGAAAACATATTTGATTAATCATCACATCTTAGATAACTTTATTTCATTGCTTACAACATTCTTTGACAAATCAATGAAACTTGGATATGAACCAGTCTGTTTCTACAACATTAAGATCGACGAACTCAAAGAACTCCACAAAACATCACCAACTGTTTTTGAAACTATTCTTTGTAAGATTTCATGTTTCTTGAAAATGACACATCTATTAATTTTCGATTTTTCTTGAAATCACTAGGTAAATCTATACATAATGACAAGAAAAATCCATTTCACATTGAAGGTTTATATGACAACATCAAATACAAAGCATTAGTTCATCCACTTGATATTTCATCGCGTGACATCAAAACGCTATATGATTTTGTTATTATCTTATGTGAACAAAATAAGAAAGATATCAATTATATTAAAGAAATCAAACTTCCAAAAGAAATCAATGTTATTTATCTTTATCGAATGAACACAGGATTCTACAAAATCATTTCACATTCTAAAGAAAACATCAACATCAAAATCATTCCAGAATGTCTTATTATCTCAGCAGAATACATTTCAACATTCATCATTGAAGAACTTGTTCTTTGGAATCATCAACTTCATATCAATAATGAGCTTTCAAATAACCAATTTTATGAATCATGGAACGATTTAATTCATTGATTCATTTACTTTGTTTATAATATATTTTTATATTAATTTTAATATAAAATTTTGTTATTTATTTTTGACATCAAAAAATATTTTACGTGCATCTATTTACGATTATTTTTGGTTCATATTTGTAAATTTCAAAAAAATACCAAAAAGTGTCACAATGTCAACTTCGATTTTTGGATCGAAGTTTACATGTTTTTGATATTATAGAATTTGTTATTTTATTTGATAATTAATAAAGTGTTGAAAATGAATTGTTAAAGTATTAATTTGAGGATTTTATTCCAAAATAAACTTTTTTGATTAATAATTTTAAGGTATTTTATAACAAATGACCAATAATTGGTATTTAGATAGAGGTGCATCAAGATCTTATCGTGTTAGAAATAAAAATTATCAGATTTCTCGCAATGATGCTGGTCTTTCTTTGTATCTTAAAGTTGATGGAAGTTCTACTACAAATGAAATGCCTAGTACAGGAAATTTGATTGTTGAAGATATTACAGTTTCAGTTTCGTCAGAAATTATTGAGAACATAGATTACATCAACATCATTCATTCAGTTGAAAACAAAGGAAATCAACCACATGATATCAGTATTGGAATTTATTCTGATATCGATATCAATGGTTCAGATTATTGTTATCAACATAATCTTGAAGGACATAAAGGAGTTGAATTTCAAGCAAATCCAATTGTCAAATTTATTCTTAAACATTCTCCTAAAGTTATAGATGTTGACACTTACTCATATACTGGATGTCCTGGATGGGGACGATGGTCTAATTGTTCAGATTGGAGTGATAAAAATGCTGATGCTTTTATTTATTTTTCATGGCAAAATCGACGAATTTTACCTAATGAAATTCAAAATTATTCATATAGTATTGGAACAGGTGAATACATTTTTTCACATCAAATCAAATGTGAAACAACAGTAAAATCACATTACAATGTTTCAAGTGATATTTCTCTTTCTATTTCAGTCAGTTCTACGAAAGTTGGTGAATTATTCAACATTTCAAGAAAAATCATTTATCTTTCAAATGATAACGAAATCATTAACTCTACAGAAATTATTACTAACAAAACAGACACAGGAACTCAATTTATTTACACGGACAACTTTATTGTTCCATCAAAAGAAGGTCGATATGAAATCATATACACAGTTTCAGACATTCATGGTTCCTCCAAAACGAATGTTCCTATTTTCATTAATCGAATTCCAACACTTGAAGTTATCTCAACCATCAATCAATTCTATCTTGCAAACACAGAATTCATTCTCAAACTTAAATTAAATGATGATACATATTCATTTCTGTCTGTATGTAAGAATCTCCAAAGAGTTAAAAGCGAACGATATGTTTTGAACAATGTTGAGCAAGAAGTAACATACAGTTATATAATTCCAGAGAGTGAAGAAGGAACAACACAGAATATATCATTTTTCGCAGTTGATGAGTATGGTGAGATTAGTGATATTTTCAATTACACGTACACAGTTACATCTCCATTCCCTCGAATCAAACTTTCCGACGTTATTCATCCTATCTCTATCGAATCACGCGACATGAAGATCCATGCCGACTACTACCTTTGGGAAGGATCACACAATGCTACATTCATCAGTCGAATCAACGACAATGGAAACATCAGTCTTCTTACCATTGACAATGTTTCTATTGCTCGCTGGAGTCAAGTCTTCCTGGAAGTTAGTGTTTCACGTTTCCGACAGAACACTAACAACGAAATTTCATTTTTTGTTATTGACTCACTTTCACGAATTTCTAACATCATCAAATACTCATTCATTTACGGTCAATGTAAATGTGCTGATACTCGATTTTATGAACTATCTGGCTTCACAACAATTGCACTCATTGCAACAATATAAAACCTTAGTTTATTTAATTACCAACTTTTTTAATGAAATTGAGAGAGGAATGTTTTATACTAGCTAATAATTTTTCATATCAAAATGAAAATATATATTAATGTATTAGCAAAATCAGATATTGAATATTTGTTAGGTATGCAAGATAATTGCGAATCCGAGCATTCATCTTTTAATGATATTGCAGGAATTCCTCTATCAATAAAGTACTGAAACTTTTGTGGAAGACAAAAAATGGAACCACAACGAGTAAGTAATGGACATCCAATAAATGCTTCAACTCCAATTGATTCCAAGTTTGATGACATAACGAATACGAATGATAATTTTTTGCAGTCTTTAAAAGATTGATATCCAATCTGTTCAAGTTTGTTACCACTAAAAATTACACGAATCAAATTGTTGCAACTCATAAATGCATAGTTGCCTATACTTATCATTGTTTGTGGAACGACAAATGTTGTGGCTTTGGATGATGGGAGAAATGTAATGAGGTTAGTTTCATTGAAATCTGTAAGTGCACCATTACTGAATCTATGGAATGGTGATAAGCTTGCATTGATCGTAACAAGATTTTCACATCCTATGAAAGCTCCGCCATAAACAATATTTAACAAACTGTGAGCTCCAAGCAAAAATGATGAAAGTGAATTACAATAAAAGAAAGCAAAATTGTTGATTGTTGTTAGGCTGTCTGGGATAATAATAGTTGATAATGATTTGCAATATAATAATGCAAAATCTTCTATTGAAGAAACACCCTCAAGAAGAGTAAGTTTTGAAAGCGATGAACAATTGTAGAAGCAATATTTAGGAACTATACTTGCATTCAATTTGACTTCATCAAGAGAATGACATCCTTCAAAGATATTGTATGTATAGTCCAGATCTTCAACCATATGATAATTAATAAATGTTCTAAGTCCACTATTACTAAAGCAATACATTCCAATATTTTTGATATTACTTGAAGAGATTCCTATATCTCCAATATTATTGCATCCATAAAATGCATATTGGCCAATAACTTCAATGGAATGTGGGATATTAATATCTGTGAGTTGAACACAGTTCATAAAACATTTATCTGGAATTGTGTTTATATTATTCCCATTAAAAACAACACTTGTTAAATTGACACAGTCCATGAAGCATTCTGAACCAAGACTTTGAAGACTTTCTGGAAGAATTATTGTTTTTATTGTTGAAGAAAGAAAAGCATAATTCAAAATTGAAATAAGCGTGTTGCCATCAAATGTTATAGATTTGAATTGCTTCTTGTTAAAAACTCCTTTATTAATATATTTACATGTTGATGGTATATGAATTTCATTGTTCGGATCACTACTAAAATATTCTGTAAGATGCTCTTTTTGCTCTGAAAAAAGCATATCATGAGTAATGTTAAAATTTGGATTGTGCGATGTATCTATTATAAGATTTGTGCATCCATAAAATACAGTAGGTCCTATATTTTGCAAAGATTGAGGAAGTGTTAATGTTTTCAGGCTTTTGCAAGAATAAAAGGCACTTTCATTAATGTAAAGTAATGAAGATGGTAAAACGATATTTTTCAAATTAGTACACAACCTAAATGCCCCTGTATGGATTCCTTTTATATTTTCTGTCAATGTGACTGTTTCAAGTCTGGCACAATATTGAAAGACACCATTTTCTATATATTGTATATTTGGAGGGAAACTAAAATTTATCAAATTGGAAGCCGAAAAGGAATGTGCACTAATAATTTCTACATTATCATGTATTGCCAATGAATTATATTGATAGCTTCTCATGCATGATCCACCAAGTTGAGTAACAAAAAGCGGTATAGAATATTCATATTTGATTGAAGGAATAACAAAATTTAATGTATTGTTATTTTCCCCAGAAAAAATAGTTATTCCGTCTGAACTATAATACGGATTCCTTTCGTCAATTTCTATTTTTTCTAATGTTTTAACGTTAATTGCAGAAAAGCTTATGGTTCTTGTGTATCTAGGAATAAAAATATATTTTAATTTCGTATAAGAAAATACATTGTCTCCTATAGTTGTTAGATTGGAGTTTCTCGATATTGTCACAAGTTCCAATCCCCTGCTGAATACTGTACCATCTGAACTCGTGTAATAAAGATACTCAACAGAGTCAGGAATTACTATTGATTTTAAGGAGTCAGTATTGTAAAAACACCCATATTTTATTTGCTTTATTTTGGATGGAAGAGTTATTGTTTCAAGTCTTGAACAGCCTGAAAATAATGAATTGTTTAAGAAAGGTAAATTGTCGCATGTTGACATATCTGCAGATATTATTGTGCTTGTAGCAAAACAAAATGAACATATGCTTTTTATTTTGCTGAAATTTGCAAATTTAATGGATGTAAGCCTAGACAGGCAAAGATAGAATGGACTATCTTTAATTGAATTTCTTCCAAGAATAGTTTCGACACTTGCTGGAATAACATAGTCTCCGCTAAGGGAACTTGGTGCTGCAGTTAATACTGTTTTGCTTTGATCGCTGAATGTAATACCATAATCATCTTGGGTGCAAATAATGAATATTAACAATTACTATTGCATATTAGCAATTAAAAAAAATATTCTGATAGAATTTTGTGGGATCAGATGTAGAAAATTGATAAATAGTTGAAATTTAGATATTATGGATTTGGAATATTATTGGTGTGCAAATTTGTATAGTCACAGTCAAAATTAGTCTTTAATTTTTTTTATTTTGATATATTGGAATTCATTATACTGTTGAAATATCATTATAATTATCAAAAAATATAAGATATAAGATTTTTATGCATAAATATTTCATGATATTTTATTATTTCAAAACATTCTATTATAATATAAGTATGTTCATTATGTATGAAACCAACATCAGAAAGAATGTATGAAGGTATGCAAATTACTATTTCAATTATTTATGACTTAATTTAAATCCAGAGAATGAAAAAAAAATGAGCTTTCCTTCCGTCATATTATATCATTTTGTATTTTATATATCTTTTGTTGATCATAAGCTGAATTTACCCCTATTTTGCATTTTGACAAACATATGTTCCAAAAATACAGAATAATAAGGAGAGAGACCTCTTAAAGGAGACTTTATTGCTAATCGCAATATTTTTGTTTATCTGGAGATAAATTTACAAAAGATTATCCTTTGATTATTCTCAATTTGATCGGTAAAAAAAGTGTATTGAATTAACCACTATACTCAATACATACCTCAGAAAAATGATTCACAAAAATAAGATGAGGATAATATAATATAAAGATGTTTCTTTTAATTATAAATTTTTATAAATTTGTGAAGAATGGGTTATTCGACACAAAAATTTTTGAATGCCATGAAAAATAAAATTCATTTTTGAAGATGGAATCAAAGATTATTGTGATCACAGGTGCATCAGATGGAATTGGAAAGTATACAGCTTTGCAATTAGCAAAACAAGGTCATACAATCATTATCCATGGAAGAAGTCCAGAAAAGACGAAAGCTGCTTCAGAAGAAATCATCAACGAGACAGGAAACAAGAATGTTAAATACTATCTTGCAGACTTCCTCGACTTCACATCAATCAAAGAATTTGCCGAAACTCTTAAACGCGAGTATGATCATATTGATGTTCTCATCAACAATGCTGGTGCTCAATTTGGATAAGATCGTCAAGAAACATCAGCAGGTCATGAAAAAACGATGATGGTAAATGTTTACGCTCCATTCCTTTTGACACATTTACTTTTACCTTTACTTCAAAAGTCTCAATCAGCGAGGGTTGTAACTGTTTCTTCTGACTCTCACAAAATGGGAGGAGTTCTAATTTATGATGATTTTGACCTTAAAAATAACTACTCTCTTACTAGATCATATGGATTGTCAAAATTATATGTGATATGGATCATGAGACATTTCATCAAATTTACTGAAAGCAAAGGCATTAAGAACATTACTTTTAATTGTGTACATCCAGGATCAACCATGTCAAATCTAGGAAGAGAATCCACAAAATATTGGTTGTTCAAGATTGTTGCTTTTCTTTGGATTCCAATGATGAATTCGATGGAAGATGCAGCTAGGCCAAGTATAACCTGTGCAACATATAAAGAACTTGAAGGTGTTACAGGAAAATACTTTGGTCCAAAAGGAGAAGAGAAACCATCTGAAAAATACTATACAGAAGAAGGTGAACAGAAAATATGGGACTATTGCACTAGAATTACAACTGAATTTTTACAAAATTATTAAATGATTTCATCTTTTATTAATAAATTAACAGTTATTAATTTTTATGCTTATTTAATAGAAATTTTCCAATATTAAGCATTAAATGACTTAATAAAAAAGAAATAATTTTCATAAATTGTAATTTGTTGCATCAAAAAACTATTGGAATAGTGTATTAGCTGGTTTTGTGAAAACAAATGAATAATACACAATGAAAAGCAATTTTATTAAATTTAATTTCATTAAAAATATGCAATTTAAAATGGAATTTTGTTAAATGTATTTATTATTCAATTGCGCAGATAAATTATATGGTTTAAGTCTCCCGAAAAATCATATTCAAATTTGATTTACGATAATTCTCAGAAAAATTGAGAAGAATGGGTAGAAAAATTTTAGTGAAATATTTTGAGAGAAATAGAAAATTATGTCATTTATCACAAGTACAACTCAATGAGTGTCGAGTATATTAGATCTATGCCAGAAGCATTCAAGAGGAGACATAGCACTCGTGCTTTCACAAAAACTGAATTTGATGAAAGCAAAATGAAATTTGTTGAAAATATTGTAGAAAAAATTAACAATATTGGTAAAAATTTAGGATACAAAATAGAGCTAGTTGTTGAACCAGCAGGTTTTGGAAGACTTAACATGCTTGTAAATGAAGCTGGATGGGTTCTTGCACGTGCATCAAAAGAAAAACTAGATGTTGAACAAACACGCGAACAATACAAAGAAATTGGATACATGTTTGAAAGATGCATCCTTGAATTCACACGTATGGATATCGCAACATGCTGGTTCGGTGGATTCAACAGATCAAAAGCTATTGAATACTTCGAAAACAAGTATGATGTCATCATTGTCTTTGCATTCGGAAATGAAGGTGAAGATCGTTGGGTTGAATCAGTTGTTAAATGGTTTGGTTCATTCAGAGGCGAAAGTGTTTATGAAGAAGAATTTTTCGATAGATACGAGTTTCCGATGAAAATTGACAATGTTGGAGAAAGAGAAGATATATGTCTAGGACTTCATAAGATACCATGTGTTATGAAACCTCATAACTTTAGAATCTTATTCCAAGAGCCAAATATTCACGTTTTCATCAATGGTCATGGCGTGGCAATGTTTCCAAATAATGGATGGTTCGACATTGGAATTGTTCTTGGTACTTTGGCCGAATATTACGAATCAGAAGGTTATAAAACAGAAATGGTCAAATTGGAAAATGCTCCAACATGTCCAAAGACTGGAGAATATGTGTGCACAGTTGTTTTGAATAAATAAAAGCTAAATGAAAAGATTTGAGATCATAAATTTTCTTTTTCTTTAAATGATAACATTTTGTAGTGGGAATTAATGTATTTTTGGCTAGAATGAATGGATTTCAACGTATTTTAGACTTTTAATGGTTGAAATTTAAAATATATTGTTGAAAGTTGCTTAATGAGATGATTTTGTGTGGAACCTATTAATTTTTACTCGTTTCGAAATTTATACGCTCATCATTTTCAAATTTTATTGACGAGCGAAAAAAATAAATTCGAAACAACCCATTAATCTCAATTTTTTGTAAACTTACCCATTCTTCTCAAATTTTCAATCCGATTGAGATTGCGAAAACTAATATTTGTCAGAATAATATATACAATAGGATTTGTCGATTGTAAAATTGAATAAATTTTTCCGATACAATTTTTTTTTGAATATGTAAAGAAAAAATCGTTTTTGAAGATGGAATCAAAGATTATTGTGATCACAGGTGCATCAGATGGAATTGGAAAGTATACAGCTTTGCAATTAGCAAAACAAGGTCATACAATCATTATCCATGGAAGAAGTCCAGAAAAGACGAAAGCTGCTTCAGAAGAAATCATCAACGAGACAGGAAACAAGAATGTTAAATACTATCTTGCAGACTTCCTCGACTTCACATCAATCAAAGAATTTGCCGAAACTCTTAAACGCGAGTATGATCATATTGATGTTCTCATCAACAATGCTGGTGCTCAATTTGGCAGTAACCGCGAAACAACACGTGATGGTCATGAGAAAACAATGATGGTTAACGTATTTGCGCCATTCTTATTGACAAATCTCCTTTTGCCTTCTCTCAAGAAGTCAAAATCAGCAAGAGTTGTAACTGTTTCTTCTGCATCACATAACATGGGAGGAGAGCCTCCTCTTGATGACATAGAACTTGAGAAATCATATTCAATGCCAAGATCATATGGATTTTCGAAACTTTATGTTATCTGGGTCATGAGACATTTCATTAAATATGCCAATGAGAATGGCATTAATAATATTACATTCAATTGCGTTCATCCAGGATCCACAAATACAAGTCTTGGCCGCGAGTCAACAAAGAGTTGGCTTTGGTGGATTATCTATATGCTTTGGAAACCAATGATGAATTCAATGGAAGATGCAGCACGTCCAAGTATTACATGTGCAACATCAGGAGATCTTGAAGGAGTAACAGGAAAGTACTATGGACCAAAGGGTGAGGACACAGTATATGAAAAATACTACACCGTCGAAAATGAACAAAAAGTTTGGGATTATTGCATGAACATTACAAAACAATATTTGTAATTCTATTGATTTCTTTCTAAAATATCTTATAAAATTTATCGCCATGATAAAAGCATATCTTTTGATAAAAAATGTAATAAAATTATAAAAATCTAAAAATATATTAGACTGTTCTTTATATATCAGTGGTGTGCTTCATTATTATAGCTATTTAATCATGTTTCCGAATAAAAATAAGTAGAAAATATTCAAATTAAAAAGAAAATCCGAATTTGTTTGAATGTGCTAAAGCATTAAAATCATCTTTGAATTTAATATTGCTTTACAGCTTTGGTTTCTTAAAATTGAAACAAAAATTCTGCCATTTTTCAAATTTTTAATAAAAATCATTAATTCTTTTATAGAAAACCAACAATTATTTTATCCAAATCTGTTTTCAATAATCCTATCACATCCTAAAATAAGATCTATTTAGCTGAGATTTATATAAGGAACAAAAATTGGGCTTGGAAAGAACATTTCCATATCTGAATCTTCCAAAACAGAGATTCATCCTCTTAATATCATGGAAACTTAAATAACTCGATATTTATCTTTGAACAATATTTGATAATATCTTGTGATTCTTGATTGGAAAAGTTGATAACTAAAAAGTAAGAGATATGAAATATAAAGTTTAATCATTGATAGGAAATTTTTAAAATTTGTATGGCAGTCCCAACGGGAACCGCGGTAATTTACCGAGGTTTCCGCACACTAGTCATGTGATTTTATCCCAAGCATATGGGGATTCTAAATTTTTGTCCCTATCGTTATCCCAATTGAATTTTTTTTTGGAATTTAAAAATTTTTTTTCTCCATGTAAACTTAAATTTTAATTTTTACCACTAAAATGCAATATTTCAACAAATTAATGAGTAATAATATTTTAATTTATAATAATTATTATAAATCTCCTCAATTTAATGTAATTATTGTATTAATTTTTGTTGAAAATATAAAATCTTCAAGTAAATGATGTGAATTTAATATTTTTAGAATGTTGTTTAATTGTACTATATTATGCATGTAAAATTTTGTTACAATACATTTTATATGGGATCCCCATTGCCCAATTGAGAGAAAATTGAGAGGTGGGATTGGGCTAGCCCAATTCAAAATATCCCAGGTGGAAATAAAAAAATTAACAATTCAACATAAAAAAGCATCTTAAATAATAATGATAAAAAGAAATTTTGTATGAATTTCAATCAAATTTGTTTTTATTCAACTTAAGAAATCACTTCATTAATGAAAGAAGTCGGGTTCACAACATATCCCGATCTTGAAACGAAACAACATGTTTTTTTGATGCCCTAAACGGGGGGGGGGTCGCCAGCAAAAAAAAAAGATGTCAAAATTTATCCCAAAAATTTAAAAAAAATCGAAGAAAGTGCATCCCAGGGATTATAAAATTTAAGTTTTCACATCTCTACGCACACCGGTTCCTTTTTTTAGGAATTTTTTAGATTAAAAAATATGCTTTGTAAATCATTTTTTGTAAATCGGCAAAAATTTGGAAATATTCTGACGACAATAAATCTGGGAATAGTATTTGAAATACGAGAACAACCTATTTAAAAGTGTTTCGCTCGATTTTGTATAATTTCAAATTTTCGCATATAGCTTTCCGTGAATTACCGTGATTTTACCGCCATATCAATAGTTTACGACACTTTTTCCGTAAATTGAGTAGTTTACTGCACTTTTTCCGTAAGATTGAGTTACGGGAATCCGTAAGATTACCGTACCTCACTTCTAGTTGAAAATAGCATTAGTATACCCAGATTTTCCTTACTTTTACCACCCCCTCTAAAGCTGGGGACAGCGCCTATCGTTGGGAGTAGCTATTAAATAGAACCACCAAGGGTATTTTTCGAACTGCCGGTGTAGTGTAGTGTAAACATCCGACATAATGATTCATTATGCCAAGGTTTGATTCCCATTTACCCAATTTTTTTCTTTTTTGGATCATGAATTTTTTTTTGGGTCACTATAAGATTTGTTTCATGTTCTAAATCTGCTGCATATGTAATCTATTTTTATTTACCTATTTTTTAAAAATCTATTGGATTGCCAAATTTGAATATATTTAAAATCATAAAAATCCAACAAAACTATAAATATATGTTTTATGCATAGTGCCGATACTCAAATATCAGATTACTTAGGTCCATGAATAATATCCGAATTTTTTTTCTTAAAATTAAACTTCAAAACTTCTTGCTACGGATGTCACAAATCTTGAATTTCAGGTGTGGTCAGACACTCGTGTCTAGACACTTTTTGTACGTTAATATTGTACGTTAATTTAATTAGCTCGGCGTTTGCCGAACTTGCATGCCACCAAGAACATAGCTTTAACTCGCTCACTGTTCTTGGAGGGGCAAACATTATGTTTTCTAATGAAGTTCTCTGATTGGCTCCAATTCATCTTCAGCAATCAGAGAGCTTCATTAGAAAACAAATTCATTATTTTCCCTTACCCTCGGATGGTCAGGGAATGCATTTTAACTACCTTAGAGCAAGGTTCTTCCAAACCCTTTAATTTATTATTTGATCCATTGGAAGAATCTTGCTCTATTCGTCTTAAATACAGAATCCTTAACCATCCATAGGTTAGGAAGAGTAGCAATATTAGCTTCTCATGTAGTACTTTGACTAAAATGTTAAGATCTTTTCATATCCCAGTACTTCATGAGAAGCTAATACTGTTTAACTACGCTGGCCTACTGATGGCTATAAGAATTTCATATTAATGTAAAGTTCTTTTGAGTTTCATCATCATAAGATGTAGCTCAAAGGAACTTTGCATTAATTGAAGATAACAAACATTACCAGACTAATAGATACATTACTTATGGGCAGAGCTCGTTCGAAGTCACACAAATATTGGGAGACTTCAAATGATCTCTGCTCATAATATTATAAATATACGTATCTAATTCTTTGATGCAAATATAAGTATTCAACTCACACTAATTGGGGGATTCTACTGATGCTTCATTATTGATTAGAAACATCAAGTAGAAAACACCATAAATTCATATACGCTGCCTCTACAATAACAAGAGAGCACCAATATGCATCTTTATAACAATATAGATGCGAAGTTTCTCATTGAATGAGAAACTTCGAATATATATTGCTGTAAATATGGATTTGAACTAATCTATAACTTCGTAGGAATTATAATATTGCTTATTCCTTGAAGAATGGTAACTTATTGCGGTGGGAGATCCTTGCAAATCAAATTCAATCGAGAAGGGTAATGCTTAAGCGTTCTAATTTAGAATGCTTAAGTATTGGCCTTCTCGATTGTAGAATTTTCTTAATAAACCAAGTAGAAATGTTTCATGATGCAAAACAATTTATCAGCATATGTTAATATATGTTTATTTGAATAGGATAGACAGCGCATCATTATTTACTTGATATAAACATATAATATCATATGCTATATAGCATTGTATCATGCAAATCTTTCTATCGCAGTTTCTATGTTTAAATTTTTTAAAGGGTAAAATCATATAGAATTGGGTAAATTTCAATGGTGTCTGCCCTATCGTCTATTTTGTGGGTGTCTTTTGAAACCGCAAGACTCTTTCAATTTTTGAATAGTGTCTTACGGTTTGTTCAGACACCATTGAAAAAAATAATTATCTTTTATTTTAAGTATATAGATTGTTTATGTATTATACTAGATGTTTGCCGTTTTACTTTTCGATTTTAAATAGAATTTTTGTGCGAAAAATGAACAAAATAGATTCAAAATCGAAAAATTCAAACTCAAGACACTATGATGACACAATGCTATTCCTTAAAGACACCTATCGTCACGAAAATGACAAGCATACTTCTTGCAATCTTATTCTTAATCAATTGTAAATTTTTAAAACCATTTTTTTAAAATAATTTTGCGTAAATTTTATTCTCATGTTGTTTTAATCGAAAATTGATACATTTTCAAAAAAATAATATTGACTTATGAAATTCATTTTTAAGGTGAAATAGTATTGTTTTTATTAAAGTATATGAATAATATATAAAAAATTAATGAATAATATAAGCAGATTTTTAGTTTACAAAACAAATATGAGCAATGCAATTTCAAACTTTTGCTGGCAATTTCGATATTGCTCAAGTTTGTAGTATTTGTGATACCTATAACATCGGCTTAATCAAAATTCGATTTTTCTTATGAGTTATTGAGAAAATTTGATTGCAATGAGAAGGATTTCGACGTTTTTGATAAACTAAGAGCTGAGCTTTAGGGGTTCAGTTCATTTATGGCTGTAGTTTGATGCGTAGATCTCTTTTTTATTGTAAATTCTTTCAGCATGGAGATCGAGAATGAATCTTTTGAGAACTTTATGAGTTTTTACACCCGTAAAGAGGTCCTTCGAGGAAAGATAGTCCAGACTACATGAAGATGTGGGTTAACCAAAAAAAATCCGATGGTTTCCCCATATTCATGTAGATCTTCGAAAAAATGAGCACCAAAAAAGCCAAAAAAATAGGCTTTTTATTGGATTTGTACACTAGATCAATAATCTATTTAGGATCTGACACTCTTTTTAGCCAGAGATATGAGGTCCTTTCTAGGAAAACGATCTATTCATCCATAAAAAAAATGAATTATCGTTTTCCCCAGAAATTACATGGGGAGTGGTAAAAGTAAGGAAAATCTGGGTATAATAAATAGATATAGTATTCATATTTTTGATTTTGAATTACGGAAAAAGTGAGTTCAGAACTTCCAATTATTATTTGATTAATTATGTTAAAAATACTATAAGGAATTAAAATACATAATGTTGAAATTTGAATTACGGAAAAAGTGAGGGTGAAAGTGAAGTGAAAAAGTAAGATATTTTTTGTTGAAATAATCATAGTTGTACAATTTTGAAACTATATGTAAAGCTATAAATTGAATAAATTCTAAAACAAAAATTGTTTATTCTTATTAATAAATTTATATTAATCAATATTTGAACAACCCGTAATTAAAATTGAATTCCTCTTAAAATTTAATCCATACGTTAATTTTTAATTTGCTCGGCGAATGCCGAGCTTCCCTACTTCTCTTGTCATTCCTTCAAAAACTCTAATCTCATCACACTTACAAACATCATGATTTGATGTATTGTCGAGAAATCTTAGACTTGTTTGTCATTTGATGATAGCATTTGAAAGTCATCTCGAAAATCGATTAACAAGACAATTTCCCAAACATCTACATACAAGTAGATGATGGTAAACCCATTAGAGTTGTTTTGCTATGATTCCTCCAATCTTATGATGAGAAAAATCATATCAAAACAGCTCTAATCGAACATTCTACACAGCTTAGCATCCAGCTAGTTCCAAGTAATGCGATTACAACATCAACGGCCAAAGCCTTTCAGAGTCCTTTAATCATTTCTTCTCATCTCAATGTGAAGTGGCCTCAAACGAACTACAAGCTGACGTTACAACGCATTACAACCCGGTTAATACGAGCATATACATTAGAGCTGCTTTGTTATGATCTCCCTCATCAATTGATGAGAGATCTCATTATGAAGCAGCTCCAATCGAACTAAAAACCTACATACAAATGAGTGAAAACAAATTCATTAGAGTTGTTTTGCTTTGATTTCTCTCATCAGAAGATGAGAGATACCAGAACAAAACAACTCTAATCAAACTTTCTACACAACTCAGCACAGTATCAATGCAAAGTAATGCGTCTGTATCGTTAACAAGCAAAGTTGTTTCGGGTCCTTCCATTTTGGAAGAATTCGGAACAACTTTGCGAATTGATAGTGTAAACCCATATACATGAAAGCGTGCATGCATAAAGACAGGTATTGTCAGCAATGACTACCTGCCCAGCTATGAGTGATCAGAGAATTACCATCTCAGGCTTTTTGAGAACGTTTCAGCCATGACCCTCGTATGTTGACTGTGAGAAAGGCATCCTTTATCTGAAATAGATGCTTTTCCAACAATCAAATTCGAAGATCTTCGACGTTGTTGTAAAAAGAGAAGGAGAAGGAAAGAAGAGGAAGAAGAGGAAGAAGGAAAGGAAAAGAAGAAGAAGAAAAAAGAAAAAAAAAGAAGGACATATTAAATATAATGCGCACTTAATAGTGCCGAGGCGCGATTTTTTTGACCCTATATTACCGCACGGCAATGTTTTTCTCGATTTTGTACAGCCATAAAAATTTGGGAATTAAGGATGCACACGAGAGGATCATGTAAACTTCAGAATTTAGAACCTTATTTTTAGGCATTATCTTGGCTACCTATTTAGGCTCGAAAAGCAAAAAATATCAAAAAATACAACTTGAGTCCATTATGACCCTTTCATGGAGGTAGTTTTTATCCGCTAGTATTTTCCCTTTGAATCTCTTTACAATTCGAAATCAAATTCAAACCTCAGTAGAAGAAAGGAAGAATCGACTTACTACGGTTGTAATACGAATAAATACATATATTTAATTATTTTTATTTACATAATAATTGTTTGAAGCTCATATTCCATCAAATTTTTAAATAAAAACATTAAAATGTTGAAAATGTTCATATATTTTAATAGGGTTTTGGCACTTTATTGAGGAATTACTACATACATAGTCGAACTGAACTTGATATTTTGAAATTTAAATTATTTATCAAAATTAAAATTTAACTTGAAATTTATAATTATTTAGTCATATTTTGCATAATTCTAAGTAGATTTTGTAAAAAATCAAGAAAGAAAAATTTTAACGTGCTTTATTTTTTCTTTTTTATAATAATACATATTATTATATAATTAACATATTCATAATGTTTCACCCTTTCAAAAATATAATCCTCCTCCTCTCAAATAAACGTACATACGGGTGGCCTCTTTTTTCAAAAAATTAAAATTTGAAATTTTGGGCTCAAATATTAGAGATTTTTTCAACCTTCAACGATATATGTTGTCTATATCAGACCTCCTTTCTTTTTGATACTTAACATTGTTCCTAAATCTTAGCCGTTAAGGCTGTTCTGAAAATATTTTTTTTTCGAAAAGATTCGAAAAAATTCGAGATTGGGACAAAGTTGCAATTCGGCACTTTTTGTAAAAAAATGGGGTCATACTCATAATGAATAGAGACTTATAGCCAAGTCTTGATATCATGCAGGGAGAATATACATAGATAAGCAATTATATTTTATAGTAGTAGTATTCAGAAATTCTTACAATTTACAATACAATTTTCAAAAATGGATAAAGACTAATAGCCAAGTCTTGATATCATGCAGGGAGAAATATACATAGATAAGCAATTATATTTTATAGTAGTAGTATTCAGAAATTCTTACAATTTACAATACAATTTTCAAAAATGGATAAAGACTAATAGCCAAGTCTTGATATCATGCAGGGAGAATATACATAGATAAGCAATTATATTTTATAGTAGTAGTATTCAGAAATTCTTACAATTTACAATACAATTTTCAAAAATGGATAAAGACTAATAGCCAAGTCTTGATATCATGCAGGGAGACTCTCTACAAATACAAAAATTGATTATCATAAGGAAATACAAATTTATCAATTTTCATGTGAAAATTACATAAATTTGTTCTCCAATAAATAGCAATAATACTTTGAATGTTATATTAAGTAATATAGCTTCAGGTAAATAAGCTTACACTTCAAAAATATACTGTTTATTCATTAATTTTAAAAAAAGTCCAAATTATCTAATCTTGCTTACTCTTCCTTTAAACTTCTTTGTGCCAAATTTAATATTGCCTTCAAAGATGGAATAAGGACATTAGGTTCAAAAATATTTTATTATACTCATTCGAAATTAAAAATAATAAAATTTATATATATTAATTTCATTAATTCAAGGTTAAAAATCTCACCGGAAAAATAACCTCAGTGTGATAAATTTATCACCGGAAAAATTTACAATAAGGTTAATACCGAAAATATCGAAAAATCAACATTTAAGGTTAATTTAAGAGTATGCACTTTTGTCACCTACTCAAAAAATTCTTAAAATTCAAAAATCCCTTGATTCCTGAGGATTTTGGAAAAAAGTTTTTACATGAACATGTGTATATTATATGAAGTATATTGATAAGGTAAAAATCAAATTTTATTGCATATTCATCGAGAAAATAAACTAACGAATCCCTCAAAATTGAGAGGGTAATCCTCCTCCTCTCAAATAAACGTACATACGGGTGCACCCTTAAACAGATTTCGTAAAGAGAATTAAGGGTGCCCTATAGACGATAAACCTCCCTCAGAAAAGCACTTTTAAGGCTATTATATTGAGAACTAGAATCTGGATAATCCGTTCATTCGAGTTCTAATAAGGTTAATTTTGTGATGTTTACATTATCGTTATAGGGCACCCTTAAATAAACAATGGTAAAATTTTAATATAAACCGATGATAACAAGATCTATATAATTCTAACAATGAGGCAATATGATCAATTATTACTCCATATCATTTCGTATAGAAGGCTTAGAAATCTTTGGATTTTTTTAAAATTTAGAAAAATATTGTTTTTAAAGATTCAGAAACGAAAATTTATTGATAATATAAAATGAATATATAATCATATAATTAGATTCTAATAATTTCAATAATTGAAATCTTTATCGGGTGAATCATGAAAATTAGAAAATTTAGTGTGGTAAATTTAAGTAACAGAAGCTGGTTGTTATAGATATTGCATTTCGAAATTTGCACGATAATAAATTGAAAACCTGTAATTTAAATTCGTTTAACATCCATGTATTTACAAATTTTTATATTAATAGATTGTTTATATGAATTAAACCTATTTTTGTTTGAATCTCACTAAATCGAGACCATTCAAAATATAAACATTTCAATCTAAAAACATCAACGTTTTAATCAAAATAATTGTGATTTTATATCAAAATAATTGTGATTTTATATCAAAATATCATTTACAACATATTGTTATGAATGTTCAGAATTATTTTGAGAATTGCAATTTTTGTGAATCCATTCAAATGATAAAAAATTAATATCATATATAACATATTATGATAAATCAAAACACAAAGCAAAAAAGTGTGGGTTAAAATGAGAGCACACAATTTTTTTCTGAGAAATTGAAAATAGAATCATGATGTAATTACATTGTATGAATAATAAATAATAATATTTAATAGTTTCCCAATTTTTATTTTTCATAATCAAAAGCACTTTTTAAAATATGAATACTCGAAAATTAAAATATCATTAAAATATCATAAAAGTCCATTTTCTTCTGCTTTAACTAATCGATCACTGTTATGTAAAGTCTATCATTTTGAATCTCAATTTTTGGCGGTTAAATTTCCCTCTGATTTAAAATTTTGTTTACTCTTAATATTATCAAATTCATTGATAAATTATTCAAATTATTTCATACAAACAGAATCAAATTAGTTTATTATTATCTTAAGTACATTGTAACATAATTTAACTTCAATTATTTTGTAAGAAAACTCTTAAAATTTGAAATTTGATTTTTGAATTCTTCTCTCAAAATCATCGAGTTCCTTATATAAACATCATAAATTGGAATATTTCTCCTTACCTAATATTTCTCAATCTTCCAGTTTTGAATAGTTGTATTCAATTTTTAACAAAACTTTAAAATATCATTTTAATAAATGGAGGAAACCCAACCTACTGCCTCTGCAATATCAACAGATATTGCAGCCAGTTCGATGAGTAAATATGATGGTCTAATTGATATTCCTCTCACTCACAGAATTATTGATTCTCTAATTTCGCTCTTCAACTACTTTGATATCTACGCGCCAAGGATGCAAATAGTTCATACTATCGTTACATTCTTCAGATTCTTCCAACTTATTGGTGGCGCATTCATGGCTGCTAATGCAGATTCTTTTGCTACTGGCTCTTTGAGTTACAAGGCAATGAGCATATGCACAGTATTTTTCCATCTAGTTCCTCTTGAATATCGTCAGGGAAATGAAGGAATAATCCTTTATTCCATTAACGGATTACTTGCATTCTTCGGAATCTACCTAGTAGCCACAGCTTTCCTTTATAAATCTACATCTAAGGTTCCAAGAGTTTCTTGCATTGTTCTCTCCATTTTCATGGCCATTGGCCCATTTTTACTTATTCCAATTATCGCGCAATACTCCGGACAGCTACTTTCAGGATACATTATGAAGACATTCAAACCTGAACCAGAAAATATTGGTGCTATTATATTCTCAGGTGTCACTGTTATCTTCTTCATGTGGATTCTTATCAAAGCTTACTCTATTGCACTTGTTTTCCGTCCAATGTCATTCGCATCAATAGAAGGATCTCCACAAACGAAGTTATTGATCACAACTACAATAGTTACATTTGTCTCTTCCTTAACAACATATTTCACATACATTCCATCTGCTCCAATGATTATAATATCAATTTTCTGCTACTTTTATTCAGCCACAACAGTTTTTAACTGCGGAACATTCGTAGACAGAAACCATCAGATTATTGTTCTTGCTGGTTCAATTGTTGGTATTGTTTTATGCTGCGCCAATATCTATATGAACTTCCAATTGAATGATCAATGGGGCCCAGAATTCTTTATTGGTTTCTTAGTTGTTTTAACTATCACTTTCATTTTTGTAACTCTATTCATCAAGGCAAGAGGCTCTAGAGAGCTGAAATTATTAGATGAAATTGATGAGACACAAGACATTTTAGTTGTTAAGAAGAACAAATTCAAACAATTGTTAAGTACAGGGTTCTCATTCAACCATCCTTGCTGCATTAACTTTTCAATATTCAAACTTGCATTAAATGAATGGAAGGATGCTATTGATATATGGGCATTATATGCAAAGTTCGTAGCAATATATCCAGAATCAGGTCCATTTCTTTCATTCATTGCTCAGAATGTTTCCAATATTCGTTCAAGAGATAGTATGATTGACATTATCTTGAATTCCACTAGCCATATCATCAAAACAAGAGAAACAAAATTCACGCCCCAATTAAAGACCAAAATTTCCAAATTAGGTAAAGAATTTATGAAGACTAAGAATAGACTTCGTAACATTTGGGATTTAGTTCTTCAAGGAAACATCAATGAAATGAACACAGCTATTAAAAGATCTCAGGACAGTGTTAAAAACTGCGAAGTAGATATGAATCATTTAAAGCAGCAATATCCAAACAACAGATTTGTTTATAGACAATATGTTATGTTCCTTAATGACATCAAAGGAGATCCAATTGCTGCAAGAGCTGCCAAAGAAGATCTTATCAAACTACAAAGAGGAATATATGTTGCAGAAGATACTGTTCATGAATTGGGTATTGAAGCATTTCCAAATATTCCTAAAGTTTGCGTTGAAAGTGGCGGACTTATCAAGCAAATCGTAGAATGCGAAAGTGTTGAAGATATGACAACATATGATGAAAACGAACAATTTAATATTGATGCAATCGAACAGATCACCAAGCAGATTGAAAAGCATTCAGTTCTTGCAATCAGATATATGTATAAATCAACTGTCCTTGCTTTTATATGCGTTGTTTTGGTACCTTTGGTTGCATTGATTCTTGGATTTTATGTGTTCAAAGCAGATCTTGAAGAACCAATTGAATTCATGCAAGGAATCGCCTACACCAAGAATATTGCATCAATGCTTGCTGCTCTTGTTGGAAGGTTTTTATTTGACAAATTAGATGATCCATATAATCCAGGAAAGAAACTCATGGAGCCTTTAGACCTAATTGAAGGATTTAATATGGATGCTTTTGGAAATTCAAGGAATACAGAAGATATAATGAAGTATATTGCAAATCAAGTATCAACTGCAAACGCATTGATGTCAAAAGTAAGATCATTCAAACCAGGAAACAAATATGCAGAATTAGTTAGAGAGTACTTGTTTACAACAGATTATTGTAACTTCACAATATATCTTAACAATACATATGTAATTACAAATCCAACAGATATACCAAGTGCAAGCTATATGATTGCTAATCATGTAGGAAAACTTTTGGGTATTGAAAAGATTACACCAGAAATTGCAAAAGGAACAGATTCATTGACTGCAAGAAATAATAACTATCAAGCGGCATCAATGCTCAGCTTATCATTAAGAACAATGCTTGAATATTTGAAAGAACAAAACAGAAAACTTCAGATAATATTCGACATTGTACTTTATATATTATTAGGTTTTGCAGTCATTATTTTCCCAATTATTTATTTAACACAAGTTAGAATGTTAAGACGAAACCGCTATGAGATCCTTTCAATCTTAACAACTCTTCCAAAAACTGTAATATCATCAATTTCATATTCTTTCAAATCAAAGGACAATTCAGATAAGAATACAATAAGTTCGACGGATTCAACATCCAATTTAGAACTCAACAGGCAAGAAGAAAGCATAATTAAATTATTCTCTTCTATTTCTGATGGTTCTTCCAAAGCATCAATTGAATTGGCTAATTTAATCTGTTTCATTATCATCTTCGGATTGACTTGCTTCGCATATTATACTTCTACTAATTGTTATTCAACATCAGCAAATAATTTAATATATAATGCTCATCATATCAATTATGTTTTCGCTTCTAATACATATATGTTTGCTGTTGTTGCAAGAATTTTCAAAATTGCTCTTGCAAAATATCATCCAGTATTCGAAGATTCAATCATTAATGTTAACAAAGAAATCAATAGAATGAAAGAAACAATTCCAAAAGTTGTTAATTACTTCCAAAGCATTTATCTTGGTGGCTCAGATCCAAAGGAAGTTCCATTTACTGAATTAACTACAGTTATTGATACAGCTTCTGCTACACTAACTTGTCCAGGAATTTATAAACCACCAACTAATGTTGCTGATAGTGTACATTGCTTTAATTCAGATCAACAATACTCAGTTGCAACTGCATTAATAATGTACTACTATGTTACAATGCAGGAAGGAATATGGCCATCTCCAAAAGATGAAGAACTTCAAGATCTTTGGCAAATTGGTCCAATTGAATTATATCAAACATTCTTTTCAAAGGCAGGAGATATGATTGTACCAATTATTGTAGATTGTATTGAAGAACAATCTCAGAAACAAATTGTTCATTCTTGTGCTTTCATTTGCTTAGTATTTTTAGTATCAATTGTTATCATCATTCTTATTAAGAATGAAGATAATTTACTTAAATTCACACTGAAGTTATTCCTAAGATGCCCACCACAATCAATCTTAGGAAATTCAAGAGTCATGGATCTTCTTTCTGGAAATTACAATTTCCACTCTGAAGATTTGTCTGAAAGGCATGTTTGGTTCTCAAATGAAGTCGTTAATAAATTAAATGATGTTGTCATTGTCTGCCAGGAAGAAACAAGCAAAATTGTAACTGTCAATGCAGCATTTGAAGCAATGTTCGACATTAAACAATCAGAAATTGCCAATAAGAATATCAAAGAATTCTTCACTCCAGAAAGATTTGTAAGCACTGAATCAATCGAAAAAGTTTTCTCGCAAATTACAAATCTTGTTTATAAAAAGAGTGATGGTAATAAAGTTTATTTAGAGTGGTCATCAACTTGCGTTAGCGGCCGTAGAATCTTTTCAGGAAGAGATCAAACACATAATGTCATGCATGAAATGCTCATTGCTGATGAAAAGAGAAAATCAGATTCAATGTTGGCTTCGATTTTACCACCAATGTTAGTTCCAAGAGTTCAAGCAGGAGAAAAGAATATTTCTTTTGCTGTCAAGTCTGTTACAGTTTTATTCTTAGATGTTGTTGAATTCACACCATGGTGTGAATCTCATGATGCTCAATACGTTATGAGAATGCTCAACATCATGTTCAAAGAATATGATGCAATCACAAATGCTCACAAGACAATGACTAAGATCAAGTGCATCGGTGATTGCTATATGGCTGCCGGCGGTATCTTTGATGAAGTAAATCAGCCAGCAATTCACGCTAAAGAAGTTGTAGATTTCGGATGTCAGGTAATTAAAAAGCTTTTAGAGATTGATGAGCGTGAAAATGAGACATTAAGAATCAGAGTTGGTATTAATACAGGAGGTCCAATTGTCGCTGGAGTAATTGGAACAGAAAAACCAACTTTCGAAATATTAGGTCCAGCAATTAATATCGCACATGAAATGGAACATCATGGTGTTCCAATGAAAGTTCATATCTCAAGACCAGTTTACGAATTAATTTATGGTCAGAGTTTTGACATCAAAGAAAGAGGAGAAATTGATGTCAAAGGCGGAAAAATGTTTACTTATATTGTGGAGCCTTAAAAAAGCTCTTTGTTATTAAAATAAAGTATAGTTTTTAGAGTTTTATTAATTTGTATCTTATGAAGTAATTATAAATTAGATAGACTAACTATTTGTATACGAAAATATATCATTATATTATTGAATAATTTTATGGATCTGAAATCTAAAATATAATTGAACAAATTCATAATATATCGTCAGTAAAACCTACGGAAATCTGTATTAATCAATCTTGAAAGATTTCGGTGTTATTTGATGAAGGCAAATTTAAATCTAAGCGCAGAAATACAAATCTATTTCAGAGGAGCTTGGCCTTATGGAAGTGTGATAATTTGCCTTGAACCAAATGATTTATCTAGCAGATTATTTCAATGAGCTATATTAAACTAAAAAATTGGAACCGATGCTAGATTCACTCGAATACGACTTTAGATTTGTATTATAATCAATCCTATTATCGCATGATCTATCATAGCTTTCTCCCAAATGATCTCAATTCGATTGAGTAAAAATTGCAATTGTGTGAGCAGAAATTTAAAATCTCTGAAGTTCGTAGTTAAATGAATATTATCCTATATTTTTAACATATCATATGACTATAATACGGTAGGCGTCACATTTTTCATCGTCGTCATTTATAGAACGATAAAATCAACAAAAATTTAACTAAATTCCAATATTTACATTAAAATAGGCCAATCAACTTTCTGGCGACCAATCTTCATTCAATTTTTGATAGGGTTTGAGCCAATGATCATTCAGGGGTTTCTCCTTATTACACATTAGGTTAATATCCATATTTTGCATTATGTGAACTGACCCATAGATATTTTATATTCAAAAATTCAATGAATTGAGAACTTTGATTCATTTATGTCTACTGAAGCTCCAGTTCTCGGTATCATCATTGGCGGCGCCCCAGCTCCAGGTCTTAATGGTGTTATTGCCTCTGCTACATTCTATGCTCGTCAGCTTGGCTGGAAAGTCATTGGTTTCCACGATGGATATTTACATCTTGCCACTGGCTCATTAGAAGAAGTTAAGGCTAACACACTTGAACTTAACGAGGACTTTGTTGCACCACACCTCTCAACAGGTGGCTCAATCATTCGCCCACACAGATATGATCCAACAAAGTCAAACAAGGAAATTCACAATGTCCTTAGAAATCTTAAGGAATTCCACATTCGCTACCTCATCATCATTGGTGGCAATGATAAAATCGCTACAACACATATCATTACATCTGGCCTTGATCCAGCTCAGATGCAAGTTATTGCTATTCCAAAGACAATCGATAACGACATTTCACTTCCTTACAACACCGATACATTCGGCTTCCATTCTGCTCGCAAGTTCTGCTCAGAACTTGTTATGAACCTTGCTGTTGATGCCCGCTCTGCTCCACGTTGGTTCATCATCGAGACAATGGGTCGCCGCTCCGGCCACCTTGCTCTCTCCGTTTCTGAGGCTACAGCTGCCCATCTTTGCATCATCCCAGAAGATTTCAAGGGCAGACAAGTCACACTTAAGGAGATCTGCGACGTCTTCGAGGGCGCAATCCTTAAGCGTTATCTTGCTGGAAAACCATACGGTGTTTGCATCATCACAGAAGGTTTGATCCATTACCTTCCAAAGGAGGAGATCGAATCCCTCTTCAAGGATGGCATCGTCCAGTACACAGCTGAAGGCCAGCTCAACCTCGATGAGGCTGAAATTTCCCGCGCCATCAGAAACGAGATGAACAACAGACTTTCCAAGATGGGACTCGACGTCAGAGTCAATCCAAAGAAGATCGGTTACGAACTTCGTTGCATGGACCCAATCTCTGCAGATATGTGCTACACAAGAGAACTCGGCGCTGCTGCAATCGAAGGATTCCTCAACAACCACTCCAACGTCATGGTCGTTTGGGAGAATGGTAACGCTACATACGTTTCATTCCGCTCTCTCATGAACGAGGAAGACGGACAGATCTACCCAAGACTCGTCGACACAAAGTCACAGAACTACCGCATTTCACGCGAATACGGCTGGCAGGTCAAGAAGTGCGACCTCGACGACACTGAGAAGGTCGAGAAACTCGCAAAGATTGCAAAGATCACTCCTGAGGAATTCCACAAGAAGTTCGACCCAATTATGGATGATCCAGCTAAATACTAAGTAAATTTTTTATATATTATAACTAAATCTTTTTCTTTCTTTTTTGAAGAATCTTTAATTATCATATAAATACTTTAAAAAAGTGAACTCATTTTTTAGACCAAAAAAGTGGTACCTGAGTATATTGTTTCTGCTTTATCTGATCAATGAAACGGAATTGAGATTTTGTATCTCTTAATCAAACGGAAGTTAAGCTAAGACATTTGGTTGATACCTTTGTTTATGACGATTTTCCCCTTTAATACTTATTTATTGTTGTCTATGATGATTTTTTTATTGAATATTTTCAAAAATTCTACGAAAATTGAAACAAAACTGCAAGGATCTGTATTTCATATGTTGTTGAAATAATTTTCAACCTCGAATTCTTAAATAGAAACGTTTCTTAGAATAAACTTTTCAAATTTCCGAAAATTAATCAATAAGATATACATAGGAAACTAAGAGATTAAAAATATAACTCCTCTCAAGTGGGAGCTCTCTGAGGTTCAAAAATAACACCCAATATAGCTTTTTTACCAAAATTGTCACTTTTATTATAAATGAAATTCATTCTTTTCTTTCAGGCAACTTCGACTGTCGTTTTTAATATTCAAATATAATGGATAAATTCTCAATTAGATTCTTTCTCGCAATGATTTTAAGATCAGAAAATGCAAATTAGTCGGATTATTTTAAAATAACTTAAATAATTATAGTATTGAACTATTTTTACGTGATGATAAGAATAAAGAGAATACCAATTACATTATTGTTACTTAGTATTGAGGCAAACAATAATGTAATTCATAAAAATACTAAGTAAAATAAAGTACTAATATGCAAAACAATTGGATTTATTCTAATTCCCCAACAATTGGCTTGTATCATGGAACTTACCTTGTTAAGCACAAAAATTTTAAGATATCTTATGGTAATAGTGGTATTGAATTATATTTACGTGTTGATAAGAATGATGAAATACAAGGTAGTTCAGGAACAGTTACAAATGGAGATGTTTCAATTTCAGTTTCTTACAAGTTGTTTCCAGATGTTAACTACATCAACATCATCCACACAGTTACAAACAACGGAGATAGAAATCATGAAATAGACTTTCGATGCTATTCAGACATTGATATTGAAGGAAGTGATGGATCTGATGGTGATCAATGTCCAACACGAAACATTGAAGGAAATCGAGGTGTTGAATTTATCAACAAAGATAGAACAGTTCGATTTCTTCTTCGAGATTTCCCTTTTGTTACAAATGTTGATACTTATTCATATACTTATTGTCCTGGATATGGAAATTGGAGTAATTGTACAAAATACATATATATTGAATCTGGTGCTGGTATTAGATTTTCATGGCAAAATCAACAAATTAAACCTCATGAATCTAAAAACTATTCATATTCCATTGGAATGGGTGAATATTACAAAACCCATAAATTGATTTTGTTGACACAAAAACAAGATTGTTATGATCCAAACACAGAATTTTCATTAGATTTCGCTATTGATTCCGTGAGAACTGATACAGATTTGGAATTAACTATTAATCGACTTATTGCCGATACTAATGAACAAACTGTTAAAACTTTTACAGATAAAGGATCTCAAATGACATTTTCTGACAAATTAACATTATCACAAGGACACCATACTATCAAATATATAACAACAGATAGTCGCAACACTAAATCAGAACTATCAATTCCTATAATTGTTACTAAGAAGCCAACAATTACATCAAGAAAAACAATACAGAGTTATTATGAATCAATTGATAAATTACCATTTGATATCGATTTGTATGATGATTCTTTTGCAGTTTTTAAGATATTTGATGACCAAGATACATTATTCTTCAACAAATCAATAAATTGCAGAGGCCAAATCAAAAACATCTTAGATACAATTGATTTCTTAAAATCACCAATCGAAACAGTTCGAAAAATATCAATTGTTGCAGTAGATGAATTTGGTGTTTATTCAAATTTCATTAATTTCACTGTGAATAATGAGAAACCATTCATAAGATTGTCCGAAATATCAACACCTATTCAACTCATACAAAAAAACTTGAGAATTTACACAGACATTCTTCTTATGTCTGGATCAACAACAGCTCGTATATATTCTTCAATAAACACAGATTCATATTCATTAATGAGAACTTTGAATGATTTAACTCCTTATCAATGGAAATCAGTATCATTTGGTTTCGATGTTAAAGACATTCCGAGTGATGGAAATAATACATTTAAATTGTATGTACAAGATTCAAACAATTTTGAATCAAGTCCACTTCTACAATCTCTTATTTTGATCGCTTATCAAAGAGATTGTACTAGTAATCTCTATTTGAGAAGGCGCTCGGCTTTTGTTGTTGTACTTACTATGAACTAAATATCTATCTTTTAAAATTTAATTTCATATTTAAATTTCTGACACACTCTCAAATTTCAGTTTAAAGTTTTATTTTTCTGATCTGCTTCGCGCCTGTTCTCCTATTTTTGAGAAGTGAACCTTTAATAGTTATAATCAAACTATTCCTATATTAATGATTGACATGATATGTAAAATGTGATTGCATTTTAAACTATTAATCACTGATTATTGTAATTTTTTTTTATACAACTTCATGGTGATTTAAATTATATACATATCAAGTACACAAAAAGTATATTAGAAATTTGGCTTTATATTAAAATTAAAGTGAATCTTTTATAAGTAGTATATGTGGAAGGGTTGTGTGACTTTTTTTGTAAATGTAAGAATTCATACAATATCGAGCAATTTTGTATCATTTTTTTTAACATATGAAGTAAAAAATGTATGATTCTTACGGTTTTTATTCTTACATTTTTGAATAAATCAAGATTTAAAAAATTTTCAAAATTGTAAGACATTTACACTCAGCCCAAACATAAACCATTAAAAAAATTAACATTGATTTTAAAATAATTTATTTTATCTTTTATAAAAGAAGCTATATATAGATGATGTCAGATATTCCACGATTAATTAAACATTGTTTAAATCCTGAATGGAATCAATAAAGTCATAATCAAAGACCTCATAAACGAGTAAAAGAAATTAGAAACTAATGATTTTCATGAATTTATGAAATCAATTATTTGATTCATTCTTTCTTCAATCTCTTCTATTCTTTTTGTTAAATCATCTATTTTCATTAATGAGGTGATTCTTGATTGAGGAATAGATTTCAAACTAACCACTCCTTTTATTTTTGAAATTTTGAATCCATCAACTTTAAACATTTTATTCAATTTACACGTTGTCAATTCTTCAAATAATTTTTTATTATTAGCATAATAGTCATTAAATTCTTCAACAGATGAAAAAATTTTTATTTCAGTAATTGGTTTAACAACGTTTATTTTTTGTTGAACATTTTCACTTTCATTTATTTCTTCCTCCTCTGTTTCATTTATTTTTAAAATCGGTTTCATTTATCATTAAATAAAAATTAGAATATAAGTGATGAAATATATTTTTTAATTAATATTAAATCAGAAATGGCGGCAGGATTCTTTAAAAAATTATGGGATGGAATTAAGAAAGCTGCAGGTTGGGTTTATAAAAAGGTTATTAAACCTGTTGCAAACTTTTTGGCACCAGTAGCGAAAACGGCAGGAACTATCATAGGTGGAGTATTAGGTACTAAAGCAGGTAATCCGGCGATGGGAGCACAAGCAGGTAACGCAATTGGTGGAATAGCTGAAGGAATACTAAATAAAATAGGAGGTAAATAGTGGAAAAATAAATTATTTTAAAATTATTTTTATCTTAGTATCGGTTGTAGTCTTTGATAAACTTTTTCTCCTTTATTTAAAACTTCTCTTATTGGGGCAGCTTTTGGTGTTATTGATTCAGCAATGTCACTAATTGCTTCTTTATTCTTAAATATCCAATTTGCTCCCTTCTTCAATGTTTCCCAAACTTTACTCGCTCCTCTTTTTACTTTATCCCACAGTTTCTTAAATATACCCGCAGCCATAGTTGATTATTTCATTAAAATTAAAAATTCATTTTCATCTTTTAATTTTGATTTTTTATTTATTAATAAATGACGACTAACTATTTAGTGCCAAACACTAAACCGATTAATGGAAATGTGTTTCATTCATTCGAAAAGATAAATGAAATATTCGCAAAGAATGACGGTAGAAGATATTATAGAGAACTTGAAAGTTCATGCTATGACTCTGATGCTCCATATTTTGATGATAAACAAACTCATTTAAGAATTACAAATCCGGCTCATGATGTGAACCAATTAGGTGACACATATATTAAACGCAAAGTTAAAGCAACTCTAGTTTCAAATAAAGCTTTCACATGTGATGCCACTTTTAAATGCATGCGTTTATTCGTTGGTTACAAATCATCAAATCAAAGCTTTAAACAATTAGAAGTAGAAACCGAAAGAGGTGATGCCGGTTATCTTCAGATGGATTGCGCCCGCGAATCTTTCGCATTTGCAACATATAAACCAAAATCAGAAAGGAAAGTTAAAAAGTTTGTTCATTCGTTATATAATAATGTTCAAAAATATGATAACTCAGTATGTGGTAAATATATTGACCCTTCAGAAGTTTTCAAGAAAGCAAATGAAGAAGTTGATGTCACTTTTGATATGATTATTCCGGTAAATGATTTGTTAGCATTTCAGGCGTTCGATGATTATCCTAAATCATTTGGTGATATCATTCTTAAATATTATGTTTTCAGGGATACTTTAGTATTTTGTCAGGTTGACCCGTTAAGAGTTGCTGATTTACAAAATTACGTTTATGAAAAGATAACTGATGAAAATTATGAAAAGATTATGAATCATGTTTATAAATATGATCGCAAATTCCAACAAATCGGACTTCCTGCCAAATTAATTACAAGCTTAGCCGCTACATCTGCTGAGGCAACAGTTGATGACGTTATTATTTCATGCACAAAGATGGAAGTTTTAGAGGATAAATGCATTACACCAGGATATGGTTTAATTAAAGAATCAGTTAAAGCAATACCACGTTTATTCAGTAAGGAAGATCCATTCATGATTCCAGCTCAACATATTGACGTTCGTTCACTAAATGGAGGTTGCATCACTCCTGAAGGTATCAGCTCAGATTTCTCATACGCTCTTCATAATGTTACAGATGTTGTGTTAACATTTCCGAAGAATGCAATGCAAAGAACGGTTTTAAAATCCAATGCTTCGAGGTCTTCAGGTCACTATAGATTCCAGAAACTTCCCCGATCAAGCGATGACCACAGTGGGTGACATATTCTTTACACGTATGCTTCAAGCTTCTGATTTAGATGGAGTGAATGAATGCACAGAAGAATACGAGGACTCATTAACTAGACCACTGAATGCAGATGATGGCACGCCATTAGCTAGAACATGGAAAGACCAAACTTCATTCTTATGCACTATTCCAGTTCAACGTGATGGAGCGGGTATATTCTTTGATGGATTAGAAACTTTCAACTCACAAGTTACAGTACAAGTGAAAGCTTATCCAATCATTCAGGGTGAAAATGACACTTACTGTTCAAAGGTGACAAATCCTCCTCAGGTTTGGTTTACTAGGACTACATATTGGACATGGACACCGGATGAAGGTTTGAAATATCATCCAACAGGTACACCACCACAGTATAGAAGTTCATATGATGAAATATTGATGAATAGAAATGTTTAAAATTATAAATTTATTTTTGATTAAATGAATTTAAATTCATCCACCCCTTATGAAGAATTAGCAGGAGTATATAATACATACGTAGATGATATGATTAATGAAGCATTGAGTGATAATAGAAATGCTCTATCTAAGGAAAAATTAATGAAAATTCCATATTCTGAATTTATTTAAATTCAATCACTGCAGCAATTGGTAAACAAAATAAAGGTAAAACATTAACGATATTAAAACAAATTATCATTATTGCTAACACTTCCCCCCATTCACATGTGTTAATTTATATCAACCTTCAGGTTCACCTTCAGATGATACATTTGAATCTTTAAAGCATTTAATCAAAATTCCAATTATTTATTTATCACAAGAAGAAGCAGAAGATTATTTAAAAAACTTTTTAATGTATAAAGAATTATATAATACAATCAAGAAGCAAGGATTAGAGGATAAAATTATTGATAAACAACGGGATGAATTATTTGAAACACTTTCTATTTCAAATTTTGATAGAGAATTTTTGCATTCACTCATTTTTCTAGATGATGCAGTGAAATCAAAACTAATAACAAATGAGAAATCATATTTTAATCAGTTATTAACTCAATGTCGACACATTCAGTGTTCATTCTTTATGGCTGTTCAATATTTCAAAGCATTAAGCACAAACATTAAATCAAATCTATCAACACTTTTCATTTTCAGTGGGTTTAGTCGTCAATAGTTGAACGTTATGCTTTATCAAGTGAATTTACCAATGAGCATTAATGAACTTTACACACAATATCAGCAATTAGGTGAACATGGAAAAATAATAGTTGATTTAAATAAAGGAAGTGTTAAATTTGATTAACTTTTTATAATTAATTTTTATTTTTTATTTATAATTAAACATGACAGAAATAGCAAATCTTCTACAGGTTCCATTAAAACAAGGGACAAACAAAAGGGGTGCATATAATAGAACTATGAAAGTTCCTGATGGAATGAAAGAATTAGTTCATATTGTTGCTGGTCTTCAAAAAGATGTTAAACAAATGAGAAACGTTTTAACATTACCAGAAGCTCAAGCATATGCCAAACGTCATGGTCCAAATTGGGAAGCACACGAAGCAGACATTACGGGTCCAAATGGAAAACCTGATGGTATAAATGAAGTTTTCGTTACTGATGGTCAAGGTAATATTAAAGTCATAAATGGTTATAAATTAACTATAACTGATTATCCTAAACGTAAAGCATATAATGAACGTTATCCTATACAATTTGATGAAAATGGAAAAGCTGTTAAACAATACATTGGAGAAGGTGAAAATGGTCCAATTAATTCATACCGTCATAATCCATATTCTTATTTCAATGAAGAATTAAATGCTATTGAAGAGGGACCGGATGGATTACCACGATATTCTAACCAGTTTGATGGTCAATATGCAAATATTAGACCCGAAATTTCAGCTAAGAAATTCTTTAAAGTTGCTTTATTCGATCCAGTTTTTCGCAAATGTTAAAGATGAACTTAAACAGCAATTCCAACAATTATAGTAGCAAGAATTGCATCAGGTGCTTTATCTCAAGCATTCAAAGATTTAATTAAGAAACCATTATATCAGCAACGAGGTTTAACTTATGATTTAGTTAAGGAATCAGATAAAAGAAAATTTGAGAAATCAGATGATTATAAGAATGCAATTAATGAATATATTCGGTCTATTAATTTCGATGAAACAGCTAAAAATCAACTTCATGAACAAATACAGGGAATAATAGATTCAAAAGTTCCAGCAAAATAAAAGTTTAAATATATTTTTTTATTCGAATATAAATGAGAAGACGTTTTCACTAGTTAAAAGAACACTAACGCAAAAGCAGAGATTACGGTTGGTTATAACGTAAATGATGATAAATCACGAATTATTCAAAATGTTAAAGTTAATGTTAGCCCTGAATTAACAAGGTCAGCAACTCAACCAAATTTATTAACTCGTGACTTACCGAAAAAGGAGGAGGAGCAAAATAAAGAAGATGGAGACCCAATCATTTTATCTGAACCCGGTAAAAACCTGTTGAAATTCCCACTTATCCAACACACCCCCCACCTCTTTCATCAAACATCGAGAACCCATATAAAATAGACATTAATTCAGAATTAATGAAAATTTACCGTGATATAATAATTAATAATTATGATTCAATAATAAATTTAATTGACCAATCTGGTTTAATTATTTTACCTTATGAATCATTAATTCACATTATCGCCATTCTTTGTGATGTTCAAGATTCAGACGTTAAGATTCAATTTTTCATAGATGATGAGGTTTCATGCTGCGGAACAGTTGCAAAAATAAATCCTATAAAGGATATTAGCACAATTAAGATATCAAAAATGGAACAACAACTGAACTTCATTTAACATATAATGATATTTATAATAAAATAGTTGATGAATATAAAATATCACTTGAAAAATTCTTTGTTAAGGCTATTTAATATTCAAGCATTAACATTATCGAATAATAATCCTTTGAATCATAATCAATAATAATTGACCTTTCACCAGTTTCTATCGTTTGTTTTATTTCTTTTTGTTCCCCACTATCCGGATCGGTCATTGTAATTGTTTTTGTTATAGTATCAGCTTTATCTTTAACTTCAATCTTTTTTCCATCGGGATATTTAAACCAAAATTCCAAAAATTCGATATTGTCAATCTGTTCATATTTTAATCTATCAATTACATTTTTAATACCATCTGAAAATCTTATGAAATGGTCATTATATGGGTTTGATTGAACTAAATTTGAATGAAGTGAAATATAACCTGTTGATGAATATGACACTGACTCATATTTTCTGAAAACACTAAAATTTATAACATGAATGAATTTCTTATTCGTTGAATTTATGAATTCTTGAGGTAATCTTATTCTAGTTTTATTTATCACTGGAAAATAACGCTTTACCATATTTTTAATCGTAATAAAAAATGTCAATTATCAATATTATTTCGAATAATAACTGTGAATTAAATTTAACAGTTAGCGGAATTTATAATGTTACTCTCGTTTCTGTGAGTGGTAAATTTAATCCATTCTTTTAGACCCTTCAGATTATATATCATTTATTAAAGATGACCATGAAAAAACGTATGATATGTATATAAATAATGTGATAGCGAAATGGGATATTAACACGATTTTAAGTATATTAAATGAATCATTTATCGTATGGTATGAAGAAAATTTTAAATCAAAACCTGATAAACTTTTTGAACTTGATGAAATAAATAACCTTATTAAATTCCCGCTGAAAATTAAATTTTGTACTCCTCATCTTCGTTCATTGTTGGGGATATTAAATTTTGAAAAAGATGTTGGGGATGTTTTGTATTCTGACACTGGTTGCAATTTCATTTTAATCAAATGTGATAAAGTTAATACCCCAATGAGATTTTCACATCAAACATTAGACCCTAACTCTTACCCATCAATACAAAACATTTTATCCATCAACTTAAACACATTTTCTTTATCATATCCGTTTCAATTATCCGGGAATTCATTTATTCTTCATTCAAAAGATTTATCAAATATTAAATTTAGAATAACTGACCTATTTGATTGTGATTTAGAATTCATGAATGAAATATTATGGCAATTTCAAATAGAAAAAATAGCTGATGAGATAACGGATTAAATATTTTTAAATCATAATAAATGATTAAACAACAGCAACCACAGCAACTTAAGGCACAAAGCACCCAGGTCCTTCAGACCATTACATACGCCATATATGCATATAATTCAAAGACGGCAGAACAAACGCAAAGGTTGAAATATGGAGATTTGGAGATAGTATTGAAAAATGACCGTTTCGAATTCGTTTGTAAAGGTGGTGCAGTGATATCAAATATAAAAGAAATTTTATTTATGAATTCTAAAATTAAAGGTATAACGGATGATATAACATCAATTCCACCAGAAGAACAAAGATATTACGCATTAAATGCATTTCCTAAAGTTTTGAAGATTGGAAGATTTAATTTAAATGAGGAATTCATAAAAAGTTTCCTAAATGACATAGACAGTAAAGCGGATAAAACTTATGTCAACAGTGAGTTAATGAAGAAAGCAGATAAGGAATATGTCAACAGTGAGTTAGAGAAGAAGGTAGATAAGGAATATGTGGCTAGTGAGTTAGACCTTAAAGCAGATAAGGAATATGTCAACAGTGAGTTAGAGAAGAAGGTAGATAAGGGATTAATGGCTAGTGTGTTAGTGAAGAAGGCGGATAAGGAATATGTGGATGAAAAAGATAATGAAATTAAAGAAAGGGTTGAAAGGTATCACGAATGGGCATCAAAGATTTTAAAAACTAAAGCTGATACAGGGTGGGTTTCAGGATGTTTAGACCTTAAAGCGGATAAAACTTATGTTAATGATGAGTTAGAGAAGAAGGCAGATAATGAATATGTTAATGGAATATACCAAAGTTTGATAGGAACAACTAAAAATATTGAAACTATTGTTGGTGACTTTTCTGTCAATGAAGAAAATAAATATTTTAGATGGCAGTTTGTACACTCCTTAAGAAATGGTATGCGGTGTAAACTCATTCCGAAAAATAACAATGAAATGTATGTAAGCTATATAAAGAATAATGGTACACAAGTTAAAGTTCCATTAGACAACAACTGTTACTTAAACTTATATGGAGACGAACAAAAGAAATATTTAAGAGTTTATGAAATGACAGATATGACATTGCCTAACCCAGCTCCAGCACCATATTATTATGACTATGGAGATGACGTCAGAACACCACATGTAGATGAACAAAAGTTAACATTATATTTAGATTATTATAGATATAAAAGATATAATGCAATAGAAAAAACGAGAATAGTATATTATTATACAGATGACAAAAATAAATATTATAGTCAAGATTTTACCTACCCTGAAAACATAAGATTATATTATAAAAAATATTCCGACACAAACCAGAAGAAACCTGAAATAGTTGCACTATATTTTAAGTTCAAAAGAGACAATCCTATATTATCTCATATGTTTGATTTAATGAACCCAGTAGGTTCTATTTATACATCTATGGATGCAAGAGGTCCTCAAGTAATGTTTGGTGTTGGTGCATGGGAACAAATAGTCGACAGGTTTTTGTATTGTGCAAACTCTTCAAAGGAAATGGGTGGAAGTAAAACGATTACAGGTGAAAATTTACCTGCACACAGTCACTACATAGATTTAAGCACATCTCAAGCGGGTTGGCATAAGCATAGATATTGGGATTGGTCAGGAATGACAAAAGGTAAAGGATATGATGTTAAAGACGACGTTAAGTTTGCTATAAATTGTTACTGGAGTGACACTCAGGGAGAAGGAAACCATACACATTTCGTTTCAGGATATACACAAACAACGGGACAAGGTAAAGAATACATGCCACCTTACATGACAGTTTACGCATGGTATAGAGTTCAATGAAGCTGCTGACGACTCTATTGCGTTTTACCCTCGACATAAATTAGTTGAAAGTAGTAATGGCAAACTTGCTGAAACCATTGACGAAGCAAAGCGAGGAGTGGTTATTGAAATACTTGGCTATAACATAAACGATGACACTTATAAAGTAAGATATGAAGGAGGCGTTGAAGATGTTATACCATCTAAGAACTTGAGAGAGTCAATGACAACACATCTGGGACCATTAGAGCGGGAGTACTGGAAAGACAAAAATAAGCCAGAAAGAATAAGAAAATTCTTCTAAACTTTTTCATTAGATGTAAATCAGACATGAATGAGAACAGTCATGATATTATTAATGGTACCATTTATTTTTGTCATAAAGACGCAAACGGACTCTTTGAGTCCTGAGGTCTTTCAGACCGAAGCGGCGAGGACGAAGTCCATGAACAAAAATCATGTTTATGTTAGCATGTTAGATCTCACCCGTTTTCTAACCACTTTTCTAACATGGTCTAAAACTCTCGAAAATCATGAATTTTTGACATTTCCTTATGAAAGAAAAATAACGCTAATTTTTTTCAAAGAAAAAATTTTTATCTTGTATGTAAAGATATGATTTCAACAATAGGTTCTACAACACTTCAAACAACAACTTCACCAAACTCTTTAGTTATGAATCCAACATCTATGTTAGTAGAGATGAAAAGCTTCATTCCTTCTTCATATACTTTTGAGACAGAAATACAAAGAATTAAGCAAGAACTTTTAACAAGTAATTTAGACTGTAGTGCGAAAGATGAAACAAATGAACAGTATCTTTATGACATGCAGGACATTATTGACCATTTACCCAAATTGCCTGAAATCCAACAACAAAAGCTCACTATTCATGAATTCGATGAAATAGAAGTGAAACCAACTGACTCAGTAGAAATAAAGAAGTTCATACGTAAAGTAAACTATGAGTTTCTAGGATATCATTGCAACCATAAAGTTATGGACAAAGATTGCGACATGGTATATAAGAACATCTCTGACATATATAAATCTGGGGAGTTTAAGACATACGACAACTTTGTTTCATTAGTTGCTGAATGTGTTTGGGAAATAAGAGATAAAGATAGAAGAGGTAAGGTATGGCATGAACAGTTAAAACCAGCAGCTTTTGAGTTAAAGAAAACCATTGACGCCTTAGTTGTTCTAGCTGGTTTTATTTCAATGTATAACGCAAAAATGAATCCGCAATGTTCAAAATGTAAAGCAGCAATGAGGAAATATAACTACTCCGTCAAAGAGATAGAACGTATGAGAAACGACTATGCTGACTTAAAGAAAGAAGTAGAGAAACCAGCAGAAGATAAAATGGATATGTTGAACAACAAAAACTATCCAACTGCTGACGATTTCCTATTATCTGATGTCAAGAAGAAATATAAAGAAACCTTCGGCATAGTTAAAATTTTTGATATCCTTCGTGAAGAAATAGAAGCTACAAAACTGTTTAAAGTCATGAACCATCGCAACATATACCATGTAAAACGCTTGTAAATAGTTTTCTTCGATGTTAGAAAAGTGGTTAGAAAACGGGTGAGATCTAACATGCTAACATAAACTTTATTTTTGAAGAACTGAAGGTGCTACCATGTTACCATGATGACGACATGAAATTGTGTCAACATCACGAGAGGAAAGCAATAATGATTTATTTTTGAAGAACTGAAGGTGCTACCATGTTACCATGTGCTACCAGGTAATTTAATTTCTTTTAAAAATAGTGACAACATGACATTTTGACAACAACATAGGAGGAAAGCAAAAATAAATTCAAATCATACTTTATAAAGCTTCATTTACAGGTATTTCATCGTCAGTAAATGAATCCTCATCATCGTTTGGTTCAACTTGTTTATATAATCCTTTCATTTCTTCTTTCAAAACATAACACCATGTTTGTTTACCGTCTATTCTTCTATGTTTCCTATCACATTTATCCTTAATACTCATTTGAAAATTCTTGTCTTTCATGTCTGATGGTTTGCAGAATAGAGCATTTTCACACGTCATACCTGCACACAATTCATCATAATGTGTATTTATCCATACATCTAAAGGATTTGATGATAATTCGATTAAATCTTGTTTGGCTTCAGTCATCGGTATGATTCGTACATTAAATGATGAAAGGTCGTAATTGATAAAATACGTCAGTAAATTATCATAAAATTCCTTAGTGCATGAATTCATCAAATTCTTGAAGTAATCAAATTGACCCTTAAATTTACCATTAACTCTTAAAACTACATATCTTCTGTCTCCAACTTCAATTTTGACAGGGTAGACGTTATTAGTTACGAAAATGAAGTTTGCAACATTCTGAGCAGTTCTTCTGGGTTGATTCTTTTCATTAATTCTAATCTCATTATCCGTTATAATTGATTTCAAAGCGTTGAAGTTTGCAAGTCTGTCTTCACCTACATTCTTGAGTTCATTAAGTACAAGAAACATTTTATTCTCAACTACTGAATTGAAATTACCCGTTAACTCACTTATTTCAGTAATGTTTTTGCATGAATAACCGGCGAGAAGTTCAGAAATAATGTCTGTAAATCTGTTTTTACCTGTTCCCTGAAGTCCTTTCAAAATAATTGCTGTTTCATTCTTGATTCCAGGATGTTGAATCATTGATGCAATCCAGCCGAGAAGGTATTTATACACTTCATCGTTATTATCACAAATGACTTCTTTAATGAAATTCATAAACATCTCAATTTTTGAGTAATCAAGCTTTTCGAGAATGTTGTATTTATAACCCTGAAACGTTGAGAAAACATCTGGGGAATCAGATTTAAAGCAAACACCCTTAACGGTTAATGAAGATAATTGATTTAATAGTACATCCCATGCTGTTATTGTTTTACCTTCTTCTTTAAATAATTTAATCATTTTAAGTGACTCTTTCATGTTTGATTGAAGAACGAATGATATTTGATTCGTTTTGTCGTGGATGTTGTAATCTTTTTGAATGAAATATTTATTTCCACAATCTACAAAACGGATTACACGTGATAAATCCTCAATTACTTCAGAACTGTTTTTATACTGATGATTTTCAGCCTTGCGTCTAATATCTGTTATCAAAAACGAGTCATCAAGTTTGATGTCAAATGTTATTTTTGGCTTACGTAATAAAGGCAAAACATATTCATCATAATATTCCTTTTGATAAAGTTTTAGAATCTTCACCAAAACAAATGGAGAAGTCATTAAATGTGCATATCTATCACGTGCTTTTTCAAAATTACTTTTTGCATTTTCAGTTAAATTGCAGAAGTTATAAACGTTATCGTATGCTTCATTAATCAAATGATTAGGTAACGAATTAATAGCTTGAAACAGTGTGAATAATGTTATTTCTTTTTCTAAATTCATGTTTCCACCATCATTATGTACTTCGAAATCACAGATGCCATCAACTATGCTCTGAGCTAGTTTATCGTCAATGTTTACATCTTTGTTTTCATTGACGATGGTCTTTATTTCTTCATTCTTCTGTTCAACTCTTACCTTAATATTCAAATCATTTAATATATCATTCACTGTTCTGGTTAATGTTGAATCATAACTTCCACGAATGAATGAGTATGTATTGATTGGTTCTGTTGCATTCTTGCGAACTCTTGAATCAGCCATAACTACTAAAGAACGTTTTGAATCATCAATAGAAGTCATTATGTCAATATCATAATCATTGCAGGAATAACATTTAATCATTCTGTTCGAAACTGCATAGAAGAAATTAGTGTTGCAATAAATGTGAAGACCTCCTGAAGCGGTTTTAACTATAACGTCTTTATCCGAAAGTTTTGATAAAATGTCTTTTCTAACTGTTTCTTTAAGTTCATCATCGTATGATTTATTGATATCAACATCTATAATCGTTAAATTTGGAATTTTATTTACTAATAAAGCCATACCAGTTTTCCTTCCTCTTCCTCCATCATGTTTGAGGTAGTTATGTAAATCAATCTTGTTTTCACCAATTCTTTCGTTGAGGGTTTTAGTTTCTGCCATAACTAATTCCTCAACTAATGAATCAATAACTTTTTCATCAGAAACGATATAGTTGCTGTTGTTGTTTGTTGCCACAGCTAATTCTTCAACTAATTCTTTAACTAATGAATCAATAACTTTTTCATCAGAAACGATATAGTCACTGTTGTTGTTTGTTGCCGTCATTTATATAGGAATAAAAAAATAAAAATAATTTTAAAACTAACTTTATTTTTGGGCTGCATCATATTTCCTATGTTGTTGTCAAAATGTCATGTTGTCATCATTTTTAAAAGAAATTAAATTACCTGGTAGCACATGGAACATGGTAGCACCTTCAGTTCTTCCAAAAATAATTCATTATTGCCTTCCTCTCGCTATGTTGTTGTCACAATTTTCATGTGTCATCATGACAACATGGTAGCACCTTCAGTTCTTCAAAAATAAATCATTATTGCTTTCCTCCTATGTTGTTGTCAAAATGTCATGTTGTCACCATTTTTAAAAAGAAATTAAATTACCTGGTAGCACATGGTAACATGGTAGCACCTTCAGTTCTTCAAAAATAAATCATTATTGCTTTCCTCCTATGTTGTTGTCAAAATGTCATGTTGTCACCATTTTTAAAAGAAATTAAATTACCTGGTAGCACATGGTAACATGGTAGCACCTTCAGTTCTTCAAAAATAAATCATTATTGCTTTCCTCTCGTGTTGTTGACACAATTTCATGTCGTCATCATGGTAACATGGTAGCACCTTCAGTTCTTCAAAAATAATGAATTTCATTAGTTAGAAAAATAACACTAATTTTATTTTTATATCTTTTTTATCTTGTATGTAAAGACAGTAATGACAAACATTGAGTTTGAAACAGTTAGAAAGATAGACGATGACACCAAAGTGGTTAGAATAGGTGATTTAAACGTAAGATACTCAAAGAAATACAACAAATATTCTTTGTCAGACATTATATCTCCATCTGAAAAGAAAACAAACGACTGGGTTAGAAATGCTTCAACTCAGAAAATTTTGACAAGAAATCCTGAGCTTATGATATCAGTAGCATTTCATGGAACAAGAGCATATCTTATAGACAAAAGTCTTATACCAATAGTTTTGTTATGGTTAGACCCAGTTGTTGGATATAACTTCATAACATATGGTTCATTCGATACGGAACGTTGCAGTGAAGGCTTACTTTACATCGTTCAGAAACAGAAGGACTTCAACACAAAAAGATATAAGATAGGAAGGACATATAATATAACTCAAAGATATGACAGTACAGTCAATAGAGTCAAGGTTGTGTTTGTTAATGATATGAGAGCTGCTGAAACAGAACTGCTTGAAGTTTTTGAGAAAATGTATGGTGCTCCCACGAAAGGTAAAGAAACGTTTGAAGTAGATGAGATAGATAAAGCTATAAAATTATTTGACGAAGTTGCTGAAAAATACATGTAAAGCGTTTATTTTTGTCTTTTGTGAAAGTCAGAAAATAAAGTTAGTTTTATTTATTTTGTATGTAAAGACAGTAATGTCAACATCAGAGAACACAACAACTACTATCGTTCATGAAGCCATCAATGAAGAATACGAGTACATACAATATAACAAACAATTGAGACTCATTCGTTCGGTCAAAGATGACATGTACCAAATGCAAAGTATAATGAATGCTCTTCGTTCTACAAAGCAAGAGGTTAGAAATGAGGTGAGATCTAACATGCTAACATAAACTTTATTTTTGGGTCATTTACACTCATTACGATGAAGTCATAACTGCCATCCTCCTATGTTGTTGTCAAAATGTCATGTTGTCACATTTTTTCAGAGAAGTTAAATTACCTGGTGACCTGGTGACCCTATCAGTTCTTCAAAAATAATTAATTATTGAATAACCTGAAAACCATTAACGATAAAATAACTGATAACAAAATTTTATTTTTATATAAATGGATACCCCACAAGCTCAAAATTTACCACGAATCATAACAAGGGAGGAAACGATAAAAATGATGCGAGAACTTGCTAAAAATAACAAACCACTAAAACTGAGAAAATGTGGTTATGCAGTAATGATGGAAAGAGAGATGTTGTCAAAGAGGAATAAACATTAAATTTGGATAGAGTTTAAAAATTCATCTTTATTAAATTCATCTCTTCCAATCAATTTATTTATTCTATTAAATTCTTTTATTTTTGCTTCACTTAGTTTAAGGATTGAACGGTAAGTTTCTAATTTTTCGATTATTTCTTTATCGTTTTCAACCTCACCGCATTGTGGCTTCTTTTTGTAATAGCATATTTTTTGATTTAATTCTGTTTAGTTTCTTTTTATATATTCATCGTCTGGACTCTTGGCTGCTTCGTTGTCACTCATTTCTTACGAAATAAAAAAAATTAAATATTATTTAAATATAATGGAGTAATAAAATAAATCGGAATTTCTATTAATTTATTGTCAACTTCAACTAATGCATTGCCGTTAATATATCTAACAAATTCGGCTATTGTGTCAAATCTTCGTCTTCTTTTTGTCATTGATTTATCAGTTTTTCCATAATCGAGATGAATCAAAACTTTATCCCCTTGTTTAAAATTCATGAGCCCCGAATTAATTTGTTCACGTTTAACATCATTCAACCTTTCCATTTGCTTTCTAATATATTCCCATTCTTTTGAAATATCATTTTTCATTTCCACTGGTTTCATGTTTATAGTTCTATGCCATGTATTATTGTAATAATATACTAACTGCTGTATGATGGAGTCATGATTTCCATCCCAGTATATCTGACCGTTAACCCCTAACGCATCTCTAAGAGTTCTCATTACCGCATCAACTATTTTATTATGAAACGTATATGGAGAGGATGAAAAGTAAAAATTAATTTGTGGGAAATAATGAGCCATAGCTGCCTGAAATCCTTTATCACTATCACCCCTGATATTATCTACTCTTTCATGATCTAGTAAGTATTGAATAGCTCTTCTTGTTTCCTGTTCTATTTTCCCTTTCACCGGAATGCAATATAAATATCTTGTGTTAATGTTAATGGCAAATAAATAAGTAACATTTCCTTTTGAATATTCTAAATGATCGATTTCGTATGAATATGGATATGGTGCAAATGAAGGGCGACCAAATTTTTCCTTTAACGGTTGAATTTTCGGGTCAGTTGGTTTATTTAATATCTTGAAACCCTTTTTAAAATCTTTTTGTTTCTTTAATGTTTGAAATGGATATAATAAAGTGAATGATGAAGGATTAACTGAAGGAGGAGGTACTACTGCTGGAGGAGGTACTACTGCTGGAGGAGGTACTACTGCTGGAGGTTTTGGTGTTGTGAGTGGTTTAATTTTATCTGCTTTGATTTTGGATGATGAAGTTTTGGAATTCATTCCCTCCTTCATTAATTCCGGATGTATTCTATTCATTTGTTTTAAATATACTGTATATAAAGGTTTGATATACTTTCCTGCTTCGAGTTTATGTTGAAGGATGAATTCCAAAAGTTGATCTTCATTTAAAAGTTGGGCTGAATGTGGTTTAACTAATGAATCATAAATTAAAGCTTGTGCATCATTTTGGTCTGAAGGACCGGGCGTTTTGTTTCTTTGTTTTTTGTGGCTCAGGATTATATAATTTTATATAATTTCATCAATATCTTCTTCTGTTAATACTTCATTTTTGAAATCTTTCAAATGTTTAAGTTGTGATTTAGTTTTTTCCTTTGTATATTCATTATTTTTAATTTTATCTTTAATTTTAGAAATTATTTCATCATAATATTTCAAAAATTCATTATCATAATATGAATAATAATAATCCATATCATCATCCGTTATATTTTCATCATATTTTTGGAGATATGCTTTTAAATCATAATAACTAAAAATTTTGATCACGTACTAAATCATCAATTAAATTTTCTAAATCTACGTTATCCATTTATATAAAAATAAAATAAATGTTTTAAGGGTGCCCACCTCTTTGATCAAGAATCAAAACCATCATTCAACGGTTCCTTTTGTCTCTTCTGTGGCATTTCATTAAATAAACGGCATACAACATCCATTTTCACAACATACAGCCTTAGTGTGTGCTCCTGTTAATGCAGTCTTACCAATTGTTAAGCGAGTCATTGCCCCGTTTTTAAGTTGTAAATTAATATTCTGACCATCAATATCACTTTATCATTTATATCCAAATAATTTTTAGGTGTTAATTTTTTATTTTGTCGTAAACTAACTCCTTTTCATTTTTTGTGCAATCTTTTTAAAATCACTTCCATCAATTGAACCGTGAATGATGTATAACACTTGGGGCATAAAGCAACCATGTTATCACCTTGTTTCTCAATTGCTAACCAATAACTTCTTCTCATGTGCTTTTTCTTCAGCTTTATTCTTTAATTTAGGTTTAAATTTCTCATCAAAACAAAAGAAATCAAAAGGTGCGAATTTGTAAATGTTTTTATCATAAAATTGTTTATCGGTAACAATTGCTTGAAATGCTTGAGTGTTAGGAAGATTTGGGTCGCCAGCGATTGCCCAATAAGATGAATCAGTATCACCTTCAATGAAATGAAAACGATTAACATTCATGCATTTATACATAAAATCATAAATGAAAACCAAATACCAGTATTTAGCATTATCTAAAGTGAAGAATGCCTCTTGTAAACATGTTTCACATCTATAAAATCTATCTTTAAGCATCACTTGATACGTATCTTCACCTATTTCTCTTATGTTTTTAAACTTATTTGACATACATGCAACGCGTGACTTCTGTGCATTTATGATTTTAGTCTTTGTGTAATTTTGTGTATTCATTGCATCGTAACCATATGATCCATTAAGTGAAATCTTGCAAAATAAACTTTTTCCTTTATTTCCTTCTAATTCAGCCTTTTGTCTTTCGTTCATAAATTTGTTCGCAAATTCATTAAAACAAGTGTTTTTTAGTAAATGTTAAAATTGATGAATGTCATCGATATAAAATGAAATTTGTCTATTAGATACACAAAGATATAAGAAGAAAATGGTGATATTGGTTGTGTGTTGATGCTAACTGAGTTAATTTTCTCTGTTTCTGGTCAACTGGTAGATTGTTTGATTTCATGTAATTATACATAAAACTGCCAATTGTTTTTTCATCTGTGATAATATCTAAGTTTCTTATTATCGGTAAAAAGTTTATGTAATCATTAATGTATTTTTCATCAATGTGACCCTTTACTTCAGCCACGAATAAAGTATTTTTCTTCTTAATTATTCCCAGTGCTTTTGCTTTCTTTGTTGCTGTATCACAAATGATAACACCATTCAATCTTCCCGGCATATACATTTTATGGTCAGTATATTGAATGAAATCATGAGGATTAGATGAAAATGATGAAGGATATAATGAAAGTGAAAATGTTCAACAAAAAATAAACGTTGTTAAACCAATTACTGAAATAAAAAATTTTTCATCTGTTGAAGAATTTAATGACTATTATGCTAACAATAAAAAATTATTTGAAGAATTGACAACATGTAAATTGAATAAAATGTTTAAAGTTGATGGATTCAAAATTTCAAAAATAAAAGGAGTGGTTAGTTTGAAATCTATTCCTCAATCAAGAATCACCTCATTAATGAAAATAGATGATTTAACAAAAAGAATAGAAATTATTGAAGAGCGAATAAATCAAATTATTGATTTCATAAATCATGACTCGTTGAGCCCGGGTCCTTAAAGCCCATCACTGAGTTCAAGGTTATATTCATCAAATATTTCATTATTCAATGCAACTTCTGCTAGTTTATTTATTTTTTCAATACGATCATTTGAAAGTCTATCGTTTAATTTTTTCTGAAGTTTAACCCATTCAGGATTTAAACAATGTTTAATTAATCGCGGAATATCTGACATCATCTATATATAGCTTCTTTTATAAAAGATGAAAAAATAAATTATTTTAAAATTAATGTTAATTTTTAATGATTTATAAATAAATATATTTTAATGCATCGTCTATATATAGATGCAACAAAAAAGGTCTCACAACCCGTTCTCATATACTACTTCTGATATGTAATTTATCTTCAATTAATAATTTATTGATATGAAGATATCCGATCTTCAAGAATGAATAATGAATATCGATATATTTAACACCTTTAACTTCATTAATATTTGTCAAGCAAATCGAATCAACACTTAAACATGTTGCATAGATTTCACAATCAAAATCACTAAATTGTGATGAAAAATACAAAATGTCTGTTTTGATAATTATTTCTGAATAAGTTAATGATACATATGAAGCAAATGTGATTGATTTTATTTTAATAAATCTCTTATGTTCTGCATAAATCTTTAACGGAAAAACAATTTTCAATTCACAATCAAATGGAAAATCAGTTTTATCGTAAAGGTATAAATTTGAAACTTCAAACACTGCTTGTTTCGGAAATGTATTGAAATCCATATAAACTAGCTTTTGCGAATCTGCGCTTATTGAAAATTCATCTATTTTGATATCAGAATTCACATACAAATTATGTTCATTACCATCCCAATATAGTTTCCTGCATTCAAATGTAGAGTAAATCGTAATATTTTGTTTGGCATAAACATCAACGTTTTTCGGAAAACTTAATATATTATTTGAATCTATTAATGATGTTTGATTAAATTCGATTTCATTACTTGATGTATAGAATCGATTCGAAGATGCAGATTCAACAAATTTACATAATACAGAACTATTTGTAAATTCGGTTATTTCTGTATAAAATTTAACTTTCTTTTGAATATATGAATTAAAGAAATGAATTCTTTGTGCATGAACATAACTATTATCAACTAATTCTATATTATTAAACTCAAGAATTTTATAATAATAATCATCTTGAATAAGTATTTACCTTGTATCTTTTTTTAGAGAAATCTATTATTTTAATTGTTTCTTTGTACTTATCTCTGATTTCTATATCAAAATTCTTATCTATAATTGAAATATTTTCAAAAGTTTCGTAAAATGATGATAAATTGCAATAAAGAACTCCATTTTGTTGCGATTCATTTATTTGTTGGTTTTCTGTCAAAATTATTTTTCTTAGGAGTTGATTTTGAGATTTTTCTATATGAATGATATATTCGTTTGTTCGATTATCATAAATCATGTATGAAATTGCTTCAATTTCCATAGATGCGATTGATATTTGTTTTTCTGAAAAATTTGAAGATTTTCCTGAAATGAATTTAATAATGGGAAATGATGTAGACTCGACTTCATTGCATGTGATAAGTAGTTTGAAAACGTTAATATCATAAAGCTCTAAATAATTATGATCTTCATTTGTAATAATTTCTGCCATTTTGACATCTAAAATGTGACACTTCAAAAAAGAATTTTTTCCAATTCCAAATTTCCTTTTACCTTTACGTTACTCTCTTGGAAATTAATACTGGAGTTAATAAGTGCCAAAGTACCAAATTCATAAGAAAGACTCGAATTTAAGTTCATTATTGTATCAGAAAATAAAATAGTAACAAACGAAATTTTTGTTGTTGTAATCTTCGGTTTAAAAACTAAGGATCCTTTAATTTCGAAACTTACTAAACATGATAATGTAGAGTGATCATGATAAAATGTAGAACAACATGGAATTTCTTGATATAAACTTGCTGGAAATGTTGTTCCAGAAATATTGAAAATTGTATCGCTATATTGAAATATTTTCATGAATCTATCTGCTCTAGACCATGATGATTTGAGAAAATTGACAATACAATTAGATTTCAAATAAAAAGTGAAACGACAGTCGTAAATATAGTTATTTATGCAACGGTTTTCAAGTGATATTGATGTATTATCATTCAAATGAAAGGTGAACATGTCATTTCGTGATGGGTTCAAAAAAATTTTAAAAATATTTCCGTTATTATCAAAATGCTTCAATATTATACGAGTACCAACGAACGATATTCCAATATTACTAGAAATGTTCTTAAAAATTGTACTTTTTGCCGTAATTTCAAATTTAATATTTGTTTTATTTTCTTCAACCAAACGACCAAAATCTACTACGGTCTTATTTTCACCATCCGAAATTCCTCTCATTAACGGTCTTTGTATGCTACAGCAACAAAGCAATAGTAAGGCCATAAATTTAAGGACAAAAATTTTCAGTCAGATTTTGATTTTAAGAGGAACACTAAACTAAAATTTTGTAACTATACGTTTCTCTCACTTTTTTCTGTTACCGAAATGTATTTGGAAATTTCATTGAGATTTGGATTTCAATTTTGAACTAGCGATTTAATAAGTTATAGTTTACAATGAAGGTATTTGACTTCTAATCTGAATTTGAAACAAAAATATTTTAATCAATCATAAATTTTAGTACCATTTAAAATTAACAGTATAATAACATATGATGTTCCAAATCTATTCGAAACAATAGATAATAATATTAATTAATTCACAAAAAAATCATATTCACGAAATGATTTTTGTCTTTATATAAAACTATCATAAACTGACTAAACTAGTTGTAGATATTAAATCTTCTGAGATGAATTTTTTGATTTTGGAGCGTTTGATCTTGATAAAATAGAATATCAACGAAATACAAATTAGAAGCATAGAAATACTACCAAAAACAATTAGAATAATATGAATTGTCTTAAGATGATTGACATTTGATTCATCTGGTTCATTTGGATTATTGTTACGTCGTTTAATACTGATACATGTCATGTTGTTGCGGGAATAGATTTCACTCTCGAATAAACGAGTACTACCGTTGAAGTCCCAATGAGGACTGATGAATTCACTACTGATATTATTCAGATCAACATCAAAATAATCGATGCAGATGAAATCAATCATAAAATCGTCCCAATCGTCATCATTGTAGAATTGATCAGATTCTTCAAGATTGTAGAATCTGATGTGTAATTTATCTTCAATTAATAATTTATTGATATGAAGATATCCGATCTTCAAGAATGAATAATGAATATCGATATATTTAACACCTTTAACTTCATTAATATTTGTCAAGCAAATCGAATCAACACTTAAACATGTTGCATTGATATCACATTTGATATAACTATCCTTGGATGAAACATTAAAAACATCTGTCTTAAGGATTAATTCAGAAGATTTTAATGATCCTGTGTCATATAATATAAATGATTTGAATTGAACAAGTCTTTTATTTTCTGAATATATTTCAGTTCGATAACAAAGTCTTAGACATGTGTCTCTGGAAAATTCTGTTTTGTCATAGATAAATAGTTTGTGAACATAAAAATCAGCAAATTTTGGAAAATTATCTACATTGAGATAAATCATTGGATATTTTTCTACAGTTATGTTAAGTCTATTGATTTGAATATCAGAGTTAACATATGAACTATTTCCTTTGACATTGAAGCTCAATACTTTGCATGGGCTTTTATAATTAATTGTCACATTGTTAGTAACCCAAATATTACTATAGTATGGATTATTTAAGACATTGTTTGAATCTATTAATTCATTTTTGTTTATTTGAACATCAGAACTGTTTGTAAAAAAGTGTGTTGTTTTGATTTTCTTTATATTGCATAATATCGAACTGTTACGAAGATATGCAAAGCTTGATTTAATTGTCACATTTTTATGAATAAAAGAGTTTCTCACATCCAATTTCTTCGCATTAATTCTACTATCATTAACTAATTCTACATTTTCAATAGTTAATGCTGTAAAATAAAAGTCATCAGATATAAGAATCCTATTTCTGAATTGCGAATATATGTTTACAACATGTCTTAGCTTTGAAAAATTAGTAATTTTGATGACTTTTTTGTATTCATCCTTGATATATATTTTAAAGTGAATGTTAATATTACTGGTATTTTGTAATGTTTCTTGTAAGAGTGACAAATTACAGTAAACGGCTTGTTTTTTATTAAAATCAATATCTGATAAATTTTCTGACAAATGTATTTCATCAAAAATGCCTTTCAAAACCGGATTTAATGTAATTTTGTATTCTCTTGTTACGTTATCATATCCATGTGATGGTTCCATCTCTTGGTATTTAGAGATAATCTCAAATTGTGTTCCTGTCAAATTTGACACTTTTTCGGTTTTAAATTTTATTATCGGAAATGTAATACTATCTTTTTTCAAGTAATTAATAGCTTTTTTTTGACTTTAATATCATATAGTTCTAAAAATACATGATCTTGTTGTGGGGATATTGAAATTCTTGAAGATTGTAAATTGTGGCATTTTAGCGCTGATTTACTATCAATGGATAACTGATCCTTGCATATAATATTACTTTCTTTAAAGTCAATTGTAGAATTAGTAAGTGTTAAAGATGTAAATTCATATGAAATATTTGAATTAAATGTCAAATTTGCATTTTCAACTATAAACTTTTCGAAATGAATTTTTGATGATGGTATTAATGGAATAAAAATTAGATCTCCTTTTAATACAGGACTCTGCATATTTAATAAAAGACGGTCATAATAAATTATTGATCGACATGGATTTAAATGTTTAATAATTGCTGGTAGTATTGTACGTGTAATATTATAAACTGTATCATTGCTTTGGTATATTGTCATAAACGAACTTGATAAATCCCATGATGATTTAAGGAAGTTTACTTTGCATCCTGATTTCAAATAAAAATTGAATTTACTGTTGTAAATAAAGTTATTTATGCATCGGCTTTCAAATGAAATTGATGTATTATCGTTCAAATAAAAGTCGAAATTGTTTTCCAAAGACGGATATAAATAAATTTTAAAAAATTTTCCGTTATTATCGAAATGCTTCATTATTATATGAGTGCCAATGAATGATAATGCAATATTATTCGAAATGTTCTCAATAGACGTATTTTTTGCCGAATTTTCAAATTTAATATTTGTTTTATTTTCTTGGATCAAACGAGCAAAATCTATTATATTTTGAAAATTTTTATCATTGAGGATTTGCTTTGTCTGACTTTGCATGCTACAATAGCAAAGCAGGAGCAATGTCATCAATTTCAAAGAACTTTTTTTTCCTCGCTAAAATCTCGTTGAGATCAGAATTGATTTTAATGATTGAATATGGATCTACATATATAAATGCACATATGGAATAATTTAAATTCTTGTGGTATTAAATTTTGAAATTTTCATTTATCAAAATGTAAGATAAATCTATTAATTTTGATACTATACTAAATTGGTTTTATTTCAGTTTAATTGTACCACATTATTATTGTATTTCATTGAAGAAAAATAATTATTTGTAATTTTTGATTATGGAACTTATATGCGCATTTGCATCATTCGCATTTAATACTCTAATAAATGAGATTTATTTAGATAGTATTACCCAATAATATTGAAATTCTTTGTATTTTAAATTATTTTCCATTTTGGGTGGATTTATAAATACTGCATAAGGAAATATTTTATTTCATTTATAAACCAATAAGATTTTAAAAATAAATTATGAAAAAAAAATTATTTTTGAAAAATTGTAGTTATTCTCATTCTTGTCTGATATTAAATACCTATACATCATTTTTTAAGTGCTTAGCGGTGGAAATATTCTTACTGAAACATTATTCATTTTTATACAACGTTCAAATTTATTCAATTTTTTGACACTTTTTGAATAATGACCGTAAAAAATTGAGAGTGATTTTTTTAACGTTAATGGAAAATATAATCTTTGAATTTTAGTTATGTTTTTTATTTCCTTGCTCTAGATAATATTTTATTTATAGACATTTTACAGGTTCGAAATAAGGGCGTGTCAATTTTTAACATTTTACAGGTCTAGATAAAATATATTTGTAGTATAATGTTATTTCAAATTGCCGACAAATGAAAAGATTGATGTTTATATTGGGCCATTTAATTTGAATTAATAATTATTCAAATTTCTTATTCAATTATTTATGTCTACTTCTTCATATTACTAATGCAATTGGAAATATAATTTTAACAACTGAAAAATCTTTTAAATGGGGATTTTTAATAAATGCACTGTCTTATTGTATCTTTGACTTAATAGATCTATTGTCAGGAAGTTTTAAAAAATACTTTTACAAAACCGGTAAATAATCAAATTGAATTTGATAGTAAATATTGATAAAAAATAAAGCTTGGGGAAATGATTTGTTATCATGTTACTGATAATTTCTTTAATTATTGATTGAGATATTATTTCAAAAGTTTTCAAAAGGCTCTCAAAATCTATAATAAGTATTTTAGGATATTTCCTTAAATAAAGATTATAAACTGCTAAGCTATTTCGAATATCAGATTGAGAAAGTGTATTATATTTTGAATATTCATTGAAATCAAAAATGATATTCGATGTTGAAGAAGCAAAGTACTTTAAAACCCAAGGCATTTATCCAGGTGATCTAATTGCAAAAGGAGGTTTCAGTATGGTTTATAGTGTCTATTCCAAAAAATACAATTCATATTTTGCTTTAAAAGCGATTCCCCAAGATATGTTTAGAGAAGTAGAAATACAATGTTTAAAATCCACTTATGATCCTAGAATTGTTAATCTTTATCAAATTTTTAGGTTTAATGATTTTGTTTATTTATTATTGGAACTTTGCAAAGATAATTTAGAAACAATAGTATTAAGTGGAAGAACAACATGCATAAAATCATATATAATTGACATGATTAGAGCAGTTGGTGCTTGTCACAAGAGAAATATCGCCCATTGTGATATTAAACCAGCAAACTTTTTACTAGATCAATACGGAAGAATCAAAATCAGTGATTTCGGTTTATCATCAATCATTGCTGATAAATCTGAAATAAAAAAATTCAAAGGAACAAAATTTTTTATGTCGCCTGAGTTAAGGGTGCACCCGTATGTACGTTTATTTGAGAGGAGGAGGATTACCCTCTCAATTTTGAGGGATTCGTTAGTTTATTTTCTCGATGAATATGCAATAAAATTTGATTTTTACCTTATCAATATACTTCATATAATATACACATGTTCATGTAAAAATTTTTTTCCAAAATCCTCAGGAATTAAGGGATTTTTGAATTTTAAGAATTTTTTTCGAATTTTTTCGAAAAAAAAATATTTTCAGAACAGCCTTAACGGCTAAGATTTAGGAACAATGTTAAGTATCAAAAAGAAAGGAGGTCTGATATAGACAACATATATCGTTGAAGGTTGAAAAAATCTCTAATATTTGAGTCCAAAATTTCAAATTTTAATTTTTTGAAAAAAGAGGCCACCCGTATGTACGTTTATTTGAGAGGAGGAGGATTATATTTTTGAAAGGGTGAAACATTATGAATATGTTAATTATATAATAATATGTATTATTATAAAAAAGAAAAAATAAAGCACGTTAAAATTTTTCTTTCTTGATTTTTTACAAAATCTACTTAGAATTATGCAAAATATGACTAAATAATTATAAATTTCAAGTAAAATTTTAATTTTGATAAATAATTTAAATTTCAAAATATCAAGTTCAGTTCGACTATGTATGTAGTAATTCCTCAATAAAGTGCCAAAACCCTATTAAAATATATGAACATTTTCAACATTTTAATGTTTTTATTTAAAAATTTGTTGGAATATGAGCTTCAAACAATTATTATGTAAATAAAAATAATTAAATATATGTATTTATTCGTATTACAACCGTAGTAAGTCGATTCTTCCTTTCTTCTACTGAGGTTTGAATTTGATTTCGAATTGTAAAGAGATTCAAAGGGAAAATACTAGCGGATAAAAACTACCTCCATGAAAGGGTCATAATGGAGTCAAGTTGTATTTTTTGATATTTTTTGCTTTTCGAGCCTAAATAGGTAGCCAAGATAATGCCTAAAAATAAGGTTCTAAATTCTGAAGTTTACATGATCCTCTCGCGTGCACCCTTAACAACAGGAAATAAATATGATCCTATGCAATCTGACATATGGGCATTGGGAATTTCCATTTATTGGGTTGCAACAAAAACTTATCCTTTCAAATTATCCGATCAAATGAATTTCTTTGAAAACTTGAAAAATGACAAATTCAATTTTGAAAAAGTGTCAGATCTCGAATTGAGAAATGTTATCAAAGCATGTTTAACTGTTGATCCAAATAAAAGGCCAACAACAGAAGATATAATCAACATGCCATATTGCCAAAACTCAAAAAATACTTTTGGTTTGAAATCTAAAATTCCAAAGTCGCAAATTGCATCTTCTTGTGCCATTATCAAACCAATTAAATCAAAAAAATACCTTTCTAGGCTCAATTTCCCAAAAATACTTGTTTGAAATAAAATATCTTTTCTAAATTAATTAATTTAAATAAAACTGTCGATTCTAGTGTAAAAATGTTATGATAAGTTCATTGAAGTAACAAAATACTTATGAAAACTCATTTTTTGCATTTTTCAAGCCAGAGATGAGTAAATAAAAGACTTTTACTGGTAATTTTGTTATAATAATGGTTATCCAGCATCAATGATATTCAATTCTGCATGCGTTGACAACCAAAATTATATCGATATTATTATGTAAAATAAACTTATTTTGGAGAATACAAATTAAGTCAAGTTTTCTTATAAGAAGTTTCATTCCTTAGGATTTTTTGAGCAGATGGTAATGTGTTAATAAGAATTTCAATATTGATATTTTTCGCACATCAAATTCTTTTGTTTAAGGTTGATTTTAAATGATAATTCACACGAATTGTCAGAAATTTGTATAAAAGATGGGAATTTCAAATTTTTGAGAAAGTCCCACGAAAAGCAACTTTAACAAATTACATTTGTAAATTGTTTACATTTGCAAAATCATTACAGCAAATAAAATGCCCGGATTTGAAGTTTAAAAGATCTTGTATTCGAAATTTGAAACGACAAAAATATTGTTGTAAAAAAAATAATGGGTCGTCAGGATATATGAAATTAAAATTTTAAATGTACCAATGAGCATAACGCTGGTGTATTATTGATATGTTCATTAATATTTCAAAAACTGTGAATAAAAACGAGCCGCGGATTTGTGATATTTCATAATTTTTGAATTTGAATTTAATGTTCTATTATGCTTTACATATTTTTGTAGGCTTTTTTCTATAAGCCGACGTTGGTCTCAATTATATAACGTACAATTTTTTTTCGCCTGAAGTAGTTTTACTATTAATAGTGTCGCATATGTTGAACTGGTCTGAGTGGAAATAGAGAGGGCCAATCGTTTTCAAAGTTTTTTTTACATGTCAGAAATTTTGCTCACATGGATTCTTTCCTAGCTGGTAATTTTTAAGTATAGAATTTGTAACACTACAGTTTATCTTGTAATTATAAACATATCAAAAAGCTATTAACAATCGTAAGACAAAATTGAATTGCATATAATTTTTAAGATATTCACAATCACAGATATATATGTATAAGTATTACCTCCGATCATCATTGTTCAATATTTAAATTGAATACGAATTGAATATTCTCAAAAATTTAATATTTTTAGTGATGTTACTGCTCTTGTTGGTAAAATTAACCCGACAAGCTATAGAATATAATGGAATAACTACACAAGGAAGACGTCTTACAGAAAGGCCAATATTATGCTTAAAGCCACAAGAAATTATACCTGATAAAAGTGAACAAACGTTCACCTGCAATTACGGTGACTTTGGGCCAGATAATGTTTACTTTAAAGCAAAATTCGGTACACGTGATGAAGCTTCTGATTATCAACAATTTGATCTCGATGTCCAGGCAACACCAAATGGAAATGAAAATGGATTCAATGCAAAGGTCTCAATTCCTGAGCTAGCTGAGGAGCAAAATTCAATCACATTTGCAATGATTAGTACCAATGATAACGCTATAGTCTCCAAAAGTGAAGTAACTATAAAGATTGCTCCAGCACCTAAAATTGAAGTATATGGTTCAGCACCTAAAACTGAAAAATATGGCCAAGCTAAGGCTAAATTCCAACTAGTTTATATTTGTGAAACAGATTCGATGAAAGTTCAATACAGAGAATCTGGAAGCAATAGTGAATTTCAAGATGTAATTTCAATATCTGATTGGATGGGAAGTGCTTCAAATACCGAAACCTTTAATGTTAAATTTGACGTGCAACAAATGACTAGAGTTGAATTCAAGTTTATTGACAAATTTGACAGATTTATTCTCATTGAACGTGATATTAATATACAGAATTATGTTACATTTGGTTGTTATGTTGAACCTGGTAGTGCAATTCAAGGAGATAAAGTAAACATTTTATGTAATCAACACGCTAGTAGTTATGAAGATTTACTTAATGGATATATTGAACGCAAATTGTATTTTGTAAATTATGCGGATAACAACAATCATGTTCTCTTAGCAACTTCTCATTCTAGCAACTTGGATATGAGAGAATTTGATCTTCCAGTAATTTCTCAAAATGCTCCACTTAAAATTTTGATTCAATGTGACCAAGATCCAGCTGCTAATCAAGAAATACCACTGAAGAGTTCAATGAGACCTCCCATTACAGTTGATTTCCAAATCACTGATCAAACAGACTCATCTGCTAATGTACATGTGACATTATCAGAAGATTTAGGTAGTGACTATCAAGAAACTCAATATGCAATTGGACCATCTGAAACTTTAACATACAAAAAATTTTCTGATACTACCAGTTATGTAACGAAGGATTTTGTAATTAATGAACAATTCCCATCAGATTTTACCTTGACAATCAGAGTAAAATATCTCGATGGCAAATATGCAAGCAAAACAATTACTATTGGTGATCCAATCGATCCAATCTATGAATTATCAATTGGAAAGAATCAACTCAAAGATAAAGTATACACTGCCACTAAAGAATATAAAGTTTTGCTACAATATGGATCAACTTCTGCTCAGGTTAAAGCAGAAATGGGAGGCAAGAATTAGACATTACTGAAGAATAATGTTGCCGCATTTGATTTCACCGAAGCTGGAAAATTATATCACTCCGGAAATGAAGAAGTAACAGCAATTGTCTTTGATTCATCTAAATTCGAAGCAGATGATTATATTTATCTCACTGGCAATGCAAAATTATCCTTTGGAACAGCAAGTGATTCACAATATAAACTCGATCCTACAAAAACACTCGCCCTAGTTCTTACTACTTTTGATGGAAAAGGAGATTTAGTGAGAGGTTTAAAATACGATGAATCGTTAGATGCAGCTGAGTTTTTGAGTAAAATCGAATCGCATCAATACAAAATTGATGGAAGTGTATACGCTCCCTCGAAGAGGAAGCTTTTAAATTCTAACGCTAATTTCCAAGTAATAACATGGAAATGCAAAGATCCAACATATAAATTTACTGTTACATATGAAATGACATCGTCTACAGATAAAGAAGCAATGATAATTAACTCACAAGTTGGCACTCACAAATTTGCATCTGAACCTGATTCAGGAAAAACAGATCCAGGAAAAACAGATCCTAAACCAGGATCAAATCCAACTGAAACCACCAATGGTAAAGAAGATGGAAGTGATGCAAAAACAGGTGGTGGAAATGGAGGAAAGATTGCTGGAGCAGTGATTGGTGTTTTGATCGTCATTGCAATTGTCTGTGTTGTTGTTTTCTTTGTATTGAAGAAGAAGAAAGCTTCAGAAGAAAAAGATTCAAATGATGACCAAGTACATGAAGATGCATCAAGAGATGATGCAGCCAAAGTTTAAAATATTAAAAAAATTTAAACTCAATAACGAAATAAAAAAAATTATTAATCTAACTTTTGACATCTGATTTTTAAATATACTGTGAGAATCTAATGAATGGTATTTTACATTGGTATGTTTCAATAATTTTGAACTTCAATCTTTGCAATTTTTCTAAAAACTCCTTAATGAAATGAAGCAGATTGATACCTTATCATTTATGCTTATCAAGGTTTTATGAATTTCCTAAATCAAAATTAAAAGGTGGCGAAGGTACGACAAAGCCGTCCGAGGCACGACAAAAATGTTGAAAGATGAATGATATGCTGTCTAAAATGAAAGAAATTATTATTCCTTTATATGAGAACATCAATGGTTGAACAATAAAGCCGTAAGAAATGCACTCGAATTTACTTTTTCATTTCACATTTTTTGTTGCATGGAGTTCGAGTCATCTATAAATCATCTGAGCAAAGTCATATCACACGAATGCTTTATTTGGAAGATTAATATTATGTCCTATCAGAAAGTCCTTTTCGAACCAAACATTTCCAGATCTTGTCAAAAGATTTCAATATCATGTTGGGTCAAAAAGATGATCTTTATGATATTGCTCAATATAAGCTTTAATTTTTCAGACACTTATTTCTTGAGGTGAATTTTTCAAATTTGTAAATTTTTGTTCAATTGCAGCATACACCAGAAAAATGTCCACATTAACAATATTATTCAGATATCTGATAGTTAAAGCATGCCAATTTACTGATAAATCCAGAATTTGATAAATGATACCATATATTCTCATTTTATAGCTTGCAAAACATACCCATTGTTAACTATGTTATAACGTATTATTAAGAACTTTGTAAATACCATATTTTCAAATTCAGATTTGATTTTTTTTTATCTTAGTCTGAAATACAATCAAATGCTCAGTCTTATTTTGATTTAAACACCTTTAAGTTTTGCTTTACTCATATATTTTAGAGAAATCTATAAATAATTACATCATACAAAACGAATTTCATATCAATATAGCTTTTTCTAATATAAACATACTCCAATAATATTATATATTGTTAGCAATAACTTACTGATACTTCAATATTATTATTCAAATTCTAAAATGATTGAAGTGATTTCAAGCCTTAATGGTCTTTCAACAGTTTAATCTCTTATATATGAGTTTTTCCGTTATATTCATTGATAATTCACAAGTTTCAAAATTGTTACTATTGACTAAATCGAAAAACAAAAATTGAATGAAAAAAAATCGATGCATAACTAGCCCCCTTGCCTATTTTCAACATTATTTTTGCCTTTAATTGTTTTCATTTATTTGGAGAATTTTAATATTAAAATGGAAATTTTATCAGTACATATAGTGATGTATATTTCCACTCATACTGTTTCTTTTGAACTCTAATTTGTTATACCTTCAATTTCATATCTCCATCAAATCAACTTCATAAGATTATACCTTCAAATACAATGATTACCTTCTATTTATTATATCTAATATACAAAATATTAATTAGAATGAAGTGATTAGATCATGATCTCAAAATGCTAAGTTAGGATTTCTATTTCAACATAATTAATGGCTCCAACTACATGCGTTCATTACCATTATATAACAGCTAAGGATTCGATTTGCAAAATTTTGAGCTGAAATTATTTCACAATTTAAATAGTATACTTATTGTTCATGATATTAACATTTTCAAAAATTAGTATATCTCAATTATTTCAATAATCTCTTTGTCTAATACCGTATAATATGAACTCAATTTCCAAACTTTTTCTCTCTCATTGTTTTTTTGGACATTGCATATGTATTGTGATAATTTAAGGATATCTCTCCGTCGACCCTCTAAAATAGGAAAGAAATTATTCATTTTCGAATATTATTGTGTTGCCATTCTACAAATGATATTTCTAAATAACTTTGTCATATTTTTTATCAAACTTTGGTTAAAATATGATTCATCAAATTCAAATAAAATATTGTTTATATATAGGGATTTCTTTAACTAATTCTGTATATACATATAATAACATCTAAATTACACTGTGAATATGGATAAAGTTTAAGAACAATTAAATCAAATTCTCGACACAAGTGTTGACAAGTAAAATTTTTATTAATACATTCAATTATGGTGAATAATTAGAGCTCTCTAATTTCGAAAATAAATAAATTAGGAAAATTTCATGGGATTCGGAATTGATATGCTAGCTTCGGCAAATATCTTGATATTGTTAACTTAAATGAAGATAAATTTATTGGAAGATGAATGTCCGAATTCAAATAAATCAAATCAGATCCACTAATTGATAGATCTATTGGAATTCTTTGTAATATCTTTCTGTTAATAAATATATTATTTATTAAAGCCTCTAAATTTAAATATTTTATTTTAAAACTGTTCGACACCACACCAGGGCCAAAGTCGAGATATGAGTTGATTGAAAATCAAAAATTGAAATGCTTTCATATTTCTCATGCTCTATCTATTTTTATGAGTAACTCCAACTTAAAAACCAAAAATCTATAAACATGTTAGAAATCTCCAATATATCAAAAGTAGATGATTATGTTTAACTAAATAATCTTAATAAATTTATACATCATTACCTGTACAATACATCATCAATATCATCTATTCTCTAAATATCTATACGAGCTCAATAAATGTACCAATGTAACACCGAATTTTCAATGAAAGAAAATGCAGGGAGAGGGGGTAGCACCTCAGAGTTATACCACACTTCGTCAAATTGTGAATGTTATTTCAGAATTTTGAGTCATATATATCAAAAAAAAATTTTGTTCTATGAGTTTCTCTCAAATTGATGTCAAAATTAGTGCTTACATAGTGAATATGCACGCATTTTGTCTGATATGCAATTACCATTCTTAGCAATTCATGATGAGGGGAAAAAATGCCATTTTGGAAAAACCTACAATTGTAAGTGGAGCTATATTTTGCTCCACTATGCCACGTATACTTGTAATAATCATATATTGTATGAAAAATGATAGTTAAAAATTGACTCGAATAAATGGTGGAAGCGACAAATTTGTGACGGACTCGTAAAAATGTATGAAATCAAAGTTTGAAATGCAAAAATATACACAAAAATGAGTTCTTTTTGATATGTTGGTGAGAATTTCAAAAAAGGAAAACAAAAACGTGTAACAGAATTTTTATTATTATCAAATTATTTCATACAATATAAAGGATGAATTTCGTTTAAAAAATAAATTAAACTCGTAATATTAAAATTATATATATTTGCATTCAAATTTGAAATGGGGTCATTTCAAATTTAGAAGGCAAACGTATAACATTATATTTGTATTAAATGCTTTTGAAAGCAATTGAATGTTATTGAATATTATTGAATAATATTGAATATTATTGAATTTAAAATCATTTTGATGATGTTGGTGCTTTATTTAGCAACATTAACTCATGAAATAAATTGCGAAAGTGTAAACACAATGCTTGAATTTCATGTGCCAATATCATTAACATGCACAGAAATAACAGAACAATCCTATTCTGTCTCATTGAGTTATGGATCTGGATATGGATATAATAATTATATTTATAATGCCACTATTTCGGATTCAAACACTTTAACTTTCATAGTTACGGATGAAAAACCATTTACATATCTAAAAGTAAAAGATCCTAATAATAGATATTATGCAGTATCATCTGTTGTCTTTAAGTCAAATCCTGCCATAGAAAAATTTGAATATCCTAGCAGTAGAGAATATTATGCTGGAAGATGGAACGAAATTCAAATTAACACAATATTTGATCAACATTATTATGGAAAAGGAGAAAATAGTTACAGTATTGCAATTTCTCAAGATCCAAATGAAACTGAGGATATATTTCAAGAAAACTCACTTTTATACACTTTTAGAAGTAATGAAATGTATTTTTACATTCCAATCAACATTCAGGAAGGAAATTATTACATCATCCTTCAGTTTCTATATAAAGATATAAATGAAGTTACCAAAAAATCAAATTTATATAAATCAAGAGATTCAATCTTAGTAAAGCAATCGATTAGTAATAATCAATTATCTGTGGAATTACAACAAGATTCACGAGTATTGAGTAGAAGAACAACTACATTTTTACAATATGAAGCTTATCCAGCAGTGCCTTTTGCTAAAATTATGTATAAAGCGGGTGAATTCTCAACGGATCTATCATTGTATTCTGAATTTGCGGAGATTGTTTCTATTAATGAAGCTGATAACTATATATATGGTCCAGTTGTAAAGCCTGACATTTTACATAAGATTACATTTGTATTGATTGATACTAAGAATCTTCAAATTTTGAATCAGACAGAAATCGATAATCTAACTATTCTTCCGGAATTTGAAATTGAAAGTTATACAATTGATAATCCAAAGGATCCATATGGTTATTACTTTTTGCAACCAAAAGATGTTATGACCGGAACAATTACATTCAAATATCAAACTATTAAAGAATATATTGAATTTTATAAAAGGGATATTAAAGGCACATTAACTGAAATCCCGGGTGAAAGCCAAAAATTCAAGTTCTCTATTAACGTAGAAGTATCTTACGGTTCATTTCAACGATTCTTTTTAACTTTTGATCAGAAATCTGATCGGGCTGAAATCGAAATTATGCTTAGATACATGGAAATGAATATCAATATTAATCACTACTTGCCAGTATCAGGTATTATTGGTGGAGACATATATATTCATTCAAACCTCAATAGACTGCATGAAGTGAAAACAGTTGCAAAATTTGGTGAATATGATTCAACAATTTCATCATATAATTTTGAAATTGACTCAAGAGAAGGTAAAAACGAAATTTCATTTGATTTTGGAAATAAGATCACATACAATACAGATGAACCATTTCCAACAAAACTAACATTTGTTTTAATTGTTAATGATGTCATTGCAGTTCATAAAACAGCCGATTTTTTAATTTTGACACCTCCAAATATTGAATCAATTACGGACTCAAGCACTACACATGAATACACAACGAATTCTAGAATGGTATTGAATATTAAGAGAATAAAGGCAGTTGCAATGGAAGATTCAACAATAAAATTCCAATTCGTTAATCAAGATACTAATATAATGTCAAATCCTACAATTACTGATACCAATAAACCAATAAAAGTCCCCAGCACTGAAAATAATTTCACAATTTTGATCCCAATTGCAAACAATATTGAACTTGGGCAGAAGAATTTATTAGTTAAAATAGTAGATCCAACTGGTCAAGAATCATCACTCTTCACAATTCCTGTAACAATCACACAAGGAAGACAAGTTACAGAAAGTTCAATATCATGCCGTAAGACACAAGATATGATACCTGATAACAGTGAACAAATGTTCAAATGCAATATCGATAACATTGAATCAAATCCTGTTTACTATAAAGCAAAAATCGGTACATATGTTTCAAGTTCAAGTTATTCACAATTTAATATCGATATTCGTATAGAACCAATTGGAAATGAAAACGAATTCAATGTTTATGTCAAAATTCCTGAGCAAAAAGAGGAGAAAACATCAATTTCATTTGCAATGATTACTTCCAATGATAACACGGTCATCAAATACTCCGATATAACTGATATAAAGATTGCATCGGCACCTAAAATAAAAATTCCTTCAAATTATCCATATTTTGAAAAAAATTCATTAGCACAATTTGAATTCTACTTGGATTATATTTGTGACTACCAATCAATGAAAGTCCAATATAATGATCGTGCAATTAATAGTGAATTTCAAGATGTAATTTCAATATCTCCATTAAAACAAATCAATAGATATGGTGATACTTATAATGCATTTACCGTAACAGTTAATGTGCAACAATTGTAAAATATCCAATTCAAGTTTATTGACAAATTTGGAAGATTTATAATTAAAGAGCCATCATATTTACTTAAAGAATATTCTGACTATCGATGTGAAACTAATCAATATAGGACATTGCAAGGAGAATTGGTAAATATTGAATGTTCACCAACAAATTCAAATTATGATTCGTATGTAGAACGCGAATTTTATTTTGTAGATTATTCTGATGGCAACAAGTACAAACTAATGAACATTTCTTCAGGGAAAAAAGTCGAATTTTCTCTTACTCTTCTAATAATTTCTGAAGAAGCCGATTTTATAATTTATATTAAATGTGTCAATGATTCAGATTTCAATCAAAGTGTTGTAATGGAAAGAGCTTTAGATATACCCCTTCAAATTGATTTTGAAATTACTGCAATATCTAATACTTCTTTCACTGTAAATGTGAAGGCGTCAAAAGATTTCGATACTGGCTATTATACTTATTATGCAATTGGGCCAATAGAAAATAGTCAATTCGAATCAGTGACTGATTCTTATTTAAGTTATACAGATAAAGAATTCAAAATTTACGCAGATTTACAACCTTCGGAATTTAATTTGACAATCAAAGTAAAATAGTTAGGTAACAGAATTGCAATCAAAACAAAAGTTATCAATTATTATATTCCAATCATTAAATTATATTATAAAAAATATCAACTCAAAGATGCTATATACAAAATAACTAAAGGGCATAAAGTTTTGCTACAGCCTGGGTCAAGTTCTGTTCAGGTTAAAGCAGAAATGGGAGACAAGAATTATACATTACTGAAGAAAAATGTTGCCGCATTTGATTTCACCGAAGATGGAAAATTATATTGCACCGGAAATGAAGAAATAACAGCAATTATCTTTGATTTATCTGAATTCAAAGCAGATGATTATTTGTACATTACTGGTAATGCAAATTTAACTATTGGAACAACAAGTGATTCACAATATAAATTAGATCCTACAAAATCACTTGTACTTGTTGCCACTACTTTTGATGGAAATGGAGAATTTAGTAGTTTTTCATATAGTGATTATAATCCTTATAAACTAAGTATTAAATATTATAATATTGATGGTGATACTGTATATTCGAGGAAATCTTTATCTTTTTACAGAAATTTCAGAATTATTACATTCAAATGTGAAGATTCAACATATGAATTTAATCGGAATTTCCAAACTCAATCATCTTCAGATAAAGAAACAATGATAATTAACTCAAAAGTTGGCACTCATAAATTTGCATCTGAACCTGATAATTCAAATCCAGCACCAAATCCAAATCCAGGAAAAACAGATCCTAAACCAGGATCAAATCCAACTGAAACCACCAATGGTAAAGAAGATGGAAGTGATGCAAAAACAGGTGGTGGAAATGGAGGAAAGATTGCTGGAGCAGTGATTGGTGTTTTGATCGTCATTGCAATTGTCTGTGTTGTTGTTTTCTTTGTATTGAAGAAGAAGAAAGCTTCAGAAGAAAAAGATTCAAATGATGACCAAGTACACGAAGATGCATCAATGGATGATGCAGTTGGAGTTTAAAAAAAAATTTAAACTCAATATCGAATTAAAAAAAATTTTTTTATTAATCTAAGTATTGACATCTATTTTTATTACTCTTTGAATGAAGATAAGTAAAATTGAGACGGTGTATTAGATAATTTTTGAGATGGAAATTTATATATATATAAATCTTTTAATAACTTTGGATTTCAATTTTTGCATTTTTCATGAAAACTAATAATTGAATTAAGCAGGATGATGTCTTATCAAATGTTTTCATCAAGTACTCAATATTGATTGCGCGGTTATGATTAATCAAAATGAGTAACTCCTCAGCCTAGACTATTAAGAGAACAACAATTAGTTGAGTATTCAGATTCAATGTTTTGAAATAACATAATTTGATTCGAAAATGGTTAAAATATTAGAAATCTTTTACTATTTTGATAAGATTAATAAAATGGGAATTTCTCGCATATGTTCGTACATGAGCAAATACTATACCTTTTGCGAATAAAGAATTTTTTCATAAAAAAATTTTTTTAGGAATTAGCATATCGGCGTTTTGCGACATTGCCAAACGCCAGATTTTAACCCGACATATGAGCATAAGCTCGTATATTGGAATAAACTCGACTTATTCCATATTAAAGTTATTATAATAATAAGGCACTTAATGTGCAAATCTAATTGAATTAGAAAATGCACATTAAGTGCCTTTTATTGGAATATGTAATACCACATATGGAATACTGAAATCCGAGCATCAATTAGGAATGAACTAGTGCAAATTTTAGAAATACAGTATTATGTTAAATTCAGGATAAAAATTGTTAGAAATTTATATTTACAAATGAGTAAATAAGTATTTTGTAAAGTTTTCGTTTGATTTTCAAGCTTGTTGGAGAAAAATAATGAAAATAATTATTTATTTAAGCAATTTACACTAAAACTTTTTATGGAAATTGCAGTTCTAGCAATGTCTTAGAATTTAGTTGTCATTTAAAGTGTGAAATGCATTGATTTGCTAGTGAATGTAAATCGGGAATACAAAATTAATATAAATGAACGAAAAATCTTCTAAGAACATCCTAAAATCAATCACCTTTTGAGTGGCTTTCATAATATATCTAGATGATAAACCAGAAATTGAACCCGCATATGGGTCCCATTAGGATAAATTGTAAACTATTCAAAAATAGTTTACAAAATTAATTTAGGTAATAATAAAATTTTTAATTGAGATAAATTAAAAAAAATCTTAGGAGAATGTTATGGATTTTCTTCATTGAACCATTCGATAAATGAGCATCTTTGCGAGCCATTTGTGTTCGAGAGTCTTGTACCATAAAAGTGGCATCTCAGCAGTTGAGCATCCCTTCAATGCATTGATATCTGTTGATGGAACAGAGTATGCGACTTCATCATTGATCATGATCCAATATGCACTTTTTTGCAAAAAGACCACGTAATGAAAATTGCAATAGGCAACAATTGCAATCAATTGATATCTTTGCCTTTCGACTGTTGGGAGTGTCAACTTTTTCGGGAAGTCAAAGATGACTTGATGAATCGAATCATTCTGCCACTCTCTCTGAATGTCGAAAGTCAAGAATTGTGGCCATGATGTGTTCCTTGTAGTTGACAAATGATATTGAATGGCATGATCGAGATCTGGTTCTCTAATTCTGGTGTGAATCGAGTAGCAATTTGTTTGTTCGTTGGCACTATCACGGTAAGTGATTCGGAAGAGTTGACCGATTCCTGGTATTTGCTCTGCGAGATCTGTGATCAATCTTGTCATCGTGTCATCACAATCTTGTGCCTCATATGTTGAGTTACCAAGTAATGTGGCAAGTTCATGGGGAACGAAGACTAATCCTTTGGACTTCAATGAATTCAAATTTGTAAAGATACTTGACATCTCTGTTACGATGGGAGAGGACTGATTGGCAACCTTCAAAACTTCTGTTCTCACTTCGGATATGTAGAACAGAACCTGTAAACATACGTTCAAATGACACGTATTTCCCATATTATGAAGACCAACAATACCACCTTTAATTGGGTAAAGGTAGTTCGCCTCTTGTGATGACTGTATGATATCGACAGCTTGATGAGCGACAGCAATGATGTTCCGCTTTGATGGTTTCATGGAGGGTGCAACAACAGCAGCGACGGTATCGCTTGAAGGAAGAACCTTTGTTGGTGTAAAATCTTCGAAAAGGAGTAACTCTTCATTATCATTCAGGGGTGATCCATCAATGTTATAATTTGTCAAACTGACTAAACCTGATATGATCAGAGGAAGTGATGTGTGCTCACCTCGAAAACCATTTTTCATGCAGGATATTGGTAATCATCAAATCCTCGCTTTACTGTCAAAAAATCCGAGACTTTTGACAAATCGAAAATCTTCTTGTCATGGACTGCAGCCATAAACTCAACGATTTGATGTATGGCTTTTCCATCTGGTGACACGAGGACTTGGAGCTTAATACCAATGCAGTGGTTTTTTTCATCCCAACTATAAAGCCTCTCTTCCTTTACCGAAGGAATGTTGAAAGGAATTGTAGTGCTGTCTACAGCTGCAACAGCATCAGGGAAGTTTGTAAATTTGTTCTTCATTGAAGTCAACGGTGGACAGTGATTGGGAAGAAAATAGCTCGCAAAGATTGGAAATGCAACATTGGTAGTTCTTGTAACTAATTTGGAATAGCATGACTGGGAAATATGTAGCAACGGACATAATGCTGAATAGGGCAAGTATGTGCAGTAATATGTGAGCGTGAGGAAGAGAGACTCGATTGTTGAAAATTTGACCTTCCTTCCTCTTCTGGCCCTTCCACAGTTGGATTCAATAATGTCAGCGAGGTATTCCAACTGTTCATATGTGAAGTTGCACAATGATCGGAGCTGGAGCTTTGGATGCATCCTGATGAATATTGAAATCGAGAACCTGGGCATTGGATTGGTCAATGTCATCTCTTTTGCCTCTTCTTCATTTAATGGCTCTTCATCTGTGTCAGAATTCTCAGGTGTAACAGTAACAACAATGTTCGCCCTTCTGGATTTTTTTATCTTGGTGATGATATCTTCATCGCATGGTTCATCCATGTTGATAAATGAAGTGATTAAAAGATATAAAAATCTTATCAAATTTGAAATAGAGTTCAAAATTAATAAATAATGAAACCCAATCAATTTAATCATATCTAGATATCCTAATATATATCATTTTAAACTTGAAATTAAGAAACTGTGAAGAATTCAAAAACGTTTAAAATCTTTCATACAATTTAATCATATTTCATATTCTATATATGGTATTACATATTCCAATAAAAGGCACTTAATGTGCATTTTCTAATTCAATTAGATTTGCACATTAAGTGCCTTATTATTATAATAACTTTAATATGGAATAAGTCGAGTTTATTCCAATATACGAGCTTATGCTCATATGTCGGGTTAAAATCTGGCGTTTGGCAATGTCGCAAAACGCCGATATGCTAATTCCTAAAAAAATTTTTTATGAAAAAATTCTTTATTCGCAAAAGGTATAGTATTTGCTCATGTACGAACATATGCGAGAAATTCCCATTTCAAAAATTTTTGTTGTCAATCAATCTCATTGAAATTATTGGTTTTCATATAGAATGCCTATATATCCAAAACAGGATAACAATTTCATTCACTAGGTGATATCAAATCGGTTTGGAAAAAAAATATTTATTTCCATCTTTTGTAAGCTCTATTCATTACGTTGTAACTTCAGAATGTTGGTAACATGAGAATGACTAATATTTAGTGCATTTGACATCTAAAAAATAAGAAATTTCTATTTCTTTTCGAAAAATTACAAAATTCATTATTTATTTTTATATAAAAGGATACGAATTCTTCATTTTGATCTATAAATAGGGTGTCTTATAGATTACAATGTAGCTTTTTCTCACTTTTCTATAGATTACTAATTTTCCAAAAGAAAAGACTGAAATACTGACAGTTATCGATCCATCTACTAAAAATATTAATAGTATTAGTTAATATGGCGTCTCTACAGCAAAATAAAGAAATGTTGAAGAATTTTATCGATAAAATTAAAAAGGTTCTACCAGAATTACATATGAAAGTCTGCTAAACACCGAAAAATGACTAGCAGCTTTCATCATGCAATATAATTGAGTAAAATTGGTAGTTCTGTTCTTAAATTTTTATCGTATTCCAACATTTTCTTTTTATCAATAAGATTGAAAAATAAAGTTGCATTCCAACTTACAAAATTAAATCATGAGCTTCTCGCGAATTTCAACATAAAGCTCGTAAAATTACTAAGATCAATAAAAAAATAGTCGAGTGTAATAAAAAAAAACAATAATAAAACATGTTTAGAAAGAAGTACTAACATACGCTCTACGATTATCCCAGAGCTTGTCAATCGCAATGGCTTGTGTTTGGAGCCAGTTGTAATGAGCATATGGGTTTCTGTATAGACTAACTGACGTCTCCTTTGTCTGACCTTCTCTGTTATCAAAAATATCGCACTTAAGTTTGTTCATGTTATCAACAGATGTGAAACCAGCGAAAGGATCCAAGATTTCTTTTCCAAGACGGCGCTCGTCAATACAGGACATGTATTTCCTAACTGTTTCATCTGTATATTCGCCCTCGATTTCGAAAACTGGGAGATTTTGATTAAGTGCTCTAATATAAGCTTTTTTGTCTTCCATATATAATTCAAGTAAGAGATTATCATTATCTGTAGATTCTTCGAAGCTGTTGTCGCGTGGGAATCTGTTCATGAATCGAAATTATGAGAAATTTAGAAACTTTTATATTCTTCAGAAAAAATCTTTCTATTCTCAAATGCTTTGTGAAGTTTGTGGGGCCTTAAAATAATTTGTGAAACAAGGTTAAATATATAATGTTGAGGATTATATATGTGGAGATTAATTTAAAAAATTGATTTTTTGTGAAGAATTTCAAAGATGGGAAATATGATGGATATATAATAATGATTAAGTTTCCATAAAATTATTAATTGAAATGTTTTACAATAGAGAAGTTTTGACATTGAAAAAATAAAAATGAGAAATTCAATAAGGTGTGAAAAAAAGAAGAGATCAAATAATATTTCAGCTCATAAAACTAATACTTGAATGAGCAGTTTTGATGAATTTGCAGTTATGCACGTTAGAATAAAGAATAAAATTCAAGAATCACTATTAATCAATATATAAGATATATATTAACATATAAAATAAATCAAAATGATAGTCATTTTTGAATGAGTTGGTTTAAAATTTGATTTAATATGATAAAATAAAGTTATAAGTAGATATTGAAGTAGTTTTTTATTGTTGTCGATAAAACCGAAAATTGACAATAATTCTAAATTATGATAATTTATTAAATTGTATTTTGTTATTCTTTTTACCGATTAAAAACTTTTGAATTTCAAAAGTGACAAGTTTATTTTATCTTTAATCTTTTAATAAAATTTAGAATTTATCTTAATATTAGTTAGTATGTTTAAAAATAATAAAATCTGAAATTTTAATGCATTATTCGATTTAAATTGATTTCAAATTTTCAAATTCTCGGCTTGACTATGTGCATTTGTTATATACTATATTCTTTAAATTTAAATCCCTCGTTCTTGAATCCTATCGCTTATCATTATTTCCCAAAACAGAAAATTCTCCAATTGCATATCATTTCTTCTATTATATAATTTTATTGCCTTCTAAAAAATTACTATATCAAATTTATATTAATATATTTCGCCCAAATATTTTGGCATTGTTGAATTTTGTTAAAAACTGTGTGATTTCATGCAGCCTAGTAATACATAATTAGACATAACTAATTTTCTTAAAACCAAGCTTGTATTTAAATGGAAACCATTTGCTTACAAACCCAAGCACAATATAGACAATCAAACTTTCAGAATGCAATATTAAAAATATCTTATTGAATGATGACAACTCAATTAAGCTTAAACTTAGTTTGTTCCATTTGCAGTGGTTTTCAATTTTGAAAATTCTCTCAATCTAAATAGGATAGTTTAAGTGTTTTTATCTCGCTATCTAAAATGATTCATTGGAAATTTTCTATATCAATAAGTACCACTGTGGCTCATATATAGAATTAGTTTATTGTCAATGGATAAAAATAAACCTATCCCCTAGAAAAATGGGGATTTTTTATAAAAAAAAAAGAATGAATAATCAAGGATGAATTACGTTATTTTTATAAAAAAAACTAGAAATTTTCAATTAAAAAAAATATTATTAATTTTTTTCCATTTCTTTTCTTCGTTTTCATAACCAGAAGGTGGAGGAGGTGGAGGGGGAGCGTAGTAAGGAGCCGGTTGGTTGTTAAACTGTGGAGGAGGTGGAGCTTGGTACTGATCGTAGATATTTGGTCCGTAGTTGTATCCAGGCTGCGGAGGAGGGTATTGTCCGTATTGCTGTGGCTGTTGTGGTGGATAAGGAGCGTAGTTCTGCTGTTGTTGAGGATAATTTTGTTGAATATCCTTCAAATTGCGTTTGGAAGAGCTTGATGACGAAATATTCTTCTATGATGACTTGGCAGATAAGAAAACAAAGCACAAAACAACAATAATAACAATAACAACAAAAATAACGCCAACAACTATTCCAGCTATTTTTCCTGGACTTAATCTGCCACTTCCGCCATCATTGAGTTCTTCTTCTGGTCCATTTATCGTCGCATTGTACTTTGTACCGTAAATATAAACTTTTTGTGGGTTTGATGGCTTGTAAACTGAATCGGACAGTTGTGTATATGAATACAGTCCTAAGAACAACCCATAGATCTCTCCTGTGTCCGCTGATGTTGAAATTAAAATCGTATTCGAGTCAGGTTGCGATTGGATAACAACGTAATTGTTTTCCGACAAATAGTCCGCTTTCCAAACAATATGAGACATCGTGGAGTTCTTTCCGATGTAGTTTGGATAAGTTTCGATCGCATATGAAATCAAATCATTCCGATCTTTGGAAGAAATGGGCGTGGAAACTTGGGATGACGAGAATGCATAGAAATGACATGATTGGCCATTATTTATCGTCAAATTCGTACTGAAAAAATGATGATCTTTATCTTTTGCAACAGCAAAGTGTTGTATGTGGCCAGGAGCTGTAACAATGACATCGCTGGTCGCATACGATTGTGAATCCTTATTATAAATGTAAACTGATACGTTTGCAAAAGATTTTTCATTATTTTTCGGTTTGATCGTAAATTCTGCCAATTTGTCAGTGAAATTGAATACATAATTACCTGTTTCACCGAAAACTTCTGTTCCGTCGAGTTTTCCGGTAAATGATTTTGCATTATGGAAAACAACCAAAGAATTCATTTGGAACTTAAGAGATCTGCCTTCCGCTGGTATAAAGAACTCATAAGTACCATCGTAGTAGTTGATATTTTCTTTATTTTCGGGTAATTCGTAATGATCTGATGGTTTCGCGTTTCTCTTCAATGAACCATAGATAGTTATTGATTCACTGGCTCTAAAGACTTCATCGGATGGCTCTGTCTCGAAAAGATTCGAAGATTCAAGTCCATATAAATTATTTGGCGAAATTTTTGAGAAATCAAGGTATAAAACAGCATTATTTGAATAGAAGGGATATCCGTAGTAATCAGGTGTTATTTCTTTTAATAATATTGCATCTCTAACTGTAAATGCCTTTTTTGGCCTGTACTTATAAATTTATATCTTCTGGAGGCAGGTGAAGTGAACACATAACAAATTTTATCACCGAACTTTACATCGTAGTCATATTTCGTTGATGAGAAATACGTCGACGTATCTTCGTTCAAAATCTCAACTGCGAGGCTTGAACATTGTGTATATGGATGAATTAATGAAACTGTACCAACGATTTCGCTTTCTCCAGCTCTTTTGACTTTAATTTCAAATGGACGTTCAAAATCGTAGAAAACGCCTGGTTTTATTGGTGCAACAGTTGATTCAAAGGTGAATTCTTCGGTTTTGAATGCAACAAATACTGATTTCGGTAAAATTCGAAAAGATATTTCATCTGTAAACTTATAGCTGAAATATCCACGTTCGTAGATATGAATATCGTAAACAGAAACTTGTACAACAGCTCCCGGCTTCGGATTTCCAATGTAAAGTGTAATTATGCCACCAAAAAGATAATTTGTGGCTTCTCTTGGATAAAATGCATTAGAATCAACTTCTATGAGTTGGTTGTTGTTAGGAACTTGAATAACATTGTAAATATTGAAATCATTTTTTGTAGTAAAGAAAACGAAGCATGTAGGCTCTTGGTAATAGCCAGGCGCTTCATTTGTCTTCATGTATCCATCAAATGTGTAATCAATTTTAGAACAATTTTTTAATAAACAAGCTGAAAGCAATTGAAGGTATTTGTAGTCTGCTGGTGATGTTGGTGTGATAATTAGTTCTGAACCAGATGTAAATTTACGTGGAAATTCGGTAAAAATGTTGTTATTTGAATCTTTAAAGGTAAAATGTTCAGTATCATAAGGATAAATGAAGGAATCAGCGTATATTTCATAATGTGTCTCTTGTGGAATGGAAAAATTAAATACACCATTAAGGATTTTCTCTACAGCTAAAGTAAACATCTTTTTTTTAATTTATGTCAAATGAAGAAAAAATAAAACTGTTATTTGAATCGATTTGAATAAAAATTCTGTTTGATTAGATATGATATAATCATTCTTGTTTTTTACAGTTTGACAACAGCGCTCGAGCATTCAATTTAAATTTTAGCAATAATCTAGAATAGGCCGAGTATTTCAATATAAATGATTATTCATCATCAAATCTTATTAACCGCTAAATCAATTCAAAATTTTAAAATTGGTCAGAAAATGTTATAGAAAATGTAATATTTAGTGACTAATTAATATGATTATGATAAAAATTTTTATGATTTAATCGTTCCTTCTCAAAAATCGATAATAGTTCTTAAATTTTTTCTCCGTTTTGAAATCAACCATCATTTCAGATTTAGCAAGTCGAATCATGAAAAATTATTTGGAGCGTAAAACAGTACATCAATTTATGTTTTATTACTTTCAAAAAACGAAATTTGATCTCAAAAAATATGAATTGCGCTTTGTTTAAAGCAGGTTCTGAGTGTATACAATAAAACTAATTGGATTTATACTCAATATATCCAAATCTTTAATTTTATTAAATATTTTTTGAAAAAAAATACTCGAAATAAAATAAACTTAATATATCAAAACTATTGAATTTAACAATGTAACAAAAACACAAAAAAATAATATTTAAGTTGATTTCATATCTTCTGTGAGTTCTTCTTCATCTTCCTTAAAAGTAAGCTTGAACCCATAGAATCCAATGACTCCTGTAGTGATTCCGACTCCAACTATAACACAAAATAGGCCAATTCCAGAAGAATCGTCAAATTCTAACGATTCTTGAATAGGAAATTGTTCCTTTGGTTCAGGAGCACCTAATGCAAAGCATTTATATTGGTTATTTGTTGGAATTTGGCGAGAATTCGCTTTTGGTAATGCAAAAACGCAATTTTCAAATGTTGCGGTTGCGGAACTATATAACGATGAAGAATTCTTAACATCGAACACGCAGAGGCTAAAAGCATAGTCTCCCATCAAAAAATAAGTATCAAAATTATTTTTCAAGAAAACAATGCCAGAAAGCGTGATATTTCCTTTCTCAACAGCAAATATGCTCGTTGAGTTATCTTTTGGCGATGTATTTTGTATTATATTGCAAGCAGAAAAAGAATCTTTGGAAAAAGTGCCAAAAAGCCAAATTAAATTAAAACTGTCGTTTTTGGCGAAGTTAGAATAATGTATATTGAGGTTCCTCGGGTTTAAACAACAAAGACAAGCTTCGATATCGAAAATGTTGTTTTTCGTGCTGTTTAAGTATGATATTTGATGGGATCCATCATTTATAAGAAAAGTAACATCTGCACCTTTATATTTGCCTGGATCGCAATTAGAAATCGAATTTTTCGAAAACATGCAGTAATCGATTGACGACAATTGTAGGGATAATGCCTGTCCGCGTGAATGAGAGAAACATGAGAAAAAGCATGATTCTTCTACTATATATGTAAATGAATTTAAAAATAAAGCTCCAGAAGATGTTTCTGAACTGCACTTGAGGAACCCTGATCTTGCTAATTTAAATTCCGCATTTGATAAAACGATTTCAAGTGGTGACGAAGAATTGACATGAATATTTTTGAAAACGCAATCTAAAATTGAATAATCTTTTGACTCTTTATAGGATGATGCATTTTTAAATGTTAGATTTTGAAATTTCATTGTATGCAGTCTATTTAATCTAAATTTCGCAATTTGGGACAAAGAAAAAGCATTTATTGAACAAAATATGTATGGACTGATTGAACAAAAAAGCAAGGTAATAATACTGATCTTGAAATAGGATTCTTTGTTATAGTTCGTCATTGACCTGAAAAAAATTCAAAAAAAAAATCAAGAACAGTTGTGTTTAAATGATAAAAGGGGAAAAGTGAATATTGGGTAATCTATCGACAAATGGCGGTAAACACAGTATTTGAAATCAAAATTTCTTACAAAATCTTGCCAAAAGTTGAAAAATACGGTGTTTACCCGTATTATATGGAAGATAGATATTTCAAGTAAGCTTAAATCGTTTACTCAAATAAAATCAAAGAAATAATTTAAAAATAATTTCATGTTTACTTTAAAACTACAATAAAAACAATACAATTTAAAAAGATGTGATAACAATAAAGAAATTGAGTAATGTTTTCATTATCATCAATGGTTTCTGTTTGTTTTGGTTCTATCTTTGCATAATATTCACCCATTCCAATGGAATATGAATATTTCTTAGATTCATGAGGTTTAATTTGTTGATTTTGCCATGAAAAGTAAATATAAGCACCAGATTCAATATATTTGTACTCTGTACAATTACTCCAAGGTCCAACTCCAGGACATCTAGAATATGAATAAGTATCAACATTTGTAACAAAAGGGAAATCTCGAAGAAGAAATCGAACTGTTCTATCTTTGTTGATAAATTCAACACCTCGATTTCCTTCAATGTTTCGTTCTGGACATTGATCACCACGTGATCCATCACTTCCTGGAATATCAATGTCTGAAAAGCATCGAAAGTCTATTTCATGATTTCTATCTCCGTTGTTTGTAACTGTGTGAATGATGTTGATGTAGTTAACATCTGGAAACAACTTGTAAGAAACTGAAATTGAAACATCTCCATTTGTAACTCTTCCTGAACTACCTTTAATTTCAGTATTATCATCAACACGTAAATATAATCCAATGCCATGATCATTCCATGATATCTTAAAATTTTTGTGTTTAACAAGGTAAGTTCCTTCATTAGTTCCAGTTTTTGGGGAATTAGAATAAATCCAATCGTTTTGCATATTGGATCTTTGTTTTTATCGATGGTCTGTGAAATTAAGGACAAATTGAAATCCGATAAACTTGATAATATAAAAAGTGACATTATGATGAGATAAAAAGTGATAATATGATGAGATAAAAAGTGACAAAATGATGATATAAAAAGTGACAAAAAATTATGGAGAACTTAGATCCGAAAAATCTAAAAAAACTGAACATGGAACAGGTAAATGATGTTCCTATCTTAGCTGATCTTAAATGTTCCAGCATTTTCGGTTTTAATCTCATTTTTCCATACGTAATTGCTTTAATTTTATTATTTAGCGGTATATTCATTGCAAAGCCAATATATTATTCCAATTTTGTTGAAAAAGTTTCTATTGTTGATGAAAAATATACATCTGAAGTTACAATTTCAAAAATAAATCAACTTGATCGCTTTATTAACGTTCATGCTTCATTTAATAATGTCAGTTCATCTCAATTTTTATTCAGTGGTGATTATCATGCAATTACAACTCTAAAAGAAGATACAATTTTCAAACTTGAAGAAAAAACAAACAACACAATGATTAATGTCAATAATCAAGTTACAGATAAGATCCATTTATACTCAGACTACGCCCTTTTCTACGATACCCTTCAACTTTCCTTAAATCTTCAATCAAATGTCGCATTACCCAATGCCATCAATATCTATGTCCGAAAAGGCAACCCCAACTATTCCTTCATGATCAATATCATCAAAGTTGTCCTTTCTTTCATTGTTGCCGTTTACATTGTGTTAGGAGCGAAAAAAGTTGCTTCTAGACAACTAATGCTTGAACAGAACCTTTCTTTTATGGTTCTTTCAGCTCTTATTATCTTTATCGATCCATTTATTACGTTGCATCTCTTTTATCCGTTGAGATTTAATCAAATAAGACATTTAATCTCTCGGGACATATTTGTTTCGTATTTTATCTTTTTCATTTGTTATATTTATTCATTGATAGGTGTGGAACCATCCCAGGATAAGACAATTCCACTTTTGTTACCTTATATGATCGGAATTACTTATTTCGTGTCTGTTCTTGCAACGGATACAAGTTTTGGAGGCTATAGAATGCTTGGAAGCCAATTTGACCCTCTTACAGACCAATTGTTCCTTAATGCAACGATATTTTTCTGTTATTCTGCGTTTTTCGTGTATTACTTGTTTATTTCGATCAAAAAGATCTTCACAACATCGAGTATAGACAAGAATCGTGCGATTAACTACTTTATTGCGAGTTTTCCAACAGTTATTGTTATGGAAATTTATTATTCGGTTTTAGTTTTCACTAATATACTAAAGAACACCGCTTATTATGAATTGATACCTTTGGCGTTCTATACTTGCTCTGTTTTGGTGTTTTGGGGGTTGATGTCGCAAATTCACGAAGGAGATCGATATTTGTACCAAAATGCTGATAGGGATAACTTGAAGGAGGAAGATAATGAGAATCCGATTGGAATTGATACAGAAAACATCCCAGAATTACCTGATAATTTTGATGTCGAAGAAGAGAAAAAAGAAGAAAATCTCGTCAAGAATGAATAGTCTGTTTATATATTTTAAGCATATTGTAAGTTTAAAATAAAATAGTAAAATTTTTTATGAAATTTTTTTAAAATTTGTTAATTTTGTGAAATAATATAATAAAAAGTAATTGTTTATATTATGTTAATGGGATTAAACTTTTAAGTTTTCAGAATTAATCAAACGAAGTCAACAGAGTTTCTTGTCTTAAGTGAAAGTTGATGTTCTAGAATCTCGATTGATAACAAGAAGGAATAAATGAGTATGTAGACTCGGCATGAGAATGGAAAAAAATTATAACAAATGAATTTTATACTGAATTTGGCTATTATACAATTTTACTTCTTAAACAAGGGTTTGTTGATTTTGTGAGAGCTTTTCAGAAAGTGGTAACATGCTCTCATAATATCAAACATATCTTTATTTTAATAACAATAGTGTATAACAGTCATATGAAGTACTATGTAGTGAATTATAATAACTTTTTCCCGAACAAAATATAAAGTTTAAATGTTAAAAAAAAAATTGAGAGCTTTTCAGATAGTGGTAAGTAAAAAAAATATTTGAGGGCATCCTTATAAAATATTTGAGTAAAAAAAAACGTTACAAATTTTAATGAGTCGGGGAATTGTTCTGAACTACGAATATATTGGCTCACATATCAAAGACTATATTGAAGAGAATAGTTTCTTAAGTACATTCGAAGTAGAAGATATCAAATCGATCATGAAATTCGAATTTAACGCCTAATGACTTCAATTCTCTTCTTGCGCAATCTCGTTCTGCAATTTCAGCACGCGAATTGTATGTCTGCACTCGAAATGCAAACATTTCAATAAACAACTTACAAGAAGCCATTTCAACACTTAAATCAGTTCAAAAGTACATGAAAATGCGAATACTCGAAGGAATTATTGGCATTTTAGAGCAATTACAAAAGGATCAATCCACCACAACAAATAAAATCGAAAAACTTCAAGCAGATTTAAATCGGATTCAAAAAGAAAATGTTGAGAAAGAAATACAAACTCTTCACTCTCAACTCAAAGAGAGAGAAGAAAACGATTTACCAAAAGAATTTCTTTCGAAAATTTCTGAACTTAAAAATTCTGAAGATTTTGATCAAATCTACAAATTCTTTGAAGAAATTTCAGAAAAAGGAAATCAAACAATGATGAAAAAAGCATGCGAAGCAGAACTTTGGAAGAAACAAAATGATAGAGATTATCGTGGTCCAAATGTACTTCATCATGCATCTTCAAAAGGAAATCTGAAACTTGTTAAATCTCTCATTGAATGTGGTTGTGATAAAGACATCAAAAGCAAATATATTGGTACAGCTCTATGCTGGGCATCATGTTATGGTCATCTTGAAGTTGTTAAATATCTTATCTCAGTTGGAGCTAATAAAGAAGCAAAGGATAATTATGGAGAAACTCCACTCTTTTGTGCATCAGAAAAAGGTCATCTTGAAATTGTTAAATATCTTATCTCAGTTGGGGCTGATCAAGAAACAAAGGATAATTATGGACGAACTCCACTCATTATTGCATCAGATAAAGGTCATCTTGAAATTGTTAAATGTCTTATCTCTGTTGGAGCTAATAAAGAAGCAAAGAATAATAATGGAGAAACAGCGCTTATTACGGCATCAAAATGTAATCATCTTGAAGTTGTTAAATATCTTATCTCTGTTGGAGCTAATAAAGAAGCAAAGAATGATAAAGGAGAAACAGCGCTTATTACGGCATCAAAATGTAATCATCTTGAAATTGTTAAATATCTTATCTCTGTTGGAGCTAATAAAGAAGCAAAGAATGATAAAGGAAAAACAGCACTTGATTGTTCGTATCTAGCAGTGAAGCAATATTTATTATCAATTGTGTGAAAATAATTTATTTTTAATTAAGGATTCACTAACATGACAAAAATTAAAGTCCCTTGAGATGTATATTCTATGATGTATATCATCAAGAAGCAAAGAATAATGATAAAAATACTGCACTCAATAGGACATCAGAAAATGGTTATCCTGATGTTAGAAAATATTTTATCTCTGTTGGAGCTATTAAAGAATCAAAGAATAATTTCGGAGATACTCCACTCGTTTGGGCATCAAAATATGGTCATCTTGATATTTCCAAATATTTTATCTCTGTTGGAGTTAATAAAAAAGCAAAAAATTTTGTTGGATACACTCCATTCGACGTCGTAAAAAGCCACGTAAAAGATTATCGGCTTTCTGCTCAATTTCATTAATCCAACTAAAGAATAAACTTTTCGATGTGAACAACAAATCAGATCTCTCTTTAATAGTCAGTTGTATTTTTAATACCTAAACAAAATATTAAAATTATTAGGAGACAAACTTCTTTGTTTATGAAACGATAAAGACAAAATAATGGAGAGAAAGAAAATTTTTATATACATACGCTGATATCTTCATCAAAAAAAGTTTAATAATAAAATCAAACTAAATTTTGGAGATATCCGAAAAAGAAACAAATAAAAATGTAACATAATTAAAGTTCAACGCATAACGTAATGGAAATAGAGCTTTTCGTTGATATTCCGTAAAAAATATAAAAATTATTTTGGAATTTCTAACAACAAGGGGTCTTTTGTGATTGTTGTAAGCTTGTATTATTCAACTTCTTATGAACAATGCTAAAAATCTTCGCAGAATCAACAAAAACTTCTGTAACGTTTGTTCCTGAATAACCTGAAGTTAAATAGTGGGCCATAGCCTGGTATTTCGTTTTGAGGTCGAACCCGTCTGTTTTTTCTTCATATTCCTGGTCATAATTCAATAAATCAGATTTTGTTTCCGTTAGTATAATTATGCAGTTAGGAACTATTTGGTGTACCCTATCGATCCATTTTTGAATTGAATCTTTGTCATCCATTGTATAACAAACTAAAGCTACATCAGCATCTCTGTAAAACATTTGAGAAAGCGCATAATATTGTTCTTGGCCGGCTGTATCCCATATTTCAACAGTTAAAATATCGCCTTTCTCCGTTTGAATGTCAACCTTCATACAGCCTGGAGAAATTGTTGGTTTTTCCCTTTTATGGTCTGGCTTGTTCAAAAAGCAATTAAATAGTGTTGTCTTGCCACAGCCTGAATTTCCAACTAAAATTATCTTGAGTGGATCCATTTAGGGAAAATAATATTAGAAAAAAAAAATCCGAAAAATCAATTCAAATGGAAATTGAAAAACATATCTGCATAAATATTGTTGGAAAGATATTATTGTTTAATAAATATCAATAATGCTTTTTACAAAATTGAGATAAAAAGGTGGTTTTATTTTGGATGACTAATACTGAAATAACATTAATGCAAATTGCATAATTAAATTAATAATTCTATTCAATTTTTGTCAAAAAAATTTTGGGTGTCAAATATGACAAAGATAAAAAGGTCCTTGATGCTTTGTTCTTAGGATGTATGCTTCATCACATTATGAGAGATATGAGATATTCTGTATGAGTTGTTCGATACTTCCAATGAAATTGAAGAAAAGATAGTTAATAATATGCCCATTTTGTTATATCAATGACTTCAGTGTGAAAGCAAACAGTGTGCTATCTCAATAAAATGCTTTGGGATTAAAATTATAGATCTTAACGTGATAATGTTAACAAATTCTATAAATATGGCTGTAAATATGGATACGCAAACTGATATTTAGCTATTCTTAGCCAATGTTAGGAGGATAATCTTCTCTAAAAACCTTAGTTCTTTCAATTTTGATGCATTAGATTATTTCAAAAATAAGGCTTTATATGGAGAAAAAAAGTTCTTCATATTTCTTGTGATAGGCATATTTGCTGATTCGATTAGATCATATTGATGTTCTTGTGTTGAGAACAAAATAATGACCTCCATAAAATAAAATAATTATGCAATTTTCCTTGAGAAATTTTATCAAATAAAGAAAGTTGATGTCCTCTGCTTGAAATTTATGAGAATTCGAAAGGTGATGTAATGTCTCGTATATTGTCATTATAATTATCAAAAATTTATTAATAATGTCAAAATAAAAAGGATTATGAGTATGGCAATAGATTTTTGATCATCTGGGTTGATTATTAATAAAATTTAATAACAACAACTTCCGAGTTGTTCACAAATTATGATGCCTTAATGTAAAATTATCAATAGCATTGGGAAGTAGATATCTTAATGGTTAACCTTGACAGCAGAAACTTTCAAATTGGCAATATTGGGGTTTTTGTATACTTCGATTGGAAAAGTCAATTCGACTTTTTGTGAGGATATAAAAAATTTTTGTAAACTAATTTATTGATTTCAATACTATGACGCGAAATAAAGAGATATCCAACACTAGGGCCAAGGTGACATAGAATAACAAAGCGCGGTGATATATGCTAGGATATTTTCAATTCCTACCATTTCAATGCAATTGTTTTATTTGAGCTAATATTTCTATCGGTTACAATTCAAAAAAATGTAATATTATGAAGTAACACTATGCAGTAAGAAAATTGATATCTGTGCGTATTGAAAAAATTCAATTTGATAAAAAATTTTTAAGGGTCCACTGTAAAAATTGAAAGTCTCTCAAAATTGAGAAGCGATTTGCAAATAATCGTTATCGTCTTTTTTTCGAAAATCCACTTTTCCTAGTGTTCTGATTAATATTTTATGAATGTAACAATAAAGTATATATTTTAGTAAGATGATAATACATTCTATCACTTCAAATCACATAAAAATTGCAAAATCAGCGAGTTTTATAAGAACATGATTTTTTCGAATTTTTTCGCTTCTGGATGCGTGTTTTGAAAAATAGATAAGGTAGTCACAAAATCTAAGTAGTGAGGCTCTCAAAAATTGAACCGTACTCCATACAAAATTTGTGTACCCTCACTACTTAGATTTTGTGGCCTTCAATTGAGAGGTTAGTTTTGATAGAGCAAGTTATAAAATTAAAAGGGAAAAATAAATAAAATTTAAACATTTAATTATATATCATGTAAGGAGTGTAATTCCAAATTTTCTAAAAACTATTCAAATTTGAGCATTTTTTGGAAATAGTAAATCTAATATGTACATCTAATAACAACATGATTCATCACCTTTTCAAGCTCTGCAGTCAATTTTTTGAAATTTGATTGAAATAAATGTAGCAAAAATTACATTTCATTAGGGAATATATGAGTTTCTCTGGAAACAGGCTGATAAATTTTAAATTTTGTCCAATCAACATGAATGCATTGAGAAATTTGGATTGATTTTCTGGTAGAATCTGGAACAATTCAACTATGTATAAATGGATCATGTAATCATCATGAAATGTTAGTGTTAGAGTTCAAAAGAAACAGAATGAGTGGAAATCAAACACAATATGAATAATTTTAAACGTATACAATCTTTAAGTTTGTATTTTGAATTCTACATATATGATTGTGTAATTTATTCTTTCAAATTTTCGGATTCAGGCATGTTTTGATAAAATTCATTCCCAAAAACGTAAATTAACATTTAATTTAGTGTATTTTAAATAGATATACGTATTATATTTTATAAATTATATTAAATTCGCAAAATTTTAAGTTTTAAACAAAAATAAAAAATGTTCAAAATATGAAATTATGCATAGGATATTAAAATTTACATGTTAGCAATTTTTTTGAATTGCTTTCAATTTTCATATTGAAATTTTTAAGATTTTTTTTCTGAAATAATAAGCAAGAATATCAACCTAAATAATATTAAATTCCATGCGTTAATTTCCCCTCAAAAGTCATTGACAGCCTCTCAATCTAGATTTTGTGAGTACTTTATTTTCGAATTTTGATTTTAATTTAAGTATAAATTTTATATTAGGAATTTTTTGACCTATTTCCAATCATTAATTCCTAAGTTTTTCTAGGAATTTAATTGAGAAGAAATTAGGAAATTCGCTTTAATGCCATTACATCCTAATATTGTGATGCATGTAGTTTATATTTATTGAGGCTAATGCCGGAATATCATGCATTTTATAAAAAATTCAAAGAATTGACAATTGGATAGCACAAATTTAATTCTCTAGACAAAGTATTATTGTTTATATATTCAAAGCATTATCCTTCGTTTTGAAATGTTGGCCAAAAATTTTCGTGTTATTTTTTGTGTTTCAGCATAAATTATCTATTGACTTATGAAAGATAAGCATTTTATTCATTATCATAAAGATATACCAAAACAAATTGATAAAATTTTAAAAAATGTGTATTTTAGTGGGTATTATTCTGGCCAATGCCCATTTTTAAACGATTTAATATTGACCATATCAATAGCCGACTCAATGTAAAAATTTAGATATTATTTTTTTCAATATTCAAACTTTGATAAATTTTAGTATAATGAATGATTTTGTTTCGTGTATGATACAGAAATGAAAAGCTTGATTAATATCATTTTGCATTTTTTTAAGAATGTTAGAGTACATCTACATTAAAAAATCGGATTCGAATTGGGATACTGCATCAAATTGTTGCACATCTGATAAGGATCTCAAAAGAGTAAAGTTAATTTTTTTGTGTTTTTTTAAGTTTTGGGCCTTAGTAAAAACATAGGGTTATTAGATTCCCGACGATAGGTGTCTTGGAAGATTTGCCTGGTGTCATCATAGTGTCTTTAAATCAAAAATTTTATTTTGGAGTTAGTTTTATTGATTTTTCAATAAAAAACATTTCTAAAACAAGAAAATAAAACGATAAAATATTTATATTTTATATAAGGATCTTATATATTTAAAATAAATATCATTTTATTTTTTTCATTGGTGTCTGTCAAACCGTAATACACTATTCAAAAATTCAATGTGTCTTGCGGTTTCAAAAGACACCTTCAAATTGAACGATAGCACAGACACTATTGAATTTTACCCATTTTATTTAGTTTTTACCCTTTTTATTTTTAAGAATTAATGACTGAAACAGCCGTTTTGCTATCACCTCAATCACTTTTATTTATTATTTTAAATATTATTTAATTTTATTATTTGAATAGGCCAACTTATATTTGAGAAGCTCAATTTGAGACCACTTAATACATTGAAATATCATAAATATTGAAATATTAAAAAGTGTATTTCAAAATATTGAAATTATAAAAATTTATAATACTGAAATTGAGACAAATTAATAAATTCAATGTTTTTTTTGAAATAACTCTCAAATATTATTTTTTCGTTTATTTAATGATGAATAAATATGATTGCTTTAGTCAATCATAAAAACTAATTTAAGTTTAAAATAATGAAAGGATAATTTGATCGTTTTTTAAAATACAATTATTTTTGATGATTTGCAAGAATCTTTGAAAAGAATATAATATAGGTTCTATTTTTGTAAAATTTATCCAAATCATGTATTACATAAATTACGATTAAAACGATGAAAGAACCAAAAAGTGTGTTTTGTGTTTTGTTGTTGCGTGTTGAATGCGGGATCCTGTTATTTCCGAAATCGACAAAAAATTTGGAAATTTAATTTCCGAAATCGAAATTATATTAATGTTTTTAATATTCTTATATCAAAAGGATTAAAGTTCATTAAGAGAAAAACAATTCTTCTTCTTCAATCTATTGGCGCATTTATTTCTACACGCCAATAAGGAAGGGAAAATTATAAGACACCATGGTGTCTTCAAAACGCTAATTTTTGATGTTTTTAACAACCCTATAAAAACACCATCTTGAGCAATATTTTTGGGACGACGATAGACCTTATTTGGCCCTACAGTGGACCCTTAATAGAAAAAGCTCATTTCTCATTTTTTTGAAAGGTTTGTACAACCCAAATTCATAATTTTCCTTTCATTAACAGAATGACTTGCTGTTCATGCATGGCTGTTGCTCTAATAGGTGTTATCAACCTAGTTATTCTCGTTGTAATGGGCGTTGTTGCCTATTTCTGCTTGGATATTATCAAACAAGTTACAATTAGCGAAGTTAAAAGCTCAAAGACATTTTTATTCTCAGCCGCAGTTATTGGTGTCATTGCTCTTACATGCATTATTGGTTTCTTCATGCTTTGCTGCTACAAGAACCAATGCTTCAGAACAACTTACGCCGTTTTATACTTTATCATTGTTGTAGCTGAATGCGCTTTACTTTACTTCATTTATAAGACATACCCAACTCTTTTGCATGACTTAGATACATGGTGGGACAAAAACAAAGGCTCAGTTGAAGTTAAGAAAGTTGAATCTTCCCTTGAATGCTGCGGATTCATTAAAGAATATAATGAAACGGAAATGATGAACTGTGGATATACAAGCAATTCTAGCAGTACCGACACAAATTCATCAGAAAACAAGACTGCAAATGCAGAAACAAATACAACTGAAACAAACTCAACAGACTCAACAATTGAAACATGCTACAACAAGGTTAATGATAAGCTCACTAAATCTAAGAAAGGTTTAATGATTGCTGGTATTGGAATTGCTGCAGTACAGATTATCCTTCTCATCTACTCTCTTTGGTTTGGATGCTGCTACAAACCACATAAGAAAGATGAATCTAGCTCATCATATTCTAGTTCTTCATATTCTTAATCTTAATTGTCAATTTTCGTGTTTTTATAAAACTCTTTATATAATACATATTTTTATTTTACCTTGGTTTAGATTTTAATCCACTGAAACAGAACTTAATTCAAAACAATAAAAAATCTTGAATCAGTAGACCCAAAAACCAAAATTAAATGACTCTTTGTTTTGTATTGTACATATCAAAGAAAATTAATAATTAAATAACACAAAAGTCTTAAAATAAAAAGAAAAAGTATGGTCCCGTAAGGAGTAGAACCTGGATTTCGGGATTCAAAGTCCCAAGTGATAACCGCTACACTACGGGACCATTCTTTTAAAAGTCTAAATAATAAGTATACAAGAATAAAAAATATTTCATGTAAGATATCATAAAGAAAAAAGAAAAAAACTAATATTTGCGTGATATAAAATAGATTTGCCTTAAAATTAAAATAATCATGTGGCCATGTCAAATTATGAAAATTATCAAATATAATTATATATTATTTATTATAATTTAGATTAATTTGCATGTTATATCATAAAAAATGCACGTTGCATAAAATGTCAATGGATTATTTTTCAATTATATTCATTTTATATTTGGCAAGCTATATTCCCACTACATTCATGATCTACATAATGTTTCTTATTCCTTTTCTTTAAAGACATGTTATGAAAAAATTGATAATCTGGTACGTTTTAAATTCAATGCATCATATCAAAAGTGCTTTGATAATTCTGAGCACTTTTGATAGGGTCGATTTACGTAATTGAATTTTTTTCACAACCCTGATAATTATGAAGTTCCACAAAAGACTTTTCTTAGCTTTTCTCAATATATCAGACTTGACATTCTTCAATGAGAATTAATAATCACTCTAATGGAAGAAAATTTGGTGCGTCATCTATCGATTTCTGGTCTTACTGAGATAAATCAATTTCGTTTATGAAAAAAGATTTATTATTTATTATAAATAACAGAAATATACTCTTTTCATCATATTAACTATTTTTTGCGATTGGAGACAAAAAATAAAATATCGAAGAATTTCAAATCGAATAGAGTTTCAAGATCAGCATGTCTCACTTAAATAGATTTCGCATGAAATAGCCTACAAAAATTTTTTAAAAAATCCATGAAAATCTTAATAAAATTTTTCAGAGGGATTGAGCATTCTGAAAAATTTGATTGAGTTCTTTTAAAAATCGACAGCATCATCAGCGATCATTCATCCATGACTTTTCCTACTTAAAGAACTAAGCTCGAATACCCGATTAAAAACGAAATCCAAAAACGGTTATATTTGTTCAAAGATTTAATTTTCTGAGATATCCAATAAAAAAATTTTTTCGTAAATCATTATTCGTAAATGATGGAAGGAACAACTGAATTTCCCCAAACCCAAATGATCTGCTACCCACCACCATCTAAACGCCGTTTATCTCCAACTTCTAGTCCAAACAACAAATTACAGCAAACTAAAAAGGAGAATAACAATCTCGCAGAAGTCTCGATAGAATACTCTAGGAGAAGAAGCCTCCCGAAGGTCAACATCCCTAAGATCCACAAGAACAACAACGTTCGCTACGACAATGATGCCATGATCTTCAACAAAGGCAGATTCCAATTTACAATTATTGGAAGCCCTCAACGACAGAACAATGGGAATATGTAAATTCTCTCATACAGAATTTCAGAAATACTGTATATTTCTGATTGTTTGTTTTATTCTGTTTGATTGAATTTAGATTTATATGTTTTCTTGTTCGGTATGAATAAATATATTATCATTGAATTAAATTACCATTCTTTTATTCGAAATCTATGTTAAACCAATTCCGTTATTCGTAAAGACAATTTCATGATGTTGGGCCATCTGTTATGTCAATAGAAAAACATCAAATAGTAATGAACCTTTTGAATTTACTATGAGATTTGGGATTTGTTCGCTTTTATGAAATAAACAATTTCAAAAATCGAAATTTCTTAATAAGAGTAATAAAAACATATATTATAACTGATATCTGTTATCAAAATTATGAGTTTATGAAAGATGATTCAAGCCAATAAAATGTCATTCTCAAAAAATCATAATGATCAATGTTCAAGATTGATATATGCTATTATTTCAGGCATAAAGTCACAATCTATTGCTCTCTTGAAAAGATTTTGTTCAATTAGAAGGTTCGTATTTGATTATATTGTAAAATTTATCTTTATTGATTAAAATCTGATTGTTTTAATAAGAAAAACTTGTTGAAAGCATGCTAGTGAAACCTCAATGAGAGAACAAGATATTTTGATCAAAAACTCTTCTTACTCATCCCCCTTTATTGCTCGATGTTCTCCCTACTATAAAAAATTTTACACTTAAACTTGGAAGTGCATGATGATATTACATTCATTTTGTTTTTACAAGATGAGGTATTCAAAATCTTCCATAAAATCTTCGTTTATATTTTTTTCTTGCTTTGATACCTCTTAAAGCTCCTCCAGTTCAAACATTAACTTTTACAGCAAGTTTGGACTGGGAACTAGAAGATGGGAATATGCCACCACAATGTACTTTGCGATTTCCATCTAGTTTTTCAAAATCTGTAAAACCAATAGCGATAGATACGGCAATAAAAGAAAAATCATATAGTATCGGTATTCAACAAAAGATTGATGATAGATTCATTCAAAAATCTCTTGAAGAATCATTTATTTTCAAAATTGATTTCAAAAAATCTTCACACCGACATAAAAAATCCTCGAGTCATACCAAAAAACCAACTGATACGGCTGAAAAAGCGGACAATGCTTCTCAAAAATCACCAGAAAAGAAACATAGACATAAACATGAAAAATCATCTGAAATATCAAAAAATACAACTGACACAATAGACAAAACTGAAGATAATCTTGGAAAATCTACAGAAAACGAACAGAATCTTGAAATTACACCTGAATCTCCAACCAAATCAAATCAAGAAGAGGAATTAACTGTAAAAAGTCCTGATAAGCCTATAGATAAGAAACATAGACATAGGCATGGCATATCTTCTGATAAAACCAAAAATTCTACAGAAACTGTTGAAAAAACAGAAGAAAAGTCACCTGAAAAGAAGCACAGACATAGACATGAAAAGTCGTCTGATAATATTAAAAAATCAACTGATAAAAACCCTGAAAAATTTCCAGAAAAGAAGAAGAGACATCATCATGACAAATCAACAGAAAGTATTAAAAATACAACCGAAACAGTTGATAAAACTGAAGAAACATCTGAAAAATCTACTGATTCCAAACATAAATCAAGAAATGAAAATTCATCGCATAAATCAAGGTCTAAATCAGATGACAGTTATATACAAATAGATGGACACAAGTTGTTTCTCCAAAACTTGGTGAGTTCTTCGTCAAAATCGTGTCCAAAAGGTTTTTCGAAATTTAATTTCACAACTACGGTCAGTTCTCCATTGATGAATGACTATTTCCTGCAAAGATTTGGTCCTGCGTTCTTCCATATCCAAAAAATTGAAAATTCAAAAGAAATTATCAACCTCAAGGTCAACGAAACCGTAATAATAACTGAAAACAATCAAGTAGATGCAGTCCTGGTTATATCTCCTCGAAAACAGTGCCAGATAAACTTCAATCTTTATAATCAGCCAATAAATGGCGAAAACGTCGCAGGAAACGGCCAATTTCAGCCAACAAAGCACAGACATCAGAAATTAATCGGAACAGCAATGTACCAATTTTTGCCAAAACGAGTCCGAAAAATTTCAATAGGAACGATCAACATAACCGTCGAAACCCTTGATTCCGCTGAAAAATACGGAACTCCAGCTTTACCGCTTGAAGAAGACGCTGAGCCCGAAAGTGGAGAACCACCTAATTCTAAGTTCTACAGATGGATTGTTTCGACTGCAAAAACGGCTGACGGAGTGAAATTTTGCAAAATTTTATCAAATTTTATTGATGAAATCAACAAAGACATGACTACATACAAGAAAGCTGTTAAACAGAACTTCGACATCATTACAGGCTTTCATATTACCACTCCGGATGAAGATCTTTATGTGATTGAGACTCGAGCTACAGAACCAAGACGTACATCGATATTAATGAGTAAGATACTTAATGATTCACCTGAATCCATACATATAACCTCGAATACATCGATTAGCTACCAATCTCCAAGGTTATTCAGAAGATTAGCCTCTGTATTTCCAACAATTACAATTCCTATATCTATTTCTGAGTTAGTTACCATCGAAGGTTTGTATTTCAGGAAATCTGGTTTCTCATCTCTTTTTTCTGTTTCGCAAAAGATATTTGACTTATTTGGAATTCACGATTGTGGATTAGATTGTTTCTATCCAACATACAGAGAGCTTAGAGAACTCATAAAACGCGCTAATGACCTTTATTTGGCTCCAATCTCTAAAGGAATCAAAATTCGTCCTCCTACATCTGTTAATTCGAAAACATTCGACAGGAGAAACATATTAGTTGATAAGAACACTAAATCTACTGATGTTTCTCTTAAATGTTCAGAAAATTTCAAAATTGAAGAAAAAATTTCAACTCAAAATGCAGAAATCATCAAGCCAGAACGAAACAAACTTGTATTTCGATTCCAGAAGAGAACTCCTTCTATCAAAGACCACATCCCTATTTCTCAACCTTCAACAATGACTTCTAACAATCCAAGACTTTCCTCGAGAAGAAACAAAAAATAAACTCATATATTGTTTGTTTGAATAATAAAATATTAAAATATCATGATAATTCTATAATCAATTTCTTTGAATTGAAATTTAGTAGGGTTGTTAAAAACATCAAAAATTAGCGTTTTGAAGACACCATGGTGTCTTATAATTTTCCCTTCCTTATTGGCGTGTAGAAATAAATGCGCCAATAGATTGAAGAAGAAGAATTGTTTTTCTCTTAATGAACTTTAATCCTTTTGATATAAGAATATTAAAAACATTAATATAATTTCGATTTCGGAAATTAAATTTCCAAATTTTTTGTCGATTTCGGAAATAACAGGATCCCGCATCCAACACGCAACAACAAAACACAAAACACACTTTTTGGTTCTTTCATCGTTTTAATCGTAATTTATGTAATACATGATTTGGATAAATTTTACAAAAATAGAACCTATATTATATTCTTTTCAAAGATTCTTGCAAATCATCAAAAATAATTGTATTTTAAAAAACGATCAAATTATCCTTTCATTATTTTAAACTTAAATTAGTTTTTATGATTGACTAAAGTAATCATATTTATTCATCATTAAAAAAAATAATATTTGAGAGTTATTTCAAAAAAAAACACATTGAATTTATTAATTTGTCTCAATTTCAGTATTATAAATTTTTATAATTTCAATATTTTGAAATACACTTTTTAATATTTCAATATTTATGATATTTCAATGTATTAAGTGGTCTCAAATTGAGCTTCTCAAATATAAGTTGGCCTATTCAAATAATAAAATTAAATAATATTTAAAATAATAAATAAAAGTGATTGAGGTCATAGCAAAACGGCTGTTTCAGTCATTAATTCTTAAAAATAAAAAGGGTAAAAACTAAATAAAATGGGTAAAATCCAATAGTGTCTGTGCTATCGTTCAATTTGAAGGTGTCTTTTGAAACCGCAAGACACATTGAATTTTTGAATAGTGTATTATGGTTTGACAGACACCAATGAAAAAAATAAAATGATATTTATTTTAAATATATAAGATCCTTATATAAAATATAAATATTTTATCGTTTTATTTTCTTGTTTTAGAAATGTTTTTTATTGAAAAATCAATAAAACTAACTCCAAAATAAAATTTTTGATTTAAAGACACTATGATGACACCAGGCAAATCTTCCAAGACACCTATCGTCGGGAATCTAATAACCCTAAAATTTAGCTTTTTATGACTTGGTGTGTCACGTTTTTTCTATTTCTATAAAAGTTTTGCAACATATAGTAGTGCTCGCCTTTTCCTTGTTCGAAACAAATTTCTATTTTCAATTTGATCAAATCTCCAATTTCTCGTATTAACAAAGTAGGAATATTAATTATATAAAACAAATGGATATATTCAACAGATCTGCCATTTATTCTATAAAAATAAAGTACCAATATGCAAAACAATTGGATTTATTCTAATTCCCCAACAATTGGCTTGTATCATGGAACTTACCTTGTTAAGCACAAAAATTTTAAGATATCATATAATAATGAAGGCATTGAATTATATTTACGTGTTGATAATAATACTGAAATTAAAGGTAGTTCAGGAACAGTTACAAATGGAGAAGTTTCAATTTCAGTTTCTTACAAGTTGTTTCCAGATGTTAACTACATCAACATCATTCACACAGTTACAAACAACGGAGATAGAAATCATGAAGTAGACTTTCTATGCTATTCAAACATTGCTATTGAAGGAAGTGATGGATCAAGTGGTGATCACTGTCCAGAACGAAACATTGAAGGAAATCGAGGTGTTGAATTTATCAACAAAGATAGAACAGTTCGATTTCTTCTTCGAGATTTCCCTTTTGTTACAAATGTTGATACTTATTCATATTCTAAATGTCCTGGAGGTGGAGCTTGGAAAAATTGTACAGAATACATATATGTTGAAAAAGGTGCTGGTATTATATTTTCATGGCAAAATCAACAAATTAAACCTCATGAATCTAAAAACTATTCATATTCCATTGGAATGGGTGAATATAATCCAAAGATTGAACAAAAACAACAACGTACTTCAATCCAACTAATAACTCCATTTAAACATAGAAATAGAAGGAGATGAATAATATTAGCACTTTTCACTTCATTTTTCCGATTGTTTTTCGACTTTTTACATACTTCATTTATCTAGTTATTCAATAAATATTAATAATGGAGATTTGATAAGTAATACAATTGAACTTATTCAACATCAATATATAATAATGTTGTAACTTATCTTTTACGTCATCTAAAATTTAAGATCTCATGGGAAGATAACGTAATTCAATTATTTTTGCGTGTAGATAATAATGAAGAAATCATTTTAATTCAGGCTTTGTCAAAAATGAAGACATTTTTATTTCAGATTCTTACAAGTTGTTTTCAGATATTGACTTCATCAACAAATTAAACCTCATGAATCTAAGAGTGGATGAATATAATCCAAAGATTAAACCCAAACAAATAGAAATCATTGATGATAATGAAGATATTCCTCAATTTTTTTATTATTATCACATCTTTTTAAATTGTATTGTTTTTATTGCAGTTTTATCTTAATAAACATACTTTATTATTCGAATCAATTTTCAAACATAAATTATGAAAATATTTCTGAATTCAACCTAAAAAAGGATTTTCCGGTCCATAACTCTTTATTCGAGGTGAATATAATCCAAAGGATTAAATCCTCTGAAATAGTCTTGTGATATACACTTGAAAGAATGAACCTTATTCGAATAAAAAAGTTTATTTAGATTAACAGGCTGTAATTCGAATATAGTCCATTTGGAATTATGATTACTTTTGTAATTAGGAATAATTGAGTTTCTCGGAATTGAAAATTGAATGGAAATTCCAACCTTAATTCCTTAGTAATCAATTCAATTTCAATTCGAATAAAGAAGGTCTTATTCTATCTGAAAATAATAATAGGAATTTGGAATAAACTCAAATATAAGAATTATGAATAGGAATATCGAATTACGAATATTGGATTGATTATAGGAATATAGTTAGGGGAAAAATTTTAGAGAAAAAAGGTTGTACCTTCAACAGAATGACATTGCCTTCAATTCTGGTGTATAAGGTTAATTTTCAATGATGCTTCACTCCAGTGATCGGAAATTTGAATGGAAGTCAGCTTTAATTCTTATATGGAAATACTGATTCAATGATCTTATCTTCTGCAATATGAAGAGCTGCTATTCCAGCAATATCTTTCTCATTGAAATTTACACCATGCGAAAAAAGAAGTTCAATGAGAAAAAGCAGTTTTTCCTTCCACATCTTTTTCATTGATATTTGCACCATTGTGCAGAAGAAACTAAATTAATTCTTTATTATTTTGTGCTGCACTATGAAGAGCAGTTCCTCCAACTTGATCTCATCGATTGATATTTGCTCCAAGGTAGAAAAAATACATACAAAGTGATGGAATATCAAACATCGCTGAAAAAAAAACATAACTCTATGTTAATATTACAAGTTTGATCGGAATAGATGAAAAATGATTCAAGATTATTATCAGGATTAGACATAATAATCATCCTTCATGATAAATATGATCTTTTTAAATAAGAAACCTAATCAATCTGCTATTTAATTTAGTCAATTCCATAATCCATTTCCTAATTCTCTTTTGGAAATGAATATTCCTAATTCTTATATTTGAGTTTATTCCAAATTCCTATTATTATTTTCAGATAGAATAAGACCTTCTTTATTCGAATTGAAATTGAATTGATTACTAAGGAATTAAGGTTGGAATTACGAATTAAGGTTGGAATTTCCATTCAATTTTCAATTCCGAGAAACTCAATTATTCGAATTATAGCCGGTTAATCCAAATAAACTTTTTTATTCGAATAAGGTCCAATTTCAATGCGTTCTCAAAAATATCAGTAATGCGATAGAATTTAGACAGAAAAAATGAGGGAAAAAATTAGACAGAAAATAAAACATCAACAGATTTGTCACATCTTCCACAATTTTCTCGTGAAATTGTATTTGTGTCACTTTTAAGCATCATTTTTCAAATATTTTTCTTATTTTCCATTTGTTCAAATCTCCAATTTCTGATATAAGCAATAAAGATGAATCTTTACTATGCAAAACGATTGGATCAAATCAACAGGGGGAAGAACTTTCCTTGTTAAACACAAAAATTTTAAGATATCAAATCAAAACAGATGGATATATTCAACAGATCTGCCATTTATTCTATAAAAATAAAGTACTAATATGCAAAACGATTGGATTTATTCTAATTCCCCAAAAACTGGAACTAATGAAGGAACTTACCTGAGAGGTTATCGATTTTGTAATTTAATCGTCGTCGTTATCGATTTTGTAATTTAATCGTTATCGTCTTTTTCTAAACGTGCATTTTTACATTAAAAGCAATGCAACTCCAAAATTAATTGGTATTTAGACTTTAATTAGGTGCAGACAAACGAAATGCAGTCCAAATATTTTGGTGATATATGAATTACATAAATTTAGGGAAATTGAAATTATATCTTTTTAAATTTTTAGGAAAACAGATTTATAGAATTGTTTAAGTCATCAAAATAATGCAGACTTAGGTCAAATTTTCCAAATTTAATCATTTGCAAGACTTTCAAGCGACTTCAAAATGTCGAAATATAAGTCCAAAAATAAAATTACGATTACAGTCTATCCTCAATTATTATCACGCTAATTATTGAGTGACCCATGCGTTCGTATGTATGTAATACCTTTTAAAAAGGAGATGAGAGAGATAAACTACATTTACAATTTAAATCTGATGTATTTACTTGTTACATTTACAAATGTAAATGTTTCTCGTAATGTTTACATTTTGTAAGTATAACGAATAAAAATGACGCACTTTTTTTACAAAGTCAAATTATGCGAGACAACTTTACTTGTTACATTTACAAATGTAAATGTTTCTCGTAATGTTTACATTTTGTAAGTATAACGAATAAAAATGACGCACTTTTTTTACAAAGTCAAATTATTGTTCGATTTTTGCAGCTTGTAAACGATTAATTGTATAAAGCAATTGATATTAGCACGACATAACTGAATAATTCTAATATTGAAATCAAAAGCCCTTAAAATATCATGATATTTTAATTTCATAACAAATCTAGGAGACTATTTGATGAAAACATATCCGATGTGGGTTTTGTTGTATTATATAACTTGTTATTGACTTCTTAGCTTTCCAAATTTTTTTCGATAATGAGAAAACGAATGAAAAATCAACATTTGGTCCATTTAAAATTTGATTTGTTTACATTTTTTTTACTTTTTGAATTTCAATTTATATTTTCCTCAAGAAATACTTTAGATTTTAAGAAACTAAATCATATAATCTACTAAGAAAATATATTAAATCCTATAATACTCAAAGTTTTGTGATAAATCCGATCTTTTTTATTTTACTTTTATTATGTTTTTGCAAACTTAAGGTCCTCACTAGGTAAAACATAATACTCTTTGAAGTTAAGTATTTTCACAAAGAGAGGACCAACAATATCAAAAGATTGAATAAAGATTTGTATTATTTTATTTATTTTTAAGAACATGTTTGGAAAACACTTACTTCGTTCTACAAATGTGTATCTCTTTATATCAAAGATTCTTCTCAAATTATTGAGAGACTTCTCTCAAAAAAAGGAAAATTTGATAACTAAAAAAAATTATGGCATAACCTCTCGTTTTGCATAGATATATATTTACATGGTCACAGAGCTTATTTTCATTGTCAAAACTTAAAAATTTTTAGTGGACTATACCCTTAATAGGATAAAAAAAAAGAATTTACACTCTCTCACTTTGAAAACGTAGAAAATGCCAATCTATTGGTATACATTTTAGTTTTGTTAAGTTTACAAAATGATTACTCTAGATTTTAAAGATTTATCAAGAATTTAGAGAATATCCTTCTCAAAACAACTTCAATAGCGAAGGATTAGTATTGAATCGGATTTGTAACATAATTATAGTACATTACAATACAATTTCTCCGATTTTTAAATATTTTTGAAATATTTACAAAATTGCTCTTTCTATCATCGATACTTTAATACAGAGCAAATTTAGTAAATGTCATCACGTTATTTTTTCATAAATCGTTTTCGAACTTTTGAAATATTTATTTTAAACCAGTTTTCTACATTTAATATGTGAATTATATCAAAAGTAGATGGGCGATACTTGTAAATCTATTTAAACTATTAGTTTGCTATTATTGAAGAACTTTATAATTTTTTTTTCTTATGTATGGAATTAAAGATAATTTTGCCGATTCCAACTGGTTTTTCTATATGAGTTAAATATGCCAAGTGAAATTGGACTTGCCAATATTGTAAATTGAAGTATGGACTATATATCGATTTTCATTGATTGATGAATAACTCGGAGTAATGTAATTGTTGATAATGAAAAATAGTTTTCAATTGCTGGTAAGGGCCAATGTATGTTCAATAGCTCCGAAAGCAAAAAATGCACGTTTAGAAAAAGACGATAACGATTAAATTACAAAATCGATAACGATGACGATTAAATTACAAAATCAATAATGACCCAACTTACCTTGTTAAACACAAAAATTTTAAGATATCATGGAATGATCATGGCATTGGATTATATTTACGTGTTGATGATAATACTGAAATTAAAGGTAGGTCAGGAACAGTTACAAATGGAGATGTTTCAATTTCAGTTTCTTACAAGTTGTTTCCAGATGTTAACTACATCAACATCATTCACACAGTTACAAACAACGGAGATAGAAATCATGAAGTAGACTTTCTATGCTATTCAGACATTGCTATTCAGACATTGCTATTGAAGGAAGTGATGGATCAAGTGGTGATCAATGTCCAGAACGAAACATTGAAGGAAATCGAGGTGCTGAATTTATCAACAAAGATAGAACAGTTCGATTTCTTCTTCGAGATTTCCCTTTTGTTACAAATGTTGATACTTATTCATATTCTAAATGTCCTGGAGGTGGAGCTTGGAAAAATTGTACAGAATACATATATGTTGAAAAAGGTGCTGGTATTATATTTTCATGGCAAAATCAACAAATTAAACCTCATGAATCTAAAAACTATTCATATTCCATTGGAATGGGTGAATATAATCCAAAGATTGAACCAAAACAAACAGAAATCATTGATGATAATGAAGATATTCCTCAATTTCTTTATTATTATCACATCTTTTTAAATTGTATTGTTTTTATTGTAGTTTTAAAGCAATAAATATAAATTATCATTCAAGTCATTATTAAAAAAGAAAATATAGTTATTATGAAACATAAATTATGAATTATTTCTGAATTCTATGGCATTCCAAACGGGAACCGCGGTTGGTTACCATGGATTTCCGTCACCGGTCACATTTTAAAGATTTTTAAAGCCTTATAAAAATATGCTTTGTAAATCATTTTTTGTAAATCGGCAAAAATTTGGTAATTTTCTTCAACTAATAAATCTGCGAATAGCATTTATAATACAAGAACAATCTTTTAAAATGTGTTTGATTCATTTTTGTATAATTTCATATAGGCACATATATTCTTCCGGGACTTTCCGTGATTTTACCGTAAAATCATTAGTTTACACCAATTTTCCCGTATTTTGAATAGTTTACTGCACTTTTTCCGTAAAATTGAGTTACGGGAATCCGCAAAATTTCCGGACCTCATTTTTCATAGAATATAATAATAATACTTGATAAAAAGATATATTATTTATATTTTTGATTTTTGAATTACGGAAAAAGTGAATTGATAACTTGATTTTTTTATATGGTTAATTTTTCAAATGATATTATGAAGATCTAAAATATTAAAAGGAAAAAATTGAATTACGGAAAAAGTGAGGTCAAAAGTGAAATAAATTTGCAGAACAATTTTCATTGAAATAAGCTTTATTTTTCATTATTAATAACAATGCTGTAATAAACAGAAATTCATCAAAAGTGACAGCTCTCAATTTTTTGATATTTGTAAATTCTAAATTGAATGAGAAAAATGAAATAATACTAAGCATAATACAATATTCTAGATTTAATTATAATTAGGAAAAAGTTAGTTTTGAGAGTACTTTTCATAGGCATATAGAATGAAATCTTCTGAAAAATAATATCACATAAACTCATATTATTTTCTAATATATAACTATTTTATATAAAAATCAAATTCAATGATCTTAAAAGCGAAGGATAAACCTCAAAATTTACGAATATAATGAGTGGGAATATAATGCTTATCTATCATAAAACCATATGAAATATCAATTTTTGCTTTACGCCTAATTTTTGACGACAATTAGCAAAAAATGTTAAATGTTAACACTCAGTCCATTTGAATATGAAAAATAAAATTGACTTTGATTAAGTGTTTTTATTTATCATGCAATTCTTCTTGCGACCAAAGATTTGAATAAAAGTTCAAAAAATAAGATAGCTTAAAAAATAATATACGGTAGTGTTTACTAATAGATGAATAGTATATAAATTCTATTAAAATGGATTTGATCCAAAAAAATATATAAAATTTGATCATAAATAAAATCGTTTTAAATTACTTCTTCATTTAAATTATAACAATTATTTTTGGTTTTATAGTTTTTAAAGCTCATGTGGTTTTCTTAACCACAGAATACTTATGTGCTGTAGCATGCTTGCAATCCAAAGCTCACGTTAGACAACAAGAGTCATGAAGTCTCATACTAAGGGATATCCAACATATATTTTAATAATCTAATGTTTGTGACAAATATTCAACATAAAATTAAGTTTTCGTTTCGTTACAAGGCATTCATACTTTGGAGATATCATATTTAATGTACAGAAAAGTTAATATTAAACAATACATGCTAAAGAATTAATAAATAAGATAATAAAATAAATTTATACGTAATTACTTTCATTTAATATGCTTTATGCTGTAAATTTGATTAAGAGCATTAAAAGGTTCCATAATCTGCTTTTATAGGCAAGATTTTTGATAAAATTTTAAATTTTGAAAAATGATGAGAAAAGGAAAAAAAAGGTAAATGAGAGCAAGAGGAGGGAAAAAGAAAAAGAAAAGGAAGGGAAGGGAAAATAAAGAAAGAAGGACATATAAAATTTAGATCGCATTCTTAATGCCGAGGCGGCTTGCCGCCGAGGCGCGATTTTTTTAGGCCTCTACGGTAACCCGGCAATGTTTTTTTAAATCTTGTACAGCCCTACTGAATTCAATCTAAAAAAAAACATTCTCGAGATTAGCTGTACTAATTATAAGCATTCACTCATATTAGTGAATATTACTATAGACAATTTCCTATAATTCTTTTTAAATCACAAGTCAAAAGCACTTCAACAATCTCACAAAATTGAGAAGGAATGAAAGCATGTAAATCTCAATATACTTTTTCAAATGATTAAATGAGAACTAAATCCGTTGAAATAGTCTTGTAAAATTTAATACTTCAACAGCATTTCAATAGAATGATAAAGTTGCTGATTGGTACTTTTGGATCACACGAAAGATATTCATTGATTGAAAGAAAAATTATATTAAATGATAATAATAAAGTTAATGATTGAAAAAGAAAAAATCATTGATTAAAGATGCCCTTACCACTTTCTGACATACTCCGATAATATCAATATATATTTATTCTGATTGCAAAAAGTATAACAGTAATATAAGGTACTAAGTAGTGATTTAAAATAACTTCTTCCCGAACAAAGTTAATGACTTTTTAGCTTAGAAAATTTGGATAAAAAACTAGAATGGCAAAAAAAATTGAGAGAATGTCAGAAAGTGATAAGTACATCCTTAAAAACAACATATAAATAACAAGATGAAAAAGAAAGTTGCTAAAAAAACAAGAAAATATAAACAATAATATTTAATCAGACAAAAGGATGATGAATTCAGAGAGGTTTTCGCGAATGGCAATAGACTTAGCTTCAGATGTGTATCCAAACTGGATGAGTAAGTGGCACTTGAACTTGGAAGATTTGATTTCTTTGTCGATGATACTGAAAACGAATGATTTAGTCTTGTTATTGCTGTTGAATGAATGAAGTAAAACTGTGATCCAGTCTTCGAAAACACTTGTATTGTTTGGAAGTGTGTACTTTCCGAAGTTGAAAACAAATGAACGAGCTTTAGAAAGACTCATTGACTTAGATATTCTGTTGATTGTTTGTGTTGGATCGATCTTGAGTTCGATTGCGACTTTGCACGCGAATTCATAAAGTTTCTTAGAGAAAAGACATTCCATGGCCAAAGGAAGTCCATCTCCGAAAAGATGGATAGAAGGGTTGTATTGGATACCATGAATTCGTTGAAGATGAACGAACTCTTCTTGAAGATCGATGATCTTGAAATTGACAAGTTCGTGTGGGAAATCGCGTTGACATTTAGAAAGGATTTGTGAACGAACATCTTGACGTTTCTCATGACTATAAATATCTTCAACGGCAAAGATCGCGTCATAATAATCGTCGAAAATCATGTCAAGTTGGTATCGAAGAAGACCAACTTTGTTTTTAGAAAGCATTGAGATGGATGCATATAATGCATTAGATGATAGTTCGTAATATGGATCATTTTCTTTCAAAATTTCCAACATAACGTCAACTTTGCCAAAAGATAGGGATGGTAACAGAACACCATATATAAACATCGATTCATCAAATGAATTCGATTTTAGGATTTCTATCGCACGCCCGTAAAAACCGGTTTCACAGAAAAATTTGATAACCGATGAAATTCCGTAAATTTGGTCTATGTAAAACGAGGCTGCGTTAGCCCAGGAAGGACAGAAAGCGGATGTTTTGGTGGCTATAAACTTCTTACATGAGGAATAAAGGCTTTGGGGAGCAATATCTACAACAGGAGAACGAATATAATCTTCATCGAGACATAAGGGACTTTGCATGGCCCAAAGAAGCCTCTGTAAGAACTTCTCCTTCTTCTGGACATATTTTTTGAACTTGTCGAACTCGTTCTTCGCTTTTTCGTAGTCTGTAAATTTGAGCATCGTAAAAAAGAACTTTGAGTTCTCGGAAGTCTGTTTAAAGTGCTTGGCAAGGTCATGGAAGTCATCGGATACAAGTTTCTCGTGGATTTGGTCGCTCTTTCTATCAGATCCGACGATATCAATTCCATATACGAAATTGTATCGAACGTAGAATGATATACTTGCGAGAATCTTTACTTTGAGTGTCTTTTCGATAACGATATCTATGTCTTTCTTGTTTTCTGGCGAAATTGATTTCAATATTTTTCTCAAAAACGCCAAAAACAAGACAATGAAGCGTTCGCATATTGCTTCGTGCTCCATACAGTCAACTACGACAAAAGCTGATATGTGGAGTGCGATAGGAACAAAAGAATTCGCAACAACTTGAAAATTTTCGACAAATTTTTGGTATTTTTTCAAAATTTGCGAAACATCATCGATCATTGGTGTTAATATTGGAAGAGAAAGGGAATCTCCGTAACTAGAAACAAGATCAATCGCTTCTTTACTCGCAATTTGCGAAATCTTCGAAATATTAAGATTATATTCTTGAGAAAGCTCGAAAAGAATATCCATAGCGTTCTCTCTGCACAGATGTTCGATTATTAGGTTCACATCTGGCTTGTTTGGTCGCAATCTTGGAGGAACGCTGAAATAACAAGATAAAGCTGTAAATTCTTTTTGATTTGAGAGTTTTAAGGCTTCTGAAAGGTTCATTAGCTCAAATCTTTTCTCATATTGGTCTTCTGGTATTGCTAAAAGTATTTTTTCCTCAAATCCGTCGCAATAATTCAATGCGACTTCAGATTCATGTTTTGAGAGCAAAATATTGATGACGTGGTCGACCATTATGTCCTCAAATAACTGTTGGTCGCCTGTAAACGTCGAAAGATCTTTTGCCGCTTGGTATTTTTTCCTAGAAACGAGTTGTGAGAGTCTGTTTGATATATTCTGCTTGGATTCTTTGATTGTATGTGGTGGATTCTTCAGTTTCAGTAGAAAAGTCACCATTTCCTTTGTATGAGAAATTTTATCGGAAATTATGAAACAATCCAAGAAATCCAGGTAAAATAACAACTTCTTAAGGTCCATGGAATCGATCTTCTCCATGATTATCTCATAAATTATTTGAGGATCTGAAGAATATAAATAATCATCAAGGGAAACATCATCATTATCAATAAATTCCTTGATTTTAAGCTTTCTCTCATAAGGTTTTTCGCTTAATATCTGATCAGAAATTGGATTAATCTTATTTTCATAAAAATTTTTCATAATTTTTGAGGAATTTTTAGGTAAAACTACATTCCTGTATTTTTTTAGTTCGTCAGGTGTCAAAGAACTCAACGCCATGGTCAAAGAAGCCATTGGATACAGAGGAGAAATTAATTTCAAAATATTTTCATTTGCACGGTATTTTACAAACAAATATTGAAAGAAATCAATTCTGTTTACACCAGAAAATTCTAAGGCAATGTCAAATTTGCCATTTGAAATTAATTCGTCTAATTTTTCCATTGGATTCATGTTTTTCATGGATAGAGGTGTGGTAATGCCACAGTTGATACACATGTTGATGAAATCAACGAGATTATTCAAATATTTACAGTTTTCGAAAGAATTTAATTTTTCAAAAATTAAATCTCTCGAAAGAAGCAAATTATCAAGGTTTCTGACAGCAGTAAGATAAGTACTGTTCTTATGGATCACTTCTAGCTCGATATCCCTTGAAAATTCCTTGGATGAAAATTTTGATAATTTTTTCTTCAAAAAATCATCAAAATCTTTAGAGAATGTCAATGCTACGTCCGAGTATTCCTTTATGGCTGTCGACATGGCCATTTCCAGGTAAAATTTCGCTTCATTTTCCTTAAATTTAAACAAAAGACTTTTTGAGAGGTTTGAATTGAATTCAACAGTTCCTCTGACCAAATCTATGAATTTGAGCATCTTTTGGTTTGTCCCGACGGTTTCTACGGCCAAATCAAATTTTTTCTGTATTAAAAGGGGATGAACCAAAGATTCCGAGGGCGCGAGAAGGGCATTGTATGTAATGTTGTTTGCGTCATAGCATTTGATCTTCGCGAGAACTTGTGAGATATAATTGTCAATTTCGTCGTAAGTCTTTGATTGCGACATGATTTGAAGGAGCTTAAAGATCTTATTAACGGGGAGAATGAATCCGCCGTAGTTATCCTCTAAAAATAAAAGTGAAAAGATATCTGTGAAAATTTGCGATTTTAAAGCAGGATCCTTGAAAAAGGAGATGTAGTAGTTGATTTTGGTCTCATCAAAATCAGTAAGGATCGTATAAAACAAACAAAAAGAAACAATAAATATGAAATCCATTTTTGCGTAGCCATTCGTGAAAGATTCGAAGTTTTCCATGAACAGGAAGTCATCCAGATTCAGGCCATCCATAAGCGAAGAGCATATGTATGGAATTGAATGTTTTGACAGGTCATCAAAAGAAAATTTTTGTCCGACCATTTTAGACAAATTTGTGAGGATTGTGAGGTCATTCTTCACATTTTTGAAGAATTGCTTGAAAGATGGTGGTAAATCTGAAATTTTCTTAATGATATCAATTGAATTCTCAATAAATTGCCTGTTGGTACTGATTTTGTCGAATTCAAGTATATATGCTATTGCTAGATACTGTGGATGACCTTCTGAGAACTTAAGGGCTGCTGTTAAGTCGAAATTTTTAATTAATTTTAAATTTGGCTTTAAAAGGTAATCGTCTATATGTTTTGACCCTATGAATGACATGTGTAGTGGTTTCTTGGCAGTGTCTTGGTCGTTTGAAAGTAAAAGATGTTGAAAAAAACTTAAAAATTCATCATCTTTTGTTTCTATAATAGATTGAAGAAGAGCATGAGAATTATTTGTAACTACCTTTGGTATATGTCCTTTTAATTGTATTTCTGCATATGATTTATTGATGAAATAAAAAATTGAAATTTCTGTTTTTGGAAATAAAGAAAGGAGATCGTTCTGGTTGAAAACTTTATATAATGGTGTGTAGATTGTTATAAGTGATGTAAATAGATTCCTATTTGTTTGGTATAAATTGAATAATAAATTTGGTTTCATTTCGTTTTTATTGGCTCCTGATGTCAGAAACTCGTATAATTTATTGAACTGTTTGTATTGTGGTAAGCTTAATTCGTAAACGATGACGTCTAGTGGGTATTCTGTTTTTTTGCCACCAAATTTCTGCGAAATTTGCTCAGAAGCCCAATGAAAATGTGCTGGTGTTGGTAATTCTGATGTTATTACAAATTGTGGAGGTGGATTTGAGTGCGCGAGGCTTTTACAAATCGATTTTGCAGAAATTGAAGTAATTAGATTGAAATATTGCATTGAAAAGTTCAATTTTCCAAGGCAGATATGCCGAATACCTTCACGAGTAAACGAAGTCTCGTTCAACCCGATGAAAAAATAGCTTCCGGGTTGAAGCTCCATGTTACTGACAAAAAATTCAGTTTTACAAATTAAAATTGAATAATTTATTTGTCAGAATTTGTAATATTATCTAAATACTTCCAGAAAATCATGAAATCATTAAGTTATATAAGGAAATTCTATTTTGTATCTAACTAGAAATTGATTAAAGTTCGATTCTTTCTTATTTGCATCATTCTATTTTGTATAAAACTAGAAATTGATTAAACTTTGAGTTAACAAAAGTTATTCGCTTTAAAGTTCCACATGCACATCTTCTCATATTTGAGAAGTCTCTCATTTCATATGGAATTTTGTGTGTTTACTACTTTTAAAGTGAAGAGACTAATTATGCACATTCATGGACTAATCCATAATGTTAAAAACATTTTCATTGCATGAAATCAGAGTCGATCCTAGGAAAATAAAATCTATGTACAGATATCATAAAAAAAATTATGATATATTAACTTTCCTCACCCTGTCTAAGACTAATTTCTCACTTTAATTCAACAGAAATTCTGAATCATGAACTTAGATCATAATTGAGTGAGATTATTTAGATGATTTCCTTTTTTAGGAGAAAAAAACTGAGATTTGAATGTAATATAAGCATGATACACGAAAGATACATGATTTAAATCATTTACTAAAATAATGAATACAAAAAATAAAAAAGAATTAGAACTCATTGCTGAAAAAGCTCTGTTCGTTTTCCTCATAAGAGAAAGAGAAGTTCGGATAATGGACCTGATTAACAGTATGGCTGTCAATCGCGTTATTGTCCCAGAAATTTTCTGGTTTGAAAATTGTTTCGTTTATGTTATCCATTATAGACTTTCTTGTCACATTGGCCATGAAAGGATGTGCGAAGACATCAGTAAGTCTTTTCTTTGGATCTTTTGTCAATAACGCGGATACAAACTCCTGAAGGCCCTGTTGTATGAAAGGAAGCTTTGGTTCATCATTTATGATCGAATCGAAAAGAAGTTTCTCGTTCTCTCCTTTGAAAGGAAGTTTATTATAAAATAACTGGTAAGCAATGACTCCGAGGCTCCACCAATCGATGGTTGTATCATAGCATTTACCCATAATCATTTCTGGTGCTACGTAGCTATAAGAACCACATAATGTCTTTGTCAATTCTCCATCTCCGAGATCTCTTGAAATTCCGAAATCTGTGAGCTTGATATGGCCTTGGGATGTGATAAGGACATTCTCTGGCTTGAGATCGCGGTAGACAATGCCTAAACTATGAAGATGTTCAAGAGCCAACGCAATTTCACCAATAATGATCTGTGAAAGCTCTACGGGTATGTTCTGTAGTGATTTGTGTATGAGAGTGGCAAGGTCACCTGTGCTTATATAATCAAGAACTAAATAAAATTTCGAAGTTGATTGAAATGCATAGTAAAGCTTGACAATAAATGGACTTTTTGCACGGATAAGAACATTACGCTCTGTAATGGCCCGCTCGCAATTGGCTGATTTATGTAATACCTTGATCGCGTAAAGTTGATCATCAGATTTTTTCATTGCTAAAAGAACTTCACCAGAAAATCCACGTCCAATAGTTTTAATAATAGTAAAATCATCAAAAGAGATCTTCTGGGTAGGCTGATCTTGAAGTAACGCAACAATCCATTTTTCTGCAATATCTGCTCGATCTGCTTTAAATGTATATGTGTGGTTCTTTTCACAAACTACTTTAAAATATGTAGAATCTATCATGACAGCGTTTATTATATGAGAAAGATGAATATCTTGGCAAATTTTACAGACTTCTTCTGAACTTTCATTGCTTGCAATAACAAATCGCTTGTTGGTTGCAGAGCAAAATACTTTCATATTTGGTTGGTCCTTCCCGCGCACGAGTTTTAACCACCCTTTCATCTATTTTTATAATCCTAAAAAAAATATCAAATTTTTTATTCAATTTAAAAATTTCTGAGAGCGCGTTGAATACATTGACCATTCTTTTCTGAATGTTTAAAATCAAAATTACAAATCGTATTTAACTCTTTGTCATTTGTTTTGTGTACAGAAGAATTTGGATTGCGATCAAACTCGATGAGATTTTTGACGATTCCTCAATGAAAAAATAAATTTGTAAATGGCTTGGTTATTGGCCAAACTGGGAAAATATTACTACTCAGTATGTACACTCTAATCCAAATATCCATGACAAAAAAATTATAACCGAAGAAGAGGAATCTTTTGAAAAAAAAAATAAAATAAAATCTGTCTTCCAAGGAATAGCTTGATCTAAATAATTGTTTGTATAGGCTTCAATTCTTAAATGAAACTATAGAATTAACATAGATATGTAGAGAATTGTTTATTGATTTAGGTTATTTTTCAGCAAAATATTGCTTGATAGATCTCTAGTCCCTACACAAAATGATTTCTTCATGGCAAATATCAAGATTCGGAGTTCAAATGTTTTTCTAATGAAAAGTTATTGAAAAATGAATCTCTAACTATGAATTGTTGTAAACAGAAATTCATCAAAAGTGACACCTCAGAAAAGCTAAAATATTGAATTTTTGGAACTTTTGATAGAGCACGTTTTTAAATATTAATTAAAGTAAATGTATATTTTGTAAAGATTCTTTTTAATAAAAAAATAAAATTTTGAAGAAGAACACAAAATCTTCTGAAAAATAATATCACATAAACTCATATTATTTTCTAATATATAACTATTTTATATAAAAATCAAATTCAATGATCTTAAAAGCGAAGGATAAACCTCAAAATTTACGAATATAATGAGTGGGAATATAATGCTTATCTATCATAAAACCATATGAAATATTAATTTTTGCTTTACGCCTAATTTTTGACGACAATTAGCAAAAAATGTTAAATGTTAACACTCAGTCCATTTGAATATGAAAAATAAAATTGACTTTGATTAAATGTTTTTATTTATCATGCAATTCTTCTTGCGACCAAAGATTTGAATAAAAGTTCAAAAAATAAGATAGCTTAAAAAATAATATACGGTAGTGTTTACTAATAGATGAATAGTATATAAATTCTATTAAAATGGATTTGATCCAAAAAAATATATAAAATTTGATCATAAATAAAATCGTTTTAAATTACTTCTTCATTTAAATTATAACAATTATTTTTGATTTTTATTTATCATCCACATTCAAATTTGAATCTTATCACAAAAGAAGGACCACTTTTATGACTACTGCCAAATCTATAAGCAGAGAATGGCTATTTGAAGCTAAAAGAAGAATAGAAGAAGGTGAATCTTACAAAAGTGTGGGAAAGGAAGTTGAATTGGAAAATGGTAAAATTAAATTGAATGTTGCCGAAAATACAATAAGAAGAGCATTTCAACTTCAAGAAATCGAATTACCAAAAGTTAGTCGCGGCAGAAAACCAAATCCACCAACATTTGAGCAAAAACAATTAATTAATTCTTGTGTTTCACAATATAAAGGAGGAATTTCAAAAACTTATTTATTGATTAAAAGGTTTCAAAATATTGCTCAAAATCCCGATTGTGAGAAAGAAAAAGAAGAAATTGCAAAAGAATTTGAAAATATAGAAGATTTGACAAAAGATCAAATTTTTGACAATTTACAAAAAATAAAGCATCATCAAGTGGAAAAATTTATGATGGAATCAGGTTTATCTTCAAAAAGAGATTACAAACCAGCAGATCCACCTACCAAATATCGTGCCATATCAAAGAATTTGATATGACACTGCGATATTCATTACCTTCACGGTAATGTTTCTTTTCCATTTTTTGCCATATTGGATGATATGACACGTAAAGTTCTCAAAACTAAATTATTGAAAAACAAGTCTTCCAACTCAACAGCGAAGGTTTTAAGAAAACTTTTAGAGGAGTTTATTCCTTACTGCATCTGGACCGATAACGGCGGTGAAAACCGCGGTGAATTCGGCCAGGTTATGCAGGAAAACGGAATAGTTTGGAAGCACACCTTGCCGTATATGCCAAGACAGAACGGCAAGGTGGAGCGCCTGTGGCCAAGCTTAGAAAAGTTTTTGCCAGACGAGTTGGATGATATTCAACAAATCAGGGACTCAGTTCAGCAGTTCATTGAAAAATACAACAATACACCACATTTATCTCTCGATATTAATCCAAAAATGAATAGTAATTACACTCCTAACGAATTATTCGAAGTTTCAAAATTTTGGTACGAGCCAGAAATGCAAAAATGGGAGTTATATATCAAAGACGAATGGGCCTTAGCAAAATTTGAATAATTACATCATTTTAAAGGACTATTAAACAATTTTATTTATGAACAAATTTTATATATTTTTTTGGATCAAATCCATTTTAATAGAATTTATATACTATTCATCTATTAGTAAACACTACCGTATATTATTTTTTAAGCTATCTTATTTTTTGAACTTTTATTCAAATCTTTGGTCGCAAGAAGAATTGCATGATAAATAAAAACATTTAATCAAAGTCAATTTTATTTTTCATATTCAAATGGACTGAGTGTTAACATTTAACATTTTTTGCTAATTGTCGTCAAAAATTAGGCGTAAAGCAAAAATTAATATTTCATATGGTTTTATGATAGATAAGCATTATATTCCCACTCATTATATTCGTAAATTTTGAGGTTTATCCTTCGCTTTTAAGATCATTGAATTTGATTTTTATATAAAATAGTTATATATTAGAAAATAATATGAGTTTATGTGATATTATTTTTCAGAAGATTTCATTCTATATGCCTATGAAAAGTACTCTCAAAACTAACTTTTCCCTAATTATAATTAAATCTAGAATATTGTATTCTGCTTAGTATTATTTCATTTTTCTCATTCAATTTAGAATTTACAAATGTCAAAAAATTGAGAGCTGTCACTTTTGATGAATTTCTGTTTATTACAGAATACATATGTTCATAGCACATCATCTATGCAACCAGAATATTTCATGTTTATTCATCTTGGCAAATATAGTTTTCTCCCTCAAATCTCGTTGTCAAATCATAACTGTATTATAATTTGATGATTGCTTTAATTGTCATTATGTATACGACACAATATAGATGTGTTTCTAACGTTATATAAAAGTTACGATTTCTCCAATTACAACTGGGTTAAATATTTGTTATCTAAATGTCTAAATTGTATCATCGCCATGTAGGAAAATCTAATGCCTTTATAATTCTGATTCACGCAATAAATGATTTGTTTTTCTCCTTTATTTGAATTCCCATCATGCATTCAAAATTTGAATCAATTTGTCAATTCAATGCAAGATCATAAAAGTCAAAACGATTATAAATGGATTGTATTATAAATTTTGATTTTTCCGTTTCTCAACCATATTCAACCTTTTCAAAATAAAAAAATCCAGAGGTAAATATTATAACTGTTGCTATACTGGCTCCAAGAAAAATGTTATTTCCGAAAAAAGTGCATAAATTACGAATATTCGTTTTTTCCTATAGTTATAGAATAGTTTGAAATACTAGAATAAAAATTTTCTTCAAATGTACATTGAAAAACCGAAATTCAATGATAAATTGGCTTTTATCCTCCTCTCAATTAATAACCATACAATCATTTAAATATGGTAAATCTTGCCAACACAGCCACGATTCTCCGTATCCCCATTCTCTTCCTTATTATTGGTCTCCTCTACTCTCTTAGACCATACTCAGCAACAACATCCTTGTTTACATTTGTTTTCGGAGCTTGGACTGATTGGCTCGAAGCCCATCTTTCTAAGAGACGCAAAGTCCGTTCCCCACTCAGACAATACCTTGATGCCGTTATCGACAAAATTTTCATGATCAGTACTTTTGTGACAATGCTTTTCTTGAAGATTGTTCCACAATGGACAGTTTTCCTTATCATCATGATTGTTCTTAGAGAATTCCTTATTACTGCTTTCCGCTCTGTTGCAGCTGCCAAGAAGATTGCCATCTCCCCAGAAAGCGCTGGCACATTCAAGACAGCCATCCAAATGACTTCTACAATCACACTTCTTGCTTGGTTCTCTGCAATCTCCGATTTCCCACAATATTTCGACAATTCTCACTTGGATTATTTCCGTAAGACAGGTGTATTCCTTTTCTGCATCTTCTCATTCCTTACAGCATTCTCTGGTGTTAAGTACATTCTCAACTATAGATCAGTTCTTTCTGACTTGTAACTGTTTTATTATTTGATAACAAGTCAATGTATCTCATTTTAAACATTCTTATTTTGTAAACATATTTGTTGTAAGCTTTTTTAAACTATCGTACTTGGAAGTCACGAACAAAAAAAAGATGATTTAGATCTTGCGATCAAAGATAATCTCTCCGAACCTTCAAAAAACAATTTAGCTTGTGCTGCCTATTGTATGTCTATCTGTGAATTTGTTTACACTGGTCCAGATTAAATTGTTCGCTTCGTAATTTCGATGATCATTTCAAAAAATATTGCAATACCTCATTACCAGGATGTGTTTTTGATCATATTTCTGTTAATATGATCGATTTTCGAACTATTGCAATCAAATCTGAATATGATGAGTTATTTCTCTTGTTTGACTATTAAACGAATTGTCTTAGCTATAGTTTGGTATTTTTAATGAATATAGCTCCGAAATGGAGAAAAAGTTTGATAAAATTATCAAATGGAAATGATATAAGTTAACAAACTAACGTTTATAACATATTTAAAAACAATATACAGAAATAAGTCTCATGATAAAAGAAATTCGAAGAAGATTAATTTTCATTTTGGGCAGATCCGGAAACTTGGGGTGGAGGTGTTGTAATAACTTTAGTTTCTAAGTCATCATGATTTGGATCTGCATTTTCAGCCATCTTCTTAGCGTTTCGGATTTTCTGCCTTTCACTTTCTTTGTTTGTGATGAAATCAGTAAGCCAATAAGGCAAAAGAATATTCTTCTTTTTGCTTTCTGGGAAGACCATTTCGAGCATTTCCACTGTAACAGTCAAGTCTTCTGAAACGCAAAGAACTGCACCAGTGTTTGCTCTTTCGCAGTAGTCTGTGTTGCTGAAGATTGTTACGCACATATCAGCATAATCTTCTTCTGCAGCATAAGGCCAATAAATGCCTTCATCGCAAACTTCATGGGAACGGACAACGAGATCAATGTCGTTTTCAGCGAGAAAAGCATCTAATGCCTCTGGTCCATATAGATAACCGCATCCTCGTGTACTTGGTACAAATCCTTCAACTTCGACATCAGGATCAGACCAAACAAGATCAGTAATAACGCCTGATGTTGGAAATTCGTAAGGTTTCTCGAGTTTTCTAAGCTCATCAATGCTGATAACTTCGGGAGAAATGCCTCCATGAACACAAAAGATTCGTTGACCAACTAAAGCACATAAGGGCATTTCATAGAATGTCTCAATGAAATCTTCATATATGACTTGATCGTATTTTTCGAGCATTTCATGATGAAATCCATAAACACCTGTGAGAGATTCGCATTCGTGGTTTCCTCTTAATAAAAAGATGTGTTCAGGGAACTTAACTTTGAGCGCGAAGAGTAAAAGCATGACTTCGAATCCGCATTCTCCTCTATCTACATAATCTCCCAAGAATAAATATCTTCTTGCTGGAGGATAGCGTAACTTTTCGAAAATGCGTATTAGATCGTCAACATTGCCATGAAGATCTCCAACAATTACAATATCTGCTTTTAAATCTAAAAGAAATGGTTCTTTTGATAATGTTTCTCTGGTTTTAATGAGAAGATCGTGAATTTGATCTCTTGTGATTGGCTTGATGTATCTTTTCTTCTTTCCCATTCTGCGAAGAAGGATTTGGAATACGATTTCGTCCATTGCGTCGCTATTCATGATTTTTGAAATTTGAATGTAAACGTATAGTTTCTGAAAAAAAAAATTCAATGCTGAAATGTGCATTGTAATTTTTATATCATTAGATTCGGAATGTTATTAGGGATATTTTTACTTCAAATAATTATGAGAAATTTTTCTGTACGTTAAGCTCGAGATCATTCTCTGAATTCATTGTCAAATAAGCCTCAAAAAAGTTCAAGACCATAAAATTTTGAAGCAGTGATAATAGATATTAGAAGGAATTCAAAAGGAGCTTAATCAATGGAAACAATAAAAAATATCCTTCTGACAACAAGTGTATTCTGTATCTATCGTAAATATTTGAGTTTATCTATATTCACCTTGAATAAATTTCAAGAAATATGGATTAAAAAATGCTTTTTTAAGATGAATTCAGAAATATTTCATAATTTATATTTCATAATTAACTTGAATGATAAAATAATTTCATTTTTACGATACAACTACAATAAAAACAATACAATTTAAAAAGATGTGATAATAATAAAGAAATTGAGGAATGTTTTCATTATCATCAATGATTTCTGTTTGTTTTGGTTCAATCTTTGGATTATATTCACCCATTCCAATGGAATATGAATAGTTTTTAGATTCATGAGATTTAATTTGTTGATTTTGCCATGAAAATCTAATACTAGCACCAGATGAAATATATTTGTATTCTGTACAATTACTCCAATATCCCTCTCCAGGACAATTTTTATATGAATAAGTATCAACATTTGTAACAAAAGGGAAATCTCGAAGAAGAAATCGAACTGTTCTATCTTTGTTGATAAATTCAACACCTCGATTTCCTTCAATGTTTCGTTCTGGACAGTAATCACCATCAGATCCATCACTTCCTTCAATAGCAATGTCTGAATAGCATAGAAAGTCTACTTCATGATTTTTATCTCCATTGTTTGTAACTGTGTGGATGATGTTGATGTAGTTAACATCTGGAAACAACTTGTAAGAAACTGAAATTGAAACTTCTCCATTTGTAACTGTTCCTGACCTACCTTGTTTTTCAGTATTATCATCAACACGTAAATATAATCCAATGCCAAGATCATTCCATGATATCTTAAAATTTTTGTGTTTAACAAGATAAGTAACTCCACCTGTCGAATAGGTCCAATTGTTTTGCATAATGAATATTCGTCTTTATTGATAATACATGAAATTAGAAATTTGAACAACTGGAAAATAGAAAATTGTTTTGAACATGGAAAATTTCTTTTATTTTTGAAGTGATTCAATTGTTTTGCATAATAAGAGTTCACCCTTAACAACTGCCTGAGAAACGGATCCCTGAAAGAACCGAGATATAGAGAATTGGTGAAGAAATTGAATAAAAAAAATTGACATAATAGGCCATATCGTGATGACTCATTCGTAAAGTGAAATCAGTGTACTTCATTTTTCATTCAAAAATGTTGATAGTCCTAACAGAAAACTCTGGGAAACTCTTCAAATTTCCTTTTGATATCAAAAATGGGTATGAAGAATATGCTTATAGATTTGATTCTTGTTTTTTCTTTACTTTTCTCGTTGTTTCAACTAGACTAATTCCATAATAAGGCAAGAAATATGATCAAATGTAAAAAAATAGAGATTGATTGTGGAGTAATACAAAAACATTACCAGTATAATACGATAATAGACGTTTTTAGTGAAAATAAAGTATAATTGAGAATCAAATTTTTTTTTCAAGAATTCTAAAATTGGCTATCAAGAATAAATACAATATTATGTGTTCAATCTATAACCAACTGATGAATCATGATTTATGCTATATTTTTTAATTCAATTTTTTTCCGTCGTGATAATTTCTAATTCTATATTGGTTAAAATATAAACACTCGAAGTTGTAATAGGTTCTTGATTTTCTGGGCATTTGTGAATTTGAACTTCGAATTTTTGATGAATTAGGGGTGCACCGGTATGTACGTTTATTTGAGAGGAGGAGGATTACCCTCTCAATTTTGAGGGATTCGTTAGTTTATTTTCTCGATGAATATGCAATAAAAATTGATTTTTACCTTATCAATATACTTCATATAATATACACATGTTCATGTAAAAACTTTTTTCCAAAATCCTCAGGAATTAAGGGATTTTTGAATTTTAAGAATTTTTTTCGAATTTTTTCGAAAAAAAAATATTTTCAGAATAGCCTTAACGGCTAAGATTTAGGAACAATGTTAAGTATCAAAAAGAAAGGAGGTCTGATATAGACAACAGATATCGTTGAAGGTTGAAAAAATCTCTAATATTTGAGCCCAAAATTTCAAATTTTAATTTTTTGAAAAAAGAGGCCACCCGTATGTACGTTTATTTGAGAGGAGGAGGATTATATTTTTGAAAGGGCGAAACATTATGAATTGTTGTAAACAGAAATTCATCAAAAGTGACACCTCAGAAAAGCTAAAATATTGAATTTTTGGAACTTTTGATAGAGCACGTTTTTAAATATTAATTAAAGTAAATGTATATTTTGTCAAGATTCTTTTTAATAAAAAAATAAAATTTTGAAGAAGAACACAAAATCTTCTGAAAAATAATATCACATAAACTCATATTATTTTCTAATATATAACTATTTTATATAAAATCAAATTCAATGATCTTAAAAGCGAAGGATAAACCTCAAAATTTACGAATATAATGAGTGGGAATATAATGCTTATCTATCATAAAACCATATGAAATATCAATTTTTGCTTTACGCCTAATTTTTGACGACAATTAGCAAAAAATGTTAAATGTTAACACTCAGTCCATTTGAATATGAAAAATAAAATTGACTTTGATTAAATGTTTTTATTTATCATGCAATTCTTCTTGCGACCAAAGATTTGAATAAAAGTTCAAAAAATAAGATAGCTTAAAAAATAATATACGGTAGTGTTTACTAATAGATGAATAGTATATAAATTCTATTAAAATGGATTTGATCCAAAAAAATATAAAACCAAAAATAATTGTTATAATTTAAATGAAGAAGTAATTTAAAACGATTTTATTTATGAACAAATTTTATATATTTTTTTGTATCAAATCCATTTTAATAGAATTTATATACTATTCATCTATTAGTAAACACTACCGTATATTATTTTTTAAGCTATCTTATTTTTTTGAAATTTTATTCAAATCTTTGGTCGCAAGAAGAATTGCATGATAAATAAAAACATTTAATCAAAGTCAATTTTATTTTTCATATTCAAATGGACTGAGTGTTAACATTTAACATTTTTTGCTAATTGTCGTCAAAAATTAGGCGTAAAGCAAAAATTGATATTTCATATGGTTTTATGATAGATAAGCATTATATTCCCACTCATTATATTCGTAAATTTTGAGGTTTATCCTTCGCTTTTAAGATCATTGAATTTGATTTTTATATAAAATAGTTATATATTAGAAAATAATATGAGTTTATGTGATATTATTTTTCAGAAGATTTCATTCTATATGCCTATGAAAAGTACTCTCAAAACTAACTTTTCCCTAATTATAATTAAATCTAGAATATTGTATTATGTTTAGTATTATTTCATTTTTCTCATTCAATTTAGAATTTACAAATATCAAAAAATTGAGAGCTGTCACTTTTGATGAATTTCTGTTTATTACAGAATATGTTAAATTATATAATAATATGTATTATTATAAAAAAGAAAAAATAAAGCACGTTAAAATTTTTCTTTCTTGATTTTTTACAAAATCTACTTAGAATTATGCAAAATATGACTAAATAATTATAAATTTCAAGTTAAATTTTAATTTTGATAAATAATTTAAATTTCAAAATATCAAGTTCAGTTCGACTATGTATGTAGTAATTCCTCAATAAAGTGCCAAAACCCTATTAAAATATATGAACATTTTCAACATTTTAATGTTTTTATTTAAAAATTTGATGGAATATGAGCTTCAAACAATTATTATGTAAATAAAAATAATTAAATATATGTATTTATTCGTATTACAACCGTAGTAAGTCGATTCTTCCTTTCTTCTACTGAGTTTTGAATTTGATTTCGAATTGTAAAGAGATTCAAAGGGAAAATACTAGCGGATAAAAACTACCTCCATGAAAGGGTCATAATGGACTCAAGTTGTATTTTTTGACATTTTTTGCTTTTCGAGCCTAAATAGGTAGCCAAGATAATGCCTAAAATAAGGTTCTAAATTCTGAAGTTTACATGATCCTCTCGTGTGCACCCTTAAGAAAATATGAATTAAATAGAAATACATTAGAGACAATATTTATTGAGTATATTTTTTGAATTAACAACACAAAATTTGAAATTATTGAATCTTCAACGAAAATAGCATCTTGTATTTGTTTTTAAAAAGTAATAAGAAAATGCAAGATTTCGCATTTATAAATTCCAAAGGATTACGTTATTTGCAGAAGATCTTCAGAAATTATCAAATGCACTCTCTCAAATTTCATTATATATAGCGGATAGAAAGTTAGTATTTCTGCTTACAATTGGATATAGTCTCTGAGAATATAGACTATATTTATTTTTTTCATTCAAAAAATTATATGAGAATCTCAAATTAACTTTCAAATTTTTTATTTTAAAAACATATTAATAATCATATTTTAAGATACTTTTTCGCCCAAAAAATAATCGTACTTCCTCGACGATTAATAGGCTCTCAATTTCTATTGTTGACACTACTTAGCATGCAACACATTTGAGAATTTTACAATTTTTCAAAACTTTATAAAAAATTCAATGGTTTACATATTATTCTAAAAATTTTTTGATGTTTATAGGGCAATCCGTCTATCCGCCGGTTTCCACACCCGCCCAATGGACACAACCATCTATCCCGCCCCCAGCTTTACCAGAAACGCACTCTCCTCCTACTTCTGACTCTCAGGCAAAGCGTCCTCTAAATGCCTTTATGCTATATTCGAGAGAAATGCGAATTAGGATTCGCCAGGAAAACCCGAGCATGTCCAATACAGATATTAGTACTCTGTTGGGCAAACTATGGAAAGAAGTACCAAACGATATCAAATTGCAATTCAAGCATCGGAGTGCTAAAATGCAGGAAATCTTTAAGGCCGAACACCCGGATTATACTTACAAAAAAGCAAGAAGGAAACGTGCTCTGAATGATTTAATTGCGAAAAATCCTAACGGTATAACACCATCTATGTTATCTCCTGAGCCCGCAATTCCTAAGAGTGTTCCAATAAATTCTTTTCCTTCACCAATTCCTCAACAATCTCCGCAACCATATAATCAAAACAATGGTATCCTAAATCAGCCCCAGAACATTCCCAAAATCCAATTGCAACCATTGTTGCAACCTCAACCTGTCTCTCAGCCTCCAATTCAATATCCTTACCAGTTTCAACCTCAGATTCCAACATTTTCAATTCCTCAAACGCAATATATACCTGTTCAACCAGAATTGATTCCATATGGTGGAATCTCAGGAATAAGTCAACCTATGTATGGAATGATGCCAAACCCAATTTAGTCAGATAAATTCTTTTAACTATGTTCGATTTATTGTATTGGTAAACTACTCTAATTTGTTATACATTTAATTTTTTATTTATCGATGTTTTGCCATAATGTTGTTATTGTGTTTATTCTTTTTCATCCATCAATCTGTTGCGGAAGAAGCAGCTTCAAAACTTACAGAATCGAGCGATGTAATAAATGAAAACGAACCCACTGCAGATTCAAGTGAATTAGAGGCCATTAAAAAAATTCAATTTGTTGAATCTCCCGAAAGCGTTATAGAAAATATAATTGACGATGAATCAGAAAACGAAACATTGAATATTGAATATAGTCACGAAATTTTACCCGAAGATACTCCAGATTCCGAAGAAATGAAATTCAATCAAGATATTAATGATGAAGAAATGGAAGAATCTGGAAATTCTGATATGGAAAGTTTAATAGATGAAAATTACAAAGAAAATCAAAACAATTTAGATACGAACTCTCAAAATACCCAGCAAACTCTAAATGAACCACCAAAAGAGGAATTTTCTCAGATGCATGATATCGAACCCGAAACAATTAATACAAATATCGATACAAATCAACAAACAGATACAGATTTTCAAGAAGATCCATTACATACTCAAAAACCAGTCGTATCTTTAGGAGAACCACCAATTATAAACTACGAATCAATGATCAAAGAAGACAATGAAATTTTGAAAGAAAATAAAGATTTCGAAAATCCATTTTTTAAAGACGAATCAGAAGAATCATCTCATACATCATCAGATACAAGAACATTGGAAGCAACCCAAGCTTTTACTCCTTACGTAACTAAAACAAAAGCCAAATTCCAGATTGTAAATATTTCTACCACTGAAGTTAGTTGCAAAGGACGTGACCAAATATATATAACCGTTTCTAAGAACATTTCTGGTTTGATCTATTGTAAATTCAAAGATTTGATTGTTACAGGTACAAGGACATCAAATGACACAGCAGTCTTTGTTGTTCCTAAAATGTCACCGGGTGTTGTAAATATATCATTATCGTTTGAGCGTCAAAAATGGACTGAAGAACAGATGATTATAGTAATTGATGACTCAGATAGAACTCCAAGGCTTATTTTGTGCGGCATCATAATATTTGTAATATTAGTTATAGCATTGGCCGCAAAATCTTTGTGGAAAAAGGGTTCAAGAAAGAGAAAATTAGAAAAACTTAGAAACCGTAAGAATACATCTCCTCTTGTTCTTAGTTCAATACCTTTAGATGAAAATGACAAGAGAGCTGCCAGAAAACGCGGAGATGCCGCAAAAGACATTATATAATGTAGTTTTTATATCTTTAAATCTTTATTAAATGTTATCTTTGAAATAACTCGATCTTTTATATGATTTAGTTGAATATTCTGATGAATTAACATATGATTCACCAAGATATGCGAAACAATTCATCAAAACATATGATTATATGAATGATCGAGGATATAGATAGATAATGTTGTGAAAAGTAAAACAAACAAATAAGAATTTATTCATGAAACTCTATAAAACATTCAAAATGAATTAAAAATTAAAACAAATAACGAAAATAATGATAATAAAGGGATGCTGAACTTCCAAGGTTCCATCCCTTTATATGTACGCATATTCCTTATCGTACAAAAATTCAGAAAGAAGTGTCACCTTTTGTGTTTGTCAGTTTTTTGACTCTTGCTTTTCTTGAGGTTTTCTTTATTTTGAGAGTAGGTAATTGAAGTGGGCTTGCTACAGGAGCTTCTCTAAAACTCATTATTCCATTGAGATTTATAGGTGTTGCCCTTACTTTTCCGTTTGTTGGGATGTCATCTCCTCCATTTGCTGTAACTGTCATTGGAACTACGACATCTGCATTCCTTTTGAATTTTCTGGCACAGAATTTGTCAATATCTTTGTCATCGTTGATAATTCTCTCGTATGTAGCGATTCTTCGCTTAATTATTCCAATACTTTCTTCTTTTTGCTTTGTAAATGTGGAGAACTCCAAAGTTTGAGCATTTTTAAGATGTTCTAATGCTTGGTCTTGTTGATCTATTAAGTTTTTACGCTCTTTTTCGAAGGATGATTGCATATCATTGTATTTATATTCAGCTTCGATCTTTTCTGTCTTCTGAACGACTTTTTGCATCTTTGCGGCACCAACTAAATCACCAATAAGAGCCAAATTCTTCTCAATAAACTGTTGATTTAATAATTGTGGAGATTTCTTAGAAAATCGCCTTGTAGTCTCTGGACATTGCCATTTATACTCGAGATCTTCCATTTCATCATCCATTTTCTGTTCAATTTTCTCTGTATTCTCTTTTTGAGCTTGAATTAAAGCTTTTTCTTTATCTTTCCACTCTTCTTCTGCTTTTTTGAGTGATTTCTTGGCATCTTCCAATCTACTATTGAGATCATTCATATAATCCTGATGAAATTGTTCTCTATCTCTTAATCTGAACTGTGTTTTCATTTCATCGGCCAATTTCTGCAATTTCAAGCTTTCCAAGTAATCACTTTTGTTCAGAGCTGCAATTCTACGGTTAGTAAGTTCGTTGACAACATCTGCTATCGTTCCTGGATCATCGATCTTCATTTTCTTACCACTAATGATTTTATCAACCATTTCTGATATTTCTTTGTGGGTAAATCTACTTTCAACCTCTCGTTTTTTGTAAGTTTGGTTAATAGAAGTTGATGGACGAGGAGTTTTGCCAGAAAGCATATCTACAAAGTCTTTTGGAGCTTTCTCGACGTAGGCTTGGTCATCGTAATATAAATTATTCTGATTAAATCTTGTTTGATCGTTTGATCTTGCAGTTTTCGTTCTAGCAGTAGTTTCGTTTCTACGGGCAGATGATTCTGATTCAGCTCTAACGACTTTGATTTTTGTTTGTTGGTTGTGTTTTCTTGTTTGTAATTGAAAAGGAATCGGAGTTACTTCTGGCATATCTATTTGAGCAATTGCATGGCCTTTCGATAATCTTTCTGCTGCTAGCTCTTGCTCTTTCTTTGATCGCTTTCTCGCTGTTTTAGGTTGTGGTAATTCTTCGAGAGGTAATTTCTTCGGTTTTGGTTTTGATAATCTTTCGGCTGCAGAAGCTTGCGCAGCTAATCTCTTTGCTTTTTCTTCTTGCCGTGCGCTGTTTTCTTCTGTCAAATTAATTTTCGAAGATTCGGAACTTAAATCTGGCTTTGTTTCTTTCATAATATTGTCTAGGAGAGCACTAACAGTAAGGGCCATTGTCCTAGAAGACAAAAGCTCTTCCTCAAGAGGAATATTCGAAACTTCTTCTTCCTCCTGTCCTTCCTGTCCTTCTATACGAGGGCGCTCGAGGTATGGATAAGTATTCTCTATCGCAAGGTTGGCTTGGCCAGTGTAATTTATTTTAACTTGGCCAGGTTCGGTAACACCAAACATTGAAACGAAATTTCCGCTTTCATCTTGAGGTTGTTCGAAATTCTGTATTGCTTGCTCATATTCTGAATCATTATGTACTTGAATTCCGGAAAATTCGTTACTATTTAATTGAAGGCTATTTTGGCTTGAAATTTGGTCATCTTGGATATTACTACTTTCTTGCCTCTCTTGACGTGGTACATAATTACTGATTTTCTGCATTAAGTCAAATGATGGTTGTTCATTTTTAATAATTTCGAGTTCTTCGGGTGTAAATTGTGTTTCATCGATCCTACTATCCCCGCTTCCGTAACTTTGAAGATTCATGGATTGTTCTTCTTGGCTCATGGTGTGAATCTTCTGCTTACGTTTAACTTTTTTATATAAAATTTTCGAAATTTTATATACTATCATAATCTTTACTGAAATTTACTGTATTTCGTGATTTGAAATTGTTTATATCTCTGAAAATTTTTTGCTCAATTGTTTCAATAACGAACAAATTCAACATCATCTCCATAATTGCCTCAATTGCTACAGTGCATCATAATTTTCAGATAAAATTAGGTTAAATATATATGCTGCGTATTAATCTGATCAACAAATCCATTTGAAAAAGGTTTTCTTGGATGAAATCAAATATATGGGTTCACGTAATTAATATACCTATCATGGGTACGGCGGCACTGCGTTCCACCTTACCCAAGATAACAGTTTGACACTTTACGAAACCGGTAACGTATATTTTACAACACAAACACAACACCAACTTAACCTTAAATATTTACAAAACCATCTGACACATAAACGACTTCACTAACGAATTCACTACCGTCCTCACTAAATAAAAATAACCTTATTTTTATTTTTTTTAATTTTTTATTTCATTACAAAGACATGTCTGACTACATTTACTATGACTCTTTCCCAGAACGTTTCCGTGAACTATTCAAAACTCAAGTAAAACTGAGAAACATGCATTTTAACAAAGATAGACCCATTGACGATGAAAGAAACCCTGAATATATTACAATCCCTTATGACGCAAAGTTCATTGCATACATTCCTTATGGTCGCAGAGGAACGAAAACTATTTCAACAAAGAACAAAAATTATTTCTGGAGCGATGAAGAAAATTGCCTTATCTACATAAATGCATACTTAAATAAAGCTACATATTGTACAAAAGAAGGTTGGACTGGATTTGAGCTCTACATATACGACGACGATGGAAACAGACGTTGTGTATACCCATACGATAATATGTACCATTGTTTTCATCAAGCATTAAACGAATACATAGTCAGTAAGGGTCTCATTCCTGCTGAGTAGAAATGTTATATTTTTGTTCTGTCATTTATAAAAAAACAAACTTAAAAATAAATGATATCACCACCCTCACACGTATGAAAACATAGCACAAAAATAAATTTAGGGTAGATGGGTAGTTAGTATGACTATCTTGGGTACGGAGGCACTGCGCGCCTCCTTACCCATTATATGTGAATTTGACACTTTACAAAACCGTTAACGTATATTTTACAACACAAACGACAACACTAACTTAACCTTAAATATTTACAAAACCACCAACCACTTCACCTCACTAATGAAAAAATAAACGTTCTCACTTACAAAAGTATTGCAACTCCTCCCATTGCTGTGCTTCACATAACAGCTCATAATCTTCTGACTCACTTTCTTCTTCATATAGGTCAAAATCACTGTCAAAATAAATGTATGTAAGTTTTGACAAAGCTAATGAAACACGCTTACCGGTTGTATCTATTGCTTTTATATATCTCCCATTATATTTGTTGTCGTAAACGCTCAAACTAACTTTACCCTTTCTCCCTCGTATCTGATAGAATGTATTTTCACGAGGAACGAAGAACAAATTCTTGAACTCATGACCGTTGTAGTTTGTTATCTCAATAGTTTTCGTCATTACATCCAAATAAAAATTTTCAGTAAAAATAAAACTAACGTTAAAAATTTCTCATAACATAAACATTCTCATTGCTTTATAACTCTCTTCGTTTATCCAACTCTTCTAACTTCTTCTTAAGTTCAGCAATGTTGTCCTCATGAAGTTTAATCTTTCTCAAAATTCCTTCTTTATCTAATGGTTGCTTTATCTTTCTAAACTGAACTCTACCATCCTTCATAGTATGAACGTAAAAACCTTCTGGAATAGTTCCTGATTTAATGTATTCTACCAAAAACTTTTGTTTCATTGCTTCAGTGACTTTAGTCGTCATTTCAATCAAATAAAAATTTTAATATAGGGTGTCCAAAGGTGTGTTTAGCACAAACCTGAATACTGCGAATAGAAATAAACAAGTTACATATATATAAAGTTTATTTAAATATAATCACCATTGGATTCAATCACGCGTTCGCAGCGATCGATCCAGGCTTGAAAGACACGCTTTAAATCATCATGAGAAAATTGCTCAAATTGCTCTCTTACAAAATTTTCAAGATCATCTGGACTCGCGAATTCGCGTCCTTCAGCTCTCTTTTTTAGCGTGCCGAATAAATAAAAGTCAGAGGGTGCAATATCAGGTGAATAAATTGGGTTTGGAACAACTTTGACATTGTTTCACCAAGTAATTCATTACTTTATGATTTTGTGAACTCTTGAATTATCAAAATGAATTGCAAACTTTTGTTTTTTTGTTTGGATTTCTCAAACTCATCAGAATTGATAATTTGAGTAAGAACATTGTCAATTAGATACTGAGCATTCATCGTATTAGGTTTTTGAAGAATATCAATTGCGATGATGCCATTCACGCCCCAAAAAACGAACATCATCATTGGTGTGTCAATTTTTTTTCTTCGGAATGTTTGCGGATTTTCATCCTTCGGGATCCACATGATTTTGACTTCTGTTGCATATTGAAACCAAGACTCGTCCCCTGTTACTAAAAAGCGAAACTTCTTGGATTGATACGCACCCAATATAGAGAGGAGCTCTTTCGAAGATTGGACTCTAGATTTTTTTTGAACTGAATTAAGGTTGTGCGGAACCCAACGTGTATACGCTAGTTTGTAGTTCAAATAATTGTGCAGATAATAACTGACTGTTGTACATGGTATCTTTGTCATCTCCTCTATCCTTCTGAGTGATGCTCTTGGGTCTTCATCTAGCGCTTGAAGAATTGCTTTGATTTTTCTTTGATCCGGCGATTTTTTGTCAATTTTTATGATGGGCGCCTTTTTGTTCATGAAGTGATACATCCTAACATGATACGTTACAGTGGAATAGCTAGGAGCATCCATACCGAAGCATTTTACCAATGTCTCGTAGATTTTTTTACAGTCTTTGCATTTTTTTGCAAGAGCGAGGATGTTTTCTTTATGATTCATTAAAAAAATGAAAAAATCCCGCCAAAATTTCCCGCGAAACCGCCTCTTGTCTCAAAATTCATTTTATATCCCGGCATGGCGCCAAAATACAACATACTCATCATATACATATATTCATATTTTTTATTATATATTTATAATCAGCATATATCTCCTTTAATAGTCTCATATAGAGCGCTGTGCTAAACGCACCTTTGGACACCCTATATTAAATAAAAATAACGTTATTTTTTCAGTAAGGAAACGCAGGAGTTTTACGATTTATTTGAGGAGTAGGTTCTGGTTTAAATGTTGGAGTCGGTTTTGGAGTTGACTTTTGAACAGGAGTTTGTACTTCCATAGGTTCAGGAGTCATTGAAGGTTTTGCTTGTGAAGGCGTTGGTTTTGGCGAAGGTGTTGGAGTTTGTTTAACTTCAGCTACTTCAGTATTATTTACAACATTTGCTTTGTTTCTTTTCAACATCATAACTGCTCCTGCTGTAGCTAGCAAAACTAGTGGGAGACCATATTTTATATAAGGACTTGACCAAATGCTATTTTTGGCAGGAGCTGGTGGAACACCTAACCTTGGTGAGACTGCTCTTTGCCATTGTGCAGCTCGTAAGAAATATTCAATAGGTGCTCCATAATCGTTTGGTAAAGTTTGTTTCACAGATGGTGAAGGTTCACGAGAGCTTGATGAAGAACTCATTTATAAGCTTTAAAAATAAACGTTCATCCTTTATTCCTCACTGTCGTCCGCAGCTAAGTTATAGTCATCTAATCTTATTATTGGGATTCCATTAGCACGCACCTGAATGGCAAAGCAACAATCCCTCATAAATCCAATAAGTGGCTTTGGTACATTTTCAGTTGCTAGTTCAATAGGTCCTTTAACAGACAATTTGTATGTTATTGGAGCAGTAGATGTTTGACCTGCATGAAGCAAAAGTCCACTTCTGTTGGAAAACCACATAAGAAATATGTGTTGTCATAGCTATCCCATTTATGTTCCACACTACCATCATCCACCAATGACCTCATAACATCTTCATTAAATCCTATCATATCATTGTTTGTATTGCAAGCGTTCGCAACCATTTCATAAAATACAGGTCCATATGATTTTTTCAGGTTCTGCAGGCATATTTCCATAAGCTCCCATGGAAAGCTGAAGATATTTAAACTTAGGGTTCTCAAAATTAACATAATAGTTGTCTTTCTTTCTAAATAGTGCCCAAATACTTTTAACATTAATAGGCGTATAAGCTGCTGTAAATGTTGCACTTGAACTATCTGTATTCTTTGAGAATGAACCGTCCATAGGAATCCAATCCATAACTTTAACAGGAAAACATAAAGCCTCGTTTGTATAATGTTCTACAAGTTCTGTATAAATGTTAGGGTCTAAAGAGAATGACTTTGGATGAATGAAACATTCATTAAAATCCATCTTTGTTCGAAATAGTTGCTGGGTTACAGTTGTAATAGTAACTGTTCCACTAGCTTCTACTGCCTTCGTTATCATAGTGAATGGTTCATTCCATGGAACAAATTTATTTGTCGGTGGATTTGAATCTGAAGCAAATGCAACTTTAAGAGTTGGATTGAAAGCAATGATATCATTTACAGATATAGATGTGCATTGTAAGGCGTCGCTACTGAACTTTACTTTAAGCTGAATGTTTCCTGCAAAAGCTGGAATAAATCGAATAGCTTCTAATGGAAGGAATCTTCTAACAGGAATTCTTAAACGAAGCTTAAAATCAAATGATTTTCCTGCTGTAATTGGACCACTAACAATTTGTCCTGTTCTGCATGTTCCCGAATGACTCCATACATCTTCATGTCGAGTCTTTGAGAAAACATCTACTTTCTTTATTTGTTCGGTAGTTTGTGAGTTTGAAGTTATATATGCTTCTTCTCTTGCGTTGTCTTGAGAATATACGATACGACCATTTGCAAGGATTTGATATCCAGCAACTGCATAGAAAGCGTCATCGAAACCAATCCAAAATCCTGGTGGGTTTGTTTTATTGGAACCTGAACCAATTTCTTTATCTACAATAAATTGACCTTCCATTTTATACGTAATGAATGTATTGTAAAGGTCCAACATATTTTCACCAGGAGGTGAGAGATTGAATGTTACCCATGTGTTATCTTTAGCAGTTCCAGGTTGTGATGGAATCTTTGCGTCAGAATATTTTCTATTAGTGTCACCAATTTGAACTGCATTGTCTATGATATCGAAATATGAGCGAATCTGATGAATATGCTCTGCTGGAGTAAATTCGTTTAGCTGTTCGTTCTGCATGTATTTACTTCAGATAAAAATATCTATTTACTTCATTATTCTCACTCTTCTTCTTGGCATTCGTGGTGGAAGTTGTTTCTTGACATTTTCAATGAACTGTACATTCTCTTTTGTCTCAACTTCTTTCACTGGCGGGTCAGGATTCTTTGACTCGGTTTGTTTTTCAATGAAATTCACGAACTTTGCAATAAGCTCTTGGTTCGTTATTGAAAGTACATCTGGCTTCTTTTCTTCTGGTTCTATTGACTTTTCAGTTTGAACAGAAGGTTTTATATGGGCTTCGCCCTCGGTGCCATGCACCTTAATGCTGTCGCTCTCTGCATTTGCTAATGGTACCTTTCTTTTTCTTACGTATATTTTACCATCTTTACTCTGACTTACGTAATAGAAAGGATGTTGTATTCCTCTTGCGTCATTTAATATAATAGACTCTCGCTCTGATTTTGACAAGCTCATTTTACATCGGTTAAAGTTTTAAGTTAGATTTTTATCCGCAGTCAAATGACTCAGACAATAGATGTTGAAGCATTGAAGAAAGAAATTCGTGAGCAAATTTTATCCGAACTGAAGGAACAAAAACAAGAACAAAAGCCAGAGAGACCAAAGAGAAAACTTAGTGAAAAACAACTTGCTGCATTAGCTGCTGGAAGACAAAAGAACCCACTGCTGGCGAAAAAGCTAGAGAAGAAGCTGAAGCAAAAGCTAAAGAAGCTGAAGCAAAGAAAGAGTAAATGGTTATTTTTATCGAATTAAATGTATAGACAAATACCTTTATCTGTTGCGTTCAGTAGTGAAAACCCTGACGTCAAAATAAAGGAACAGAGTAACGTTTAAGTTTCCAACAGACTGGATTGTGAACATAAATGAAGAGAAGTACATTGGCATAACATCTATGTATATAACACGTGCTTTCAGAAAGGTTGACTTTATACTTCAAGTCGAGATAGAAAATGACGAACAGTCTTTAAGCGCCCAAAACATTCACATATACAAATACTTTAAAGACGATACAACATTGCAACAATGTATGATTTCATTTAATGAGATGTTCGAGAAAAAGTTCAACATTGAAGTACAAACTTTACAGCCTTTACGTGAGTTTCTTGCACAACTGAAAGAAGAAGGTAGTCAGCCACAACTTATAGACTTTCATTATGAATTTAATGAAAATGAAGATGGAACACATGACTGTCAATTCATTGTATTCTCACCATTCAATGAAGTCGCTAAAGAGAAAGAAAATCCATTACGTATAAGATTTCAAATCTCTGAACCAAGTGATGATTTCAAAAATGTTTTCAATTATGATGCAATGCTTCCGAGGAAAAATGAATTTTCAAAGATTGTAACAGGCATTTGGGATAGAAAACAAGCAATATTATATTCAAACTTAAGTAAGGGCGTTGAAAATGAGTTCATTGGTCATACGAGAACTACACCACTTCCAAACCCTAAATATTAAATTAACTGGCTTCAATCGTGAGTTTTGGATAGACATGTTCTCCACTCATGACCATAACTGCCCAGTGTTCTTACCTCCAGACCATAAGGACTGTCTCTACATTGAAGCACAACTCTTAAATTCTACAATTGCTGTATTGTAAAATCTACGCTAGTTTTATTTTTTCTGAAAATTTTATTTGAGTGAAAGGCATGGAAGGTGAAGGACATTGGCAAACACTCGAACATGACAATGACTATGAAATCTTTTCAGAGTACCCTTATCCAATTAGACGTATAAGCAATAAAAGAGTTGTTAGTGAGTTTGACCAAGGAGATGGTTATATTTGTGTAAATTTAAACAAACACAAGCTGATGAAACATAGAATAGTTGCAGAAACTTTCATTCCGAACCCTGAAGGACTTCGTGAAGTAGACCATATAAACAGAGACAGAGGAGACTTTCATATCTCGAACTTAAGATGGACGACAAGAAGAGAAAAATGAGAAATATTTCTGGTTCAAATGGCTATTGGTTTGACATTGTTGACTCTCTTCCTGAAGACGCTGTTGAAATTATACAATACTCATATCACACGTTAGAGAACTACTACTATGTCCCAAGTGAAGATGCCTTTTACTATTTCATGGGAACTCAATACAGACGAATGAATGTCTTAAGACAGTATAACAAAGATTATATAAACATTACAGATGTAGAAGGAAGAAGAACAAAGCTGTCTATTGCAAAGTTTAAGAGAGACAATGGTTATACATAAATGAAAAAATATATGACCTCATTATTTTTATCACGAATGACCTCATTGCTGACAAAAATAAATGACCTCAGAACTTCAACTTACGAATAAAGCTTGTTTTAGTCGTTATTGAGAAGTTAAACTTCTCTTCAAATGCAGGTGTAGCAGACTTACATAAGTCAAATCCAATCTCTTTACCGTCATAAAGTGCTTTGTAAAGTTTCATTAAACTGAACTCAGAGTCTTTGTCATATGTTCCAACAGGTATGTGAATGTTCTTATCTTCATTGTAATAGCATTGTATAGCTTCAGGAAACATTTCATTAGCTGTTAAAGCAAGGACGTCTTGTTTGACACCTTTACAACGTGCATGAAATGCAACTTCATTTAAATCATTCGTGAGTAAGTCTATGTAGGTCTTCTTTCCACAAAATATTGACTTGTATGCTAAACTTTGTTTTCCAGGTGTTATTTCTGCGAAGTCAGAATGAAACTGACCAATGTTTTTCCAATAAGTTCTCTACCGTATCTCTTCTTAAACTCTGCTGCAAGCTTTGGTATGTCTTCATTGAAAATATGCATGCTATCACAGTCCTGGTAAAATATTTGAAGTCCCATATCTTCTGCAGTACAGAATACTTCTTCATTATTCTCTTCGACATAGACAGAATATTAACACCAAGTGGACAGAAGTTAAAGTGTCTGCAAATGCTTTTCGTTAGCTTGAAAATAGTTTTATCGAACCATCCAAACCTTCGAACTTCACTATATGGTTGTAGTTTCTGATGGCATATCTTATAGCATCTTTGTCATTTACTATGGTTATTTTTGACTCAATAGGAGATAGAATAGTTTTGCCATAAATACTGTTCAGAATGAGCTTTATATTTTCTTGCAAAGGATTTCCTTCTTTCTTATACTTTAACCTTAACTCAAACAACTTCTTTACTTCATCTCTTATTCTAATATCTCTGTTTCCATCGTAATAGTATCCTTGCAACACTTCACATTTGACACCTTGATATTTTATGAGGTCTTGTAATGTTATATGGTCAACATACATTAAACAGCAAGTGTTTGAACTTCTGGGAACGTTAAGTTCTGGATTTAGTTCAGGGTCACAAACTATTAAAGGAAAGTGTCTATGTATTCCAATCTCTGTTATCTTAATGAGAACAAAGAAGCCAGACATAAACTTTTCACCAATGGGTTCCTTTTGGTCGTCATCGAATAAATGTCTCATGAGATACTCTGTGCTTAACATTTCTTTCTTCATAACCTTTGGAATCCTTCTAAAGTATAAAGTCTTGCTATAGCTGATGGATATAATGAAACAGCGTCGAAATCAGCAATGAGTTTCTCTTTACTCTTTTGTTTAATGTTATCTGACAACATACATCTTCCACCTTGAATACAGCGTGAAATAAATTCTCTTGGTTTATTTGAGAGGTCATATAAATTTCCATTCGGGAAGTACACTCTGTTCTCAAATAATTTGTTAGCAATTGAACAAATACTAACGTAGTCATAAACGTTTAAATCAAATTCTTTCAATATGTCATTGCGGAACTTAACAAAACCTTCTCTTAAAATTCTTACATCTTGTTTGCAATAAAATGTGCTATACTTTTCTAAGTCGAAGTGGTTTTCATCTATTCTGCAACCTTTGATGGAATCTATGTTTTTCATGAATGTATCGCATCCGGATAAACTTACATGCTTCAGAAATGACACCAGTTCTGTTGTCATTTGCTAACAAAACACTGCTGTAGTAGTTGTATGGAAATACTTCTTTCGGTCCTGTTTGTAAGTTAAACATAGCAGGAAATAGTTTAAGCTTCTTATTTATAACACTGTAAGAGTCTTTTATAATAATTGCCCTTCCTTTATATAAGCCAGTTATTTGCATTGTTCGTGAACCTTTAATGATGGGAGTTCCTTTCACTTCTGTCATGTGTCTTAAGATGAAGTTTATATCATAACTGAGGTTATGGAAATATATTAAACTCTTGTCAGGAAGTCGCTCCAAAAATTCTGTTGCACAGTTCTGACCCCAAATGCTTTCACTCACTGAACCATCTTCACTGTCATAACATATGTTAAAAGCTTTATGAAAGCCATCGGTACTGCACTCAAAGTCAGCAAAGAAAACGTGCTCAGGAATGAACTTGCATTTATTTATTTACTTCTTTTGACTCGGCTTTCTTCTTCAGTTGTACACAATACTTTGGAGCATATGTCAAATCTTTAAATGGTGCAAGGTTCTGTTTATATAAGTCAGTCGTATATGTGAAAAGTTCTCCATAAGAAATAGGTTCGAAATATTTGCACTCCCACAATGTTTTCATAACATCCCATAACGGTGTTGTTCTATCATAACGAACTACATTTTATCTCTCTCTTTGTATAAATCTTCATCTGTTTCTCAATGTTCATTCCACCACACTCCTTCAAGATTTCTATATTTCGATGAAATATGTTGTCATTGGTAATCTTTCGTTTAGCATGTAGTGGTCTTCAACAAGAAGTAAGTCAATAGTTCGAACAGTTTCACATTCTTTTGGTATATATCTCTTTATTTCATTATGTCTTGAGTCATTGAAATAACCAATGGTAACATTAAATGCTATACCTGTTGCGTCAGAAATTTCTTGTACTTTACTTTGAGGAAAGTCTCTAACACGAATGACTTCTCTCATGTGGTCAATAGTTTCTTCATTTACTCCAGCCTGAATGCAAGCATAAACGAAACAATTGTCTTCTGTCATAAGTGTTGCAGTTCTTTTGTTCAGTTCATTGAAGATTTGGTAGCGTTCAAGATTTATAGGTAATGTGCAAAGATACTTCCAGAACTGACCGCTTCTCTTCTTATAAAACTTCTTTTCACCATTATCTTTCCAAAAGCTTTCTATAAGTGCTGGGTTTCCTGTTTGCTTAAGAGCTTCCAAAATGGCTTTCTGGTCATTTGTCAGTGTGCTTTCATCTCTATATGGTCTCTTTTTTGGTTTGCCTTTCTTTACATCTGACATCGTTAAGCCTTCATATTCTGTTAAATCATACATCTTTATTTCAGTAAGATTCTTTATGTTTGTCAAGAAGAAGTCATAGTGCATTTCAACAATACCTGCAGCATTTGCTTCTATCTCTGATATAAAGTTCTCCTTCAAGAGCTGATGTAGTAATGTTCCAATATTATTGAGGTTTAACGTAGAACATTCATACTTTCCACCAAGTTTATAACATACCATCCATCTTGTTGGAGTTTATTTTAATTTTCTCTAAGAGTCTCATGAAAACCTTACCGAAATGTTTGTGTAAGTAGTCTCTGTTTGGTTCATCTAAAGCTTCGATGTTAAAGTCAATGAGTCTATTGCCTGACTTCACATTTCTCTTCCTATTCTCTTCATCTTTCTTTAACCATCTCTCACCTTCTTTTGGTTTGTCGTCAATGGAACGAATGACATCATTAGCTTTGCGAACTTGTTCTATAGCACTTTTAAACATCTCTCTTCTCTGTTGTTTCAGTGTGTTGTCTCTCTTTCGTGTTTCACCAACGTTTGCATTTGTTATGTCAAACATTTCTCTTCTTACTTCATGAGGTACAGCTCTTCTTGTTTCACCAACGTTTGGGTTCGTAAGTTCAAACATCTCTTGACGAACGTCATGAGAAAGAGCAGCTTTAAGAGAGTATGACCAACGTTCGCATTTGTTATGTCAAACATTTCTCTTCTTACTTCATGAGGTACTGAACGTCTATGATATAAGTCAATAGTAACGTCATTTAAAGGAAATGCTCTTGCATGGACTTCGTCCTCGCCGCGTTGCGGCTTTATGAACTCATGAATTCTATCATAACTTATTGCACCATTATAGTCATTGAGGATGTCAGCGAGTGCTTTTTTGTTTGTTGCGTAATGCTTTGCAACATCTATATTAGCTTCTGTAAGAAGTTGTTTTATTTCCGAGTGTTCTAACTTAGACAACTTCCGATACATCTTTAGTAGGAAATAAAAAAATATTTTTTGAAAAAATTAGATTAGATTTTTTTAAGTTATTTTTCAAAATAATTTAATATTTTTATTTTAATGAAACACATGCAAGATTGCAAGTTCTTTTCATACAATGCTCTCGCTACTGCCATCAAGAATGAGTTCAATGGTGCTGCAAACGTTAATGTTATCTTTAACAAGAAGTTTGTGAAAGAATCTAAGTTTGGTCAGTATGTCAGACCATTAGCTATCGTCATTGACCGCAAACGTTATACTTCACAAGAGTTAGCAGTAGTTTTGAAACAAAAGAGTTTCTTCGTGAATGTCAAAGATACTCATTATACTGTCATAAAGAACTCTAACATTGACTTCTTCAGTATTGCTTTAAATCTTTCCGAACAGAAAGAATATAAGAAGGGTGAAACATCTGTGAAATATTATCCTTCATCTCTGAAGACAATAACGAACAAAGATGTTATACAGAAATTCTTACCAAAGGTTGAAGAAGCTTCTATTGACATTGACGAAGGAAGTGAAATGGTTGAAGAAATAGACCCTGAAGCTATTTAAGCAAAAATATATTTTTGTATAAAATTCCAAACAGTCAGTCAGTCGTCATTGACTGACTGTAAAAAATAATTTCAAAGCATTGAACAAAAAAATTATTTTTGTTTATTCTTCCTCTTTGAAGTTATCGAAATATTCTGTTATTTTTTCCTTCAGTAATGGTAAGTCTTCTTTGAATGTAAGTATTGTGCAACCTTTGATGTCATAGTGTGTTTGAGGAAGTGTGTCTTGAACTATTTGTTTAACACATTCATTCGGTGTCATTGAAATCGGTAAGTTTTCACGATAGAACCGGTTTCTGTCAGATTTATATATTTTAGCGAGGTCATAAAAGCTCTTGTTGTTTCTTCTCACTAAATGCAACATAACCATATCTCTGTCTTCTTCTTTCTCCAACTCTTCAGTATATATCATATACTTATAACTCTTTTCCTTTCCTTTTGGTACTGAACGCGGTATTCTTTTCTGTATGCTTTTGTCTTTGGATTCAATGACTTCATCTTTTGCTTGAAGTTTCTTTTCCATCTCTCCACGTTCTGCTTTATATAGTTCATCTAACATCATGAAAATATAACAAGCATAACGAGGTGAAGCCCACATTGCTACAGCGTTTACTAAAAGTCTATGAACATAATAACCTTTCAAACCAGGAGCCAAATTCTTGCGATTTTCGTACGGAATCTCTTCTCTCGGTTTTCCGAGGGAAGCAATCATATGAGGAAATTCTTCTAAAAGTTCTTTTGTCTGTTGGTTTTCAAACCAATGATATGCTTGCTTTGTAGAACGAAGAGCATTCATTATACTTTGCATTTGATACATGTCATCTTTGACTGAACGAATGAGTCTCAATTGTTTGTTATACTGTATGTATTCATATTCTTCATTAATGGCTTCATGAACGATAGCAGTTGTTGTGTTCTCTGATGTTGACATTACTGTCTTTACATACAAAATAAAAAATTCGAAAAAATAAAAACTAACTTTATTTTTCTAACTAATGAAATTCATTATTTTTGTGCTGAATTCAATAAAAATATATTTTAGGATAGATGGTTAGATCTAACCCGATATCTAACCTCTTTTCTACCCCAGTTATTTTATAAACGTTTCACATGATATACGTTATGAATTCGTGAAATTTTGTGAAAACTCAACGGTTTGACACATGCCATATGCCATTTTACTCACAATATTTTTGTACAAAACGACCCCAAACTTTTAACTTCTTTTCTGCAGCTTCTAATGCTATCTTAGCGAGTTCATATTCTCTAAATTCTCTCTTTAAATCTTCTTGTTCCCATTGGTCTAGTTCGTATGGAGAATCTCTATAACCATAACATATCTCACGTTCATGTTCTAATTGTTTTTCGCGCATTTTTCTAACTTCTTGTTCGAATAAAGGTTTAGCATTCTCTACTGTATCTTCAAGTTCTTCTTCATCTAACTTCTCATGAACTTTCTTGTCTATGGAGTCCATAATTTTTCCAACTGCTATGCAATATTTTGGAGAAGCCCACATTGCTATATAGTTTATAAGTCTTGGGTCTACATACGTTCCTCTAACCTGTTTGATTTCATCAGGAATTCCTGCATGAATTTTGTATAAAAAGCAACCGCCGGAATTCAGACTGTTGCTATATTCTTCACAAAATGCCTTATAATACTCTTCCCAGGACTTATTTTCCAACAACTTTCTAAAGTCTTTCCTAAACTGCTGACACATATTTGTTGCATTAATGTAACCATCCTTGTCTCTACGTAAGACTTCAATACCGTTATAAGTGCCTTTTGTGAATGTTTCGCCATTAGATTTGTTCGTGAATGTTTTTGCTTCGACTGACATTACTGTCTTTACATACAAAATAAAAATAAAACCAGCGTTATTTTTTTCTATCTTAAGGAAATTCATGAAAATTCATGAGGGTAGATATCGGGTTAGATATCGGGTTAGATCTAACCTTTTCAAAGAAAATATATTTCTGCAGTTCATCCGCTACTTTATTAACTAATTAACTTCAGACATAAAATATATTTAGTTTAGAAGAATTTTCTTATTCTTTCTGGCATGTTTTTATCTTTCCAGTACTCCCGCTCTAATGGTCCCAGATGAGTTGGTTTAGATTCTCTCAAGTTCTTAGATGGTATAACATCTTCAACGCCTCCTTCATATCTTACTTTATAAGTGTCATCGTTTATGTTGTAGCCAAGTATTTCAATAACCACTCCTCGCTTTGCTTCGTCAATGGTTTCAGCAAGTTTGCCATTACTACTTTCGACTAATTTATGTCGAGGGTAAAATGCAATGGAGTCGTCAGCAGCTTTTATAAGATATCCATTACCTTGCGTAGAGTCTACGATATAATAATTTCGACTTAACCTTAAATGTTTCTTTGTCAACGGTTTGTCGTCAAGAACTACACGAACTTTTGTACCAGGAATGAGGGTAAATTGTGTTGAATTTCTGATATTTTGTGTTTGGCTTCGTTTCTTTTGTATATACTTTTCTTCTTGTTGTTGTGTCATTGAATTTAGTGTATGGCCTGTTGTAGAATGCGTTGAGGAATTATATACTTCGAGAAAATGTTTCATTGTTTCTTCGGTAAAGTCTCGCTCTTGATTTAAATCTCTGAGCGTTCTTATGAAGCGGTTTATGATGCCGAGTATGTTATGGTTATGGTCTTCAGTAGTGTAGTGAGTTATGTTATGCTTAATGAGAAAATCTGTGATTTCATTGCTGAGGTATGCACTGTCTTGGTCTGATGTTAAAGTACTTGGGCTATGTTCTGCTACAAACTTTTGTAAAACTCTTAACACTTCACGAGTTCCTTTATTCCTCATTGGATATGCATATGCTTTGCGAGTGTTAACATTAATGAAGATGAGGAATGGTTTATGTCCTCCTTTTCTGCTTTGAATGAGAGTGTCAAATTGGTATGCGTCAGGAGTGTTGGAGTAAATTGGTAAAAAGTAGTCGTAAGGGTTTATTTTTGTTTGATGTACAACATTTTTGTCAAAGAACTTTTTAACTTCAGCTCTGTTAGTAAATCCCCAACTTTTTGCTGCTTCATTGAACTTCTTAAATGACCTCCATGGATGTTGTTCGAATACTTCTTTCAAGCTCATTTATGTAAAGTTAAAGATTTTATTCTAGGCTCAAGCGCGTTCATTGAACGCGGTACCATGCGAATACAGTCATAAATGGTGGCATATAATCTTCACCCGAGCCTGTTGGATTTGTTGTGAAAGTATGGACATGATTTCTTCCTGGTTCAGTTGGTCGAAAAGTCTTTTTTGCTGAATTGTTATAAGATGGAGATAAAACTTCATTGCCAGCTTCATAGTCTGAGTTGTATAATGTGTGGTCTCTTAATGAGTGGCTATGGTCGCCAGAAAAGTTTGTAGTTCCTGTATGAGTGTGCGCAGGTAAGTTTGCTTCTTTAATTTTCTTTGAGCCTCCTGTTTGCTTTGAAGAGTTAGCACAGTATAAGAATTTGTCTACAATCTGTTCCCAAGTACCAAAACCTAAAACACTTGCTGGATTTGTTGAGTTCATTGACGTATAAATAGAGCCTATAGGATATAATGTTTGAAGTATTTCAGTCTTTAATGTTTGAAGCTCTGTTTTGTCAGCTTTGTCCTCCATTATATCTTCATAGTTTTTAACTTCAACGATCCGAATGAAAAACTCCGGATTTAAACCCATATCCATTTCTGCAGTTGCTGACCATATTTCTTCATTCCATTCAAAACTTTCACGAATATCTTCTCTATGAACTTCATAATGTACTTCTGTCTTAGTTCTGTTGAAACTTGTATATGTTATACCGTCAATGACTTTAGTTTCATTTGTTCTTTCAAGATATTCAGAATAATCTGAACCAACGCGCACTCCCTTACCTCCTTTTACTGTATAATGCCAATGTTTTTTGTCAGCCTTTTTGTGAATACTTTTCTGAATTATTGCTATATCTTCTGCTCTAGTATACGAACTAAGTTCATCTCTGCTTGCTTTCTTTTCAAGTTCTTCATCCACATAAGTTTTGTCAGCTTTCTTATCTAAAAGCGTTGGTAGTTCATATGTTTCAAAGTTTCTGACACGACCTTCGATGTTCATATATTTACTATCTAAACTATTAAGAGTATCTTTTACGCTTGTACTTGGATTCTCTAAAGGTGCACTTGAACCAAGGGTATAGTTCAATATTATGTCGTCTGCTCTAACAGTAGTGAAGGATTCATGCGTATGATTTTTGTCTGCTTTACTATTTAATGTAGCTTGAAGTTCATTTATATCGGAGATATTGTGTTTATGAGATTTCAAAACTTTGTTCGTTGCGTCAAGTTCATCTTTGTCAGCTTTACTTTTAATAGCATCTTCAAAAGTTATTTTTGCCTTAACTCTCAACATAAATCTTGGTTCAACTAATACACCGTTAACAAAGAAGTATGAAGCATAAATTTCATTGTTATAACCAAATGCTTCTGGTGCTTTACCTGTGTCATACTGTACAGTACAACGTATGTCATAACCTTCAGCACGAATGAATTTATATCTTCTTTCATTAACATCTTCCGTCTTCACTTCTTCATCCTGTGTTAAATATCCGTGGTAGTCCGTTATAATCTGTTCATCTGAACTTATATAATGAACATGGTTTTTATCTGCTTTTTCGGCTAATTTCTCTTCTATCTTATTTATTTCAAGTTCATGCCTACCACCACCTCCTTCAGAAGTATTTTTCTTCAGCTCTTGAAGAACATCCACTTCACCCTCTTCGGTGTCAATAATGAGACTTTGTGTTAAAACCTTTCCTGTCTTAATGGATGTTTGTAAAACTTCTTCTTCACCGTGTTCGGGGTCATGGTCGTCATCATATCTTGTGAAATCAGAGATGTTGTCATACATTAAGCATATCTGTCTCAAAAGTTCTGCTATTTGAAACTGGAACGAAAGATATACAGAACTTTCATCATCTCCTAAAGTCAAGTCTGCTTTCTTAAGTATTTCTTGAATGTATGCAATGAGAACAGAGTACCTTGGAAAATATTCGAACAATATTTCATTAGCTGTTGGTTTTGGTGGTTCTTCTGGAGTTTCTGTTGTTTCAGTTCCTTCTGTAGGTTCTGTTGGAGTTTCTGCATCTCTTGATTTCAATGCTCTTGCTCTCAAAGACCTAAATGTTAGAGCACCAGGTTTTACAAAGGACTTTATAAATGCTTTAATAGTTCCTGGTAAGTTATTGTTAGCATTAAGTAAGTTCCTTATGCTTCCATCATGTACGTCCATAGCACTATGTAAAAAATCTATACTTTTCTTGTAGTCAGCAATAGACTGACTGTGATTTTTTAAAGATTTGTCAATACCTTTAAGCCAATCTTCATGCATGTCTGATACTGAGCCAAGAATATCATTTGCTTCCTTTAGTGTATTTTGTGCTTGTCGTAAAGTATCCAATCCCGTACGTGCATTGTTTGCTATACGTCTTACAGTATCTATTTGACTCCTTGTTTCTTGCATCCAACCAGATAAAGTTTTAATAGTATCCGAACCATTTGAAATGAAGTTCAAAGCATCTTTGACGTCATCTAAAGCTTCTTCACCAAGTACAGCCCATATCTTTCCGATTTGGTATTGAAGAACTCCATATGAACCAGCTGTTAAACCAGTATTTATAAGGTCCCATATCCATGATTTAGCAGTTTTTCCATCCTTTCCATCTTCTCCATCCAAACCGTTTTCGCCTTGAGGTCCTTGTATTCCTTGTGGTCCTTGAGGTCCACTGTCACCCTTCTCTCCTTTCAGTTCATCTTTATGTTCGTTATAATATTCTAATGTCATAAGGTGTACATCATTACTGCTACCAGCAACGCCGAGAATTTGTTTCTCATTCATGACTAAATTCTTTAAGCATTTAATGTTGTCGTCAAATCGGAAGCTCTTTAGTAATTCAATGAGAACATTTAATACTTTCACTAATGAGGCATCTACTGTAGAATTTATATATTGCACCGTTCCATCATTTATGATAGGAACTTTACTTGTTGTAATGAATGGGTCATACGTGTTAAAAGTATCGAAATCAATGACTTTTTTAGTTTTTCCATCGTCAATGACTAAATTGTTACCTTCCACTGTTAAAGTTGAGTTTTCATTTACTAGTTCATGTGCTCTTCTTGCTTCATTTGTTTCATACGCATATGCAGCAATAGTCATATTTTAATGAGAATAAAATGTTGTTCTATTTGCAAAGTACAGACCCAAACGAATACGGGACAGTAAAGCTACAAACAAACTTAGGACTTCAGAATGAAGCACTTGCTTTCAGAGTTGTTGACTTCAATACTATCGCAACTTTTGTCATAACAGATGAAACAGATTTCATAGAGATTGAAATAGATGGTGTAAGAAGTGTTATAACATTTCCTAACAGAGCTGGGTATAGAATATATAAAATTGCTGGAGTCATAGATACTCTCATAAATGAAGAAACTATTGACAACATAGATGTCGAACTCTCTTCTGAGGGAACATTGAAGTTCAGTTATGCGAAGGAGTTTAAGATAACACGAATGAGTCATAGAGTTCAATTGCTTCTGGGAGCATACCATATGACATTTCCTTTGAAAAGTGTTGACAAAACGATTGAGATGAAATCTGTTCCATACGTATGTTATGGTAATTGTTTATACATTGAGTCAAAAATAGCTAATGTCACAGGTATTTCAGGAGTTAATAGTAAAGGTTCAGTAGAATATAAATCCTTCTGTTATGCAGTCAATTCAATGTTCATTCCAAATGTTCCTGTCATAGCAACTCATTTAGGTAAATGGGTTCGCATTAGTCCTCATAATTTGAAAGACATGCAATTCAGACTTGTTGACTTTCAAGGAGAGCCTGTAGAACTGAAGGCACCAGTGCGAATGACTGTTGAAGTTGACTTTTTAGAAAATATTAAATGCGACGCTTACAAGAGAACTCAGAGCTAAAAATATAAAGTATGAATGTTATGTATTAGGTCATGAACTTTGGTTGTTGCTGTTTGATGAAACAAATGAGTTAGTTATGTCAGTCAAGAGAACAGAAAAATATTGTGTTAGTGAAAACTGCACCAAGTCAATAAGATTAGGTTTGCATTATGAAGATGAGTTCGATACTGTTGAAGAAGTTTTGGATAGATATTACAAATTGCTAACTTGAAATTTTTTGGACTGACTGACTGCTTTAATTTACTAAAACATATTTCAAACAAAGCTTATAGTCAGTAGATAGTTTTGTATACTCGTTCGAATATCTATACTTAAACTCAACTCCTGTAGTTCCTGGCGTTTCAATGATGCGGATGTTACCTATTTTCATGAATAGTGGAGTTTGACCACAGCATTCGATTTCAGGGTCGAGATAGTCAATAACGCACTGTTTCCCTGTTATTCGTGATATAACATTTTCAAGGTCCTCCTTTGTTAGAATTATTTGGTTCTTGCTTATAAGATTTGTCAAAAGCTTCTTATCGTCTTTGAGTAAGATAGTTTGATATAACTGAAGAAGGTAATGGTCTACGTTATCTGAAGGATTTGTTTGAACATTTGTGTAAGGGTTGTCGTTGGCTTCTCTTGAAAGAATTTGGTCCAGTGGTGGATACTCTAACTTAACATCTGATGTAGCGTTAGCGTTTGCACTTGAAGCTGAGTTTAAATTCACCGACTTAAGTTCTGGTTCTTTTTCTTTCAAACACTCTGAACTATAGTTCTTTATGACAATATTGTTTGTCATTCGTGAGTCAACATTTGATGTTGGTTCAATTGGAACATTAACGGCACCAGCTAAGATGGATTTGCTTCTCATTTCATATAGAATAAAAACCTTTTATATGTATGAAATGAACAATATACTCGACAAGGGTTTGAATGTAAAGCTAACGAATGAAAATATTGTTGAATTCACTGAGACAGGTGCTGTGTATAAAGATGTAGAGCTACTGAACAAAAGAGCTAAGGGAAGAAGCAGGAACATGAACAAAGGGTGGAAGCCTATAAAAATTTATGTCAATGATGGCTCAGGAGGTTCAAACATAAAGTATGCAGAAAGTTATAGAGTTTATGCTCTCAAGGGAGAGAAGCCTTCATTTAAGAACAGCTATTCTAACGCATATCCTCAAAAGCTAACGGATGGGGAAGTGGATGATATGAATGACTGCAAAAATATTAACAGAAATGGCGACAGAGATGCATGGAATTTGTTTACCATCAGTCAATTGAAGGTTAAACTTTAAAACAATGTTGGTCGTTCCCATGGAATATTTTTGACTTTAATGGTATTAGTCATGATATGAATCTCAAGGTATGAACGAGGAGAGATGAGAGACTTATATGCTTCCCAAATTTCTTCAAAAGGTAATGTTATACCTGACTGTTTCCAAATGAGTTCAATATCATAACGTGAGAAACCTTGAAAGATAACGAAGTCAGTTATGAGGCGTTTTATGTTTAAAGCAAGAAAACGCCATGTTTGCATAAGTATTGCTACAGTTAAGTGGTAATGTCTGACTTTAGTTATGATGTTAGCTAATGGTGAGTCAGGCTTTGAAACTAAACCTTTTCCAGCGAAGTCGTCGCAAACGAGCAGAGTGTTTGAAGTTTTGATAGAATGTAGTTTGTCAGTCGTTTCATATCGTAAACTCCTGAGTACTGACGTAAGTGGTGTTTGTCAATAATTCTTTCCATCTCCTCAGAAGTCTTTTGCATTCCTGACTGTATAAATTCAACGATGGCATAATATTTCCTCTTACGTCGAATGTAACGTTGAAGAAATTCAATGAGTTCACTGTCTGGAACTTTAACGACAGAGGCTTGAACTTTTGACATGAATGTTTTCGCTGTTGAATCCATAGAGTCTGAAGTTGCTGATATAATGATTTGGTCATAGTAAGAGTCGTTTCCTAAACGCTCTGTTATGAGTATATGACGAATGAGGTTAAATGTCTTACCTGAACCCATCTTTCCACAATAGAAATACACACCATTTGAACAGAATTCATAATCTTTGCTGAAAGGAAGAATGAGAGAAGAGTTAAGTTTGTCTGTAGTTTCATTCATGTCTTCATCTACATCATGTATTAAATGCTTCATTTTAATCTTATTAAAAATGCAAGTCAGAAATATTCAGAACATAGCACCGAGTCTAACTGACAAGAGTATAAAGATATACTATGAACATGTTATGATGAAACCAACCAAAATTCAAGAAAGTCAGTATACTTATGAATATCCAAGACACTGAGTAGAGTATATAGGAGGTGAGAAAGCTATTGAAATCAGACAGGTTCGAAGTATTCCAGCAGGAAGAACAATATTATTGAAGAACTTTAATGTTTTGAGGTATAATGATGAAACAAAGAAGCAAGATAGTTTTCCTGTTGCTGTGTATGTGAACTTAGACACAGGAGATGACATGAAAGTTTTTAATACAAAACTTCAAACGGTATTGAAAGAACAACTTATAGCAGAAGGGCACCCATTACCATCAGAAGTTAGCATAGCATATAATTTTGAAACAAATGCAATAGATTTTAAAGTCGTCTCTGCAAAGAAGTCAGGATTTACATTTAATGAAGCAGATGTCTATTCGAATGAAAACTTCAAAGCTATTGCATGGTTAGATAATGACGATTGCTTTAAGAAAATCTTTAAATTCAGTGACTCAAAGATGTCACTAGATGACCTTCGTGGAATGTTACCATCGACGTTTACAGTAGAAGGTTCAGCAGGATTGCTTACAAGATTGTCAATTGGTGGTATTTGGTCTCGTGAGAACATTGTTATAAAATCCAGTATAAGTGAATTTGCTGAAGAATCTATATTATGTCTTTCAAACTATATGTATTCGCCGCCGAAGCATTATAGTATAACAAACTTTGTCAGTAAGTTTAACATAAGACTTGTCGAACCTTCTTCAATGAAAGATGTTGTGCTACCTAAAGATGGAAAGGATGGACTCATTATTGAGATGATTTTAATAGCATATTAAATGAGCTTGTTCTTGAAGGTCATTCATGATGAAATAACTGTTGTAGAAGATGTTAGCAATTGTTCAGACATTTTGAAGCGAATAGATGATATAAGAAATAAGTTAGATAGACCGCAAAGCGGTGAGGGCGAAGCCCGTGAGAATGTTTATGTTTCATTGACTTTCTCCAGTAACGAGAACTTTTATGAGATAATATTGAAGAGAGATGGTTTTAATATGGTGTAAATGGTAGCTTGGGCAGCTTTAGGCGCAATGGGAACAAAAGCATTAGCATTTGGAGCAAAAGCACTTGGAGCTTATGACGCAGTAAATAAAATGAGTGGAGGAAGGGTTTCGAAGACATTAGATGCAAATAAAGGAAGATTGGAGGCTGGGTTGCAAAGAAGTTAAGATTAAATAAAATAGGGCTCATAAATAAAGCATCCAATTTGGTTGCGACTGAGTCAGAAAATGCTTTAGGAAAGGACGATGAGTTTGCAAAACACGCAAAAGACTTTAATGACCAGATGAAAGGTGAAACAATGCATTTAAATAGTCGATGGAACTAAAGAAAATGTTTCTTCTCCACCAGTAGTTTTCCGTATGGTCCTATGGAATGTATGGAAACCCTTACGAAAGACCATTTGACCCATTGACTGGTGGAAGTAACTGGTATCATTACGGACGAAGAAGAAAGACAGCCAAGTTGGAGACAGACGTGAAGAAAGCAACTAAAAAGAAACCAAGGAAGAGAGTTATAAAGCAATGAATTCAACAGGGTAGAAATGAGGTTAGAAATCGGGTTAGATATACCCATCTACCCTAAATTTATTTTTGTGCTATGTTTTCATACGTGTGAGGGTGGTGATATCATTTATTTTTAAGTTTGTTTTTTTATAAATGACAGAACAAAAATATAACATTTCTACTCAGCAGGAATGAGACCCTTACTGACTATGTATTCGTTTAATGCTTGATGAAAACAATGGTACATATTATCGTATGGGTATACACAACGTCTGTTTCCATCGTCGTCGTATATGTAGAGCTCAAATCCAGTCCAACCTTCTTTTGTACAATATGTAGCTTTATTTAAGTATGCATTTATGTAGATAAGGCAATTTTCTTCATCGCTCCAGAAATAATTTTTGTTCTTTGTTGAAATAGTTTTCGTTCCTCTGCGACCATAAGGAATGTATGCAATGAACTTTGCGTCATAAGGGATTGTAATATATTCAGGGTTTCTTTCATCGTCAATGGGTCTATCTTTGTTAAAATGCATGTTTCTCAGTTTTACTTGAGTTTTGAATAGTTCACGGAAACGTTCTGGGAAAGAGTCATAGTAAATGTAGTCAGACATGTCTTTGTAATGAAATAAAAAATTAAAAAAAATAAAAATAAGGTTATTTTTATTTAGTGAGGACGGTAGTGAATTCGTTAGTGAAGTCGTTTATGTGTCAGATGGTTTTGTAAATATTTAAGGTTAAGTTGGTGTTGTGTTTGTGTTGTAAAATATACGTTACCGGTTTCGTAAAGTGTCAAACTGTTATCTTGGGTAAGGTGGAACGCAGTGCCGCCGTACCCATGATAGGTATATTAATTCACGTTTGATAAGTGCGAGATTGATCTTGTTCTAAAACTGTTCTTAATTCCTTAAAATCGGCAATTATATTTATGATATAGGTAGGGATGCGACGGTTTTACGCCATGACCGTTTAAAAATAGAATAATATGCCATTTTTGGGGCCGAATGGCGGGTACGAAGTAGCCGCCATTCGGCCGAATAACAAAACAATACAAAATTATCGCCGTCCTTTTTTTCCCTCTCTCTCTCTCTTTCTTTTCTCTTTCCTCTTTTTACTCCTCTTTCTCTTTTCATCATTAAACGTAGAAAGATATATTAATATTATAATATTAAAAAAAAAGAAAGAAAGTATAATAAGTAATTATTTAGTTATCGATATATATATGTAAAGTGATAATCTGAGGATAATCTGAGGATAATCTGAGGAGGAGTCTGAGGATTAGACCGAGGAGTAGTTTGAGGAGTTTGAGGAGTAGTCTGAGGAGTAGTCTGAGGAGTTTGAGGATAATCTGAGGAGTTGTCTGAGGAGTAGTTTCAGGAGTTGTCTGAGGATAATTTGAGGAGTTTGAGGAGTAGTCTGAGGAGTTTGAGGAGTAGTCTGAGGAGTAGTCTGAGGAGTAGTTTCAGGAGTTGTCTGAGGAGTAGTTTCAGGAGTTGTCTGAGGATAATTTGAGGAGTTTGAGGAGTAGTCTGAGGAGTTTGAGGATAATCTGAGGAGGAGTTTGAGGAGTAGTCTGAGGAGTTTGAGGATAATCTGAGGAGGAGTCTGAGGATTAGACCGAGGAGTAGTCTGAGGAGTTTGAGGATAATCTGAGGAGGAGTTTGAGGAGTAGTCTGAGGAGTTTGAGGATAATCTGAGGAGGAGTCTGAGGAGTAGTCTGAGGAGTTTGAGGATAATCTGAGGAGGAGTCTGAGGATTAGACCGAGGAGTAGTCTGAGGAGTTTGAGGATAATCTGAGGAGGAGTTTGAGGAGTAGTCTGAGGAGTTTGAGGATAATCTGAGGAGGAGTCTGAGGATTAGACCGAGGAGTAGTCTGAGGAGTTTGAGGATAATCTGAGGAGGAGTTTGAGGAGTAGTCTGAGGAGGAGTTTGAGGATAATCTGAGGAGGAATCTGAGGATTAGACTGAGGAGTAGTTTGAGGATAATCTGAGGAGGAGTCTGAGGATAATCTGAGGAGTAGTTTCAGGAGTAGTCTGAGGACTAGTCTGAGGATAATCTGAGGATAATCTGAGGAGTAGTTTCAGGAGTAGTCTGAGGACTAGTCTCAGGACTAGTCTGATGAGGAGGACTCTAAGGAGTAGTCTGAAGAGTAGTCTCAGGAGGAAGATCTGAGGAGGAGTCTTATGAGGAAGATCTGAGGAGTAGTCTGATGAGGAGGGATCTAAGGAGTAGTCTGAGGATGATGAGTAATCTGATAAGGAGTAGTCTGAGGATGATCTGAGGATAACCTGATGACTAGTCTAAGAGTGGTCTAATAAAAATGTAAAATATTTTCAAAGAAAAAATTATATGAATTTTATATTTTAATTCTTAGCATTATACTGAATAAAATAAACATAAATATCAAAATTTGAAATTGAACACGCCAAAAAATTGATAATCCACATTCAATATTTTGTAAGTGGCGTACATTTTGAATACTCGCCATACGCCTTGGAGTTCTCAATTTTGAATTCGCCTTTATTTGGGCGACCTCAGAAAAATACGCCATTAAGAAAATATTGTATGAGATTTTAAATTTGAACACGTTCTACCTTAAGGAATTAAATTTATTAAGATATATTTATATATAATAAACGATTACTTAAAAAGTATTTCATCGCTTATGTAAGTTTCAAAAAAATCACGAAAATAAAAAAATCAAGATTAAAATTTTATTTTTAATTTTTGAATTTCTCAAATGGCGAAATTTTTGGGCGAACAAAAAAAATGTACGCCCGGTCAAATGGCGTGTTTAACGCATCCCTAGATATAGGTTATATCTTTTATTGTTAGAACTTGTGTCAAAATGTCTTGAATCATGTGATTTTAAAGCATTTCTTTATTGAATATTAACCTATAGATTTCAATCTCATAGCAAATACCCACAAAAATGCAATATTTGAGCTTTTTATGATGATTGTAATATCTTCGCACTTTGATCAAATTCCAAAAAAATTTCGAAAAAAGATTTTTATTTATAAAAATTGTTAGAATTTATATCAAAATTTCAAAATTGGAGAATTTTTGGAAATTTTCGAAAAATCCAAAATATTCTATTTTAGTAGATAAATCGAAATTAATACGAATTATTAAATGAATATCTGATTTTAATAATATCAAATAATTATTTTACGTTTTCGGGCCAAATTAAGCTAAAATCTTGGATTTCAATTCATATATGTTACATATATAACATGATTTCATTCGATAATATTGGACGTTAAAATCACGAAACGTGACAAATTTGGATAAGGAAGTGTGAACGAAATACCACAATCCTACGCTCGATACTATAAAAACTAGAATCATCCGACTGCCTATGATCTTACTTCCAAACTTTTAACAATCTAATCGATTTAACAATTTTTTATTTTTTCTTTCCATCAATCAGACAGCAGTTAACACAATGAAGGACATACCTGTTTCAGTATTTCAATTCATGCTCCTGAAAAATCAAATCTTCATCGCCCATGATCAAATTGAATGTTCATGTTTCAAGCCTTTGTTAACAGCTGATACATAACCATACATTCAGTCAATGAAATATTCTATGATCAAAATATAATCGATCAAAAATCAATTTTTTTTTTCATAAAGCTCTACAACCCTTCAATTTTCCTACAACAAGAAATTATACCTTTCTCGTAATTTTGAAAAAAAATTCATAATTAATTTAGATTTGATTATACTTTGAGGATTATGAAGAAAATTGTAATCCATAAGCTTTAGCTCATCAATTACTATTTACTCTTTTACTCTCTTAAGGATTTAGCCATATTATTTTTAATTTTCATTCTTTTCTGAGCGTCATTGAAGAGATAGCTAAATCGTTTCCTATTAAATATCTTTTATTTCCATTTGCTGAATGATACTTACTCTTGAACAACCATTAAGTTGAGTTTTATAAATTTTTTGATTTAATTTTGGTAAATAAGAGATGAACTGCGTTAAATTTCAAGAGTAAAACAGCATAGCTTTTGAAATATTTAAATATTTTTGAATTTTTAGAAAAACATCATTAAAATTAATTAATTTTCTTAGTTGTGAGGTTCGGCAGCACTGTCATCATTCTTCATAGCTTCCTGAATGATCTGGTTCATGTAAACCTCGTCAATTTCAGAAGAATCGAAGTTCTTTGTGTCATTTTCAGCGAGTTTAAGAAGTTCTTCTAAATTGTCCGAAGAAATGTCTTCATCTTTCTTTTCTTCGGCTGGTTTTTCTGTTTCTTCCTTCTTTTCTTCTGATGGCTGCTGAATTTCTTCCTTTTGCTCTTCAGCTGGCTTCTCTTCTTCCTCCTTCTTCTCTTCTTGTGGTTTTGGAGCTTCTTCTTTCTTTTCTTCGACTGGGTTTTCAGATTCTTCCTTAATTTCCTCAACTGGCTCTTGGTTTTCTTCTTTCTTCTCTTCTACCGGCTTTTCAGTCTCCTCTTTCTTTTCTTCAGCTGGTTTTGGAGCTTCTTCTGTAGATTTAGGAATATCTTTTTCTGTTTCCTTATTTTCGGGCTGAATTTCTGTTGGTTTTGTCTCTGGATTTACTGGCTTTTGTTCTGGAGCTGGTTTAGGTGCTTCTTCCTTCTTTTCTTCAATTTTTTTTTCTTCCTCTGTTTCCTTTGCATTTTCTAATTCCTTATCTTCATTATTCTCTTCTTTCTGTGGTTGTTCTTCTTTCTCGGCTTCAGCAGCTTCTTCTTTGACAGATTCTTGCTTCTTTTTACTCAAAGAAGCTCTTAATGTAAATGGCTTGATTGTTTTTGTGAGAGTTTGTTGCTCTGGTTCTTCTTCAGGTAATGGCTGCTTAACAAGTTCTTCTAATGGCTGTGATAAATAAATCGTTCTTCTCTTTCTTGTAACTGGATTTAACAATCTAATTGGCTCTAACGAAGTAATGATGAAGCCTTCTTGAACAAATTTTTCAACTTTTGGTCTTAAAACTGCTGCGATGTCTTTATCGCGTTTTATGACGTCCTGCTGATTGATTTTTGTGATAGAATTTCCGAATGCTAAAAGAATCATAATTTTGAGATATGGTTCTTCAGAAATTGGGTTGTTTTTGATGGATATCGAGTGAAGTGTAGGTAAATGAATGGCTCCATCAAAGGATTCAATCTTGTTATCATCGCAGCTAAGTACTCTGATACGTGGAATTGCCTTTAATCCTTGGAAATTTTTGATATGATTTTTAGAGATAATGATATCAGTGCATTGTCTCTTCAATGATAAATCTGGGAACTCTTTGAGCCTTTTACTTGAAAAACTAGCAATAACGGGCTTTGCAGATTCATCATTTGCTTTCATCGAAGAAAAAAAATTGACAGTTGCCGTTTTATTCTATTCCTAAATTCCACTTCGATTAGATTGATAATTACATGACTTTACCAAAAACTAAATTTTTTTATCAGGCGCACTTTTTCTTTACACCGCTGCTCACACCAATATCAAAGGATCCGATCAAAACCATGAGGAAACCATCACTAACAACATACTTATTCTATTTTCGCTGTTATTTTGTATTTCTATTTGTATCGATATCTCCCATAACTCGTCAATTGAACAAATACTAACTATTCACAGACAAAAAAGATTTAACTCAAACACATTAACAAGTTTATCTCTTCATTAGAATGATTTTAATTGGTTTTGTTCAAATTTTAAATAAAATTAAAGAAATTAAAGTAAACAAACAATTTTTATTATTACTTACCAGGTAATCTATAAGAATGGAATATGAAGTAGTCTTGAGAAGTCGTATAATACGAAGTATCTTTGTCAGCAAACATTCGAATGTGAGATCTCTGTAATTCGTTGTTGTTGACATTGTATCTCAATCCTGGACCTTTGTTTGCAAAAGATTCCTTCATTTCCGATAATCTTATGTTCGTCTTCGGATCTCTTAAGATTATATCGCTTGGACCTCTAGCGCTGCATATTTCAGGAGGTTTAAATGCTGGTGGTGCAGGCTGGAAGTCTGTTTCATAAGTTGTACGGCCAGTTTTTGGATTTCCATAATTATCTTTGAAATTTGAAGTTGTGTTGAAGGCACGGACCTGGGAAATGTCTGGCCTGTCAGGAATGTCTTTCTTCGAGAAATCTTCCTTGTAGACTGATGATTTAGGCCCAAGAAGTCGGGGAATTCCGATGTCACTTTTTTGTAAATTTTTCGTCATAAGTTCAGGTTTTCTGGCACTATGAGGAACGAAATCTGATTTTGTTGTGGTTTCCCATGTTTCAGGATATCCACCGAGTTTGTAGTGCGTTGACTGGTTTAATTTCGAAGGTTCTGGTGGTCGGAAATCTGGATGTGCTACATGGGCTTCTTCGTATGAAGTTTTAGTAGGAATTTTGAATTGGGAGTACAGAGGAATGCCACTTCCCCTTGGTATCTTCGATGCAGGGTAATGTAATTCTTCTGGAGGTGGAAGACAACCATTTTGAGGGTATGCGCCACTTCTTGTGGTTGTAGAGTAATCGTTTTTGTAATTTCCAAGGTTAAATGTTGTAAGATGGCCTTTTCTACCGATTTCTTTAAGATTTCCAAGATTTAAAGATGGAATATCGTATTTTTTGTATGAATCTTGTGATATTGATCTAGATACACCGAAATCGCTTTGATGAACTGAATTATATACACCAAGTCCGCTTCTTATATCAATATCAAATGGTTTTACGGGTTCTGCAGGTGTATATTGCATCATGTCTTGTGTTGTTGTTGACCATTTCTCTTTTTCGTTGTTTGGAAGGATAATATGCGATGCACGGACATTTTTTGAAACATTTGATTTTTCTGGAGGTCTGACATTATAAACAGGCTCTAATTTTCGCTTTTCAAATGGAAGATTTGGATCTCCAAGCACGAATGTTGTCTCTTGTGTTGTTGCTTTGTTTCTTTCTTCTTTTATTCGAGGAGATTTCTTCGGAATGTACTGATCATGCATTTCAGAGACCATATCTGATTTGTATCCGCCAATATTTAAGTGAGATTTTTGCAAATATGCTGTATTTATTGATGATTCATTTGAATCTGGTTTCCAGCGTTGAAAATCAACACTATAGGTGGTATCGTATGTTTGTGGTACATTTCCCAGATTAAATGTTGTCTTTGTGAGGTTCTTACCTTCTTTACATGGAAATTCTGGGTAATGCACAAACATTTTCGAAATTTTTTTTTCTCGTTACAAATTTGTAAAGAGATTTTGAAATTAAAATTGGGGTTTGTCAAATAATTGCAGGGGCATTTCTTTTGAGAATCATCAATCAAGGTATTTTCAAAGGTATTCGCTCATTGTTATTGCTTGAAAAGTATAGCATTATAAATTTCTAAAGAATAATTAAGCCAAAATCACTTATTGTGTTTAATTCTTAATCTCCATTCTAAATTAATGAAATCAAGATCACTATTAATAAGAGGTTTTGCTATTCTGCATATAAAAAAGAATCTACCAGTATGATTGTGCTATAATTTCGATGCCATATTTTAAAACCTAAAATATTCAAGTATTGAAACAAAACTAATCTATGAATGAAAAGATATTCGGAAGCTCTCAATTATTTATCAATTTTTATGATATTAGTATTTACTATAACAAATAAAACAATATATAAATAAAAATATACTAAGAAATAAGTAACGTAATGCATGTGCTCTACACACAGTTGTAGATGAATGTTAAATTATCCTCAGTCGTTTGATTTTTATGCATTAAATCCGTTATTTCTTCCTTTTTAATTCCATAATTTCATTTCGGAGTTCTCTTTGTACTTCTACAACACTCTTTACATCCTTCTTTAATTCGTTCAGTTCGTTTAAAACGTCTGCTAGTGTAGGTGTTGAATTTTGGAAATTTTGTCTGATTGGAGATTGGTAAATATATGAATTCTGCGCGTTATCCATTACTGACATAGAAATTTCTGTTTTTCTCATTGGAGAAGCTGTTGTATTTAATTTTAGCACTGAAGGCGTTCCAAAAGTCAAATCTTTTGTATTATATGAAGACTGTGACTTCCTCATTTCAATATTATTCAGTTGTGCTTCAATTAATTCAGATCTTTTTACAACATAATCTAAACGTTCACAAAGATCTTGAATAGTATTATCATGCAATCCACGAGCAACAGGTCGTTGTCTAATTAGTGGTTTTGAACGCAATACTAATTTTTTTGGCTTATTACTCATGTATTTTTTTTTGAAAATTTCTTAATCATAAAAAGTGACAGTGAATTAAAAACTGACAAATTTTATCGTATTGGATTTTTTACAACACAATTTTTTTATTATTTTTTATTTTCTATGAAAAAGAATGAATATTCAATGTCTTCAAGTGATGACAGTGATGCAATAAACAAATTTGAGATCTACGAAACTAGTAAAGTACAACTGGATCCCGAAACAGAAGAAATGTTTTCATCAATGGAAAAATTTGAAGTTAATAATCATCCTTATTATGTAGAAGATAAAATTTCAGAAGAGTATTTGTATGCAATGTACAATGTGATTGACAAATTTAAAAGAAAGTTTATTTTAAGAATAATTCGACATACTCCAATTACAGAATACATAAATTGCATAGCATTACTTAAAGGAAAGTCATGTATTGCATCGGTATACGAATATCAACCACAGAATAAGAACATTTTCGTTGTTTTTGAAACTGGAAAACCCGTTGACCCAATGGAGATTCCCAAGAACCTGATAAAGAGACGTGTTAGACAGATACTTACAGCAATAAGCTCGCTAAATAGCGCACAGCTTCATTTTGCCCAGATAGAGATCGATGATTTCATAGATACGAATGGAGGCTTCCGCTTTATTAATATCGAAAACGCAATTATAGGTAAAAAGAATGCTTCTGAAAAGACTTTTGATCCAGCTGTGAAAATTATAAATGCTTTAGTTGAACCTAGACGAATTACACTAGATCCAAAGCTTTATCGCGAGATACATCAAATGGGAGAGAAAGCATCGATGACAGAAATATCAAAACTCGAAAATTTACTAAGAACAGATTTATTCCAAGATTCAGTACGAGTTAACTTTGTTTCACGTCAAAATTCAAGATCAGCTACTCCAGATCCACATACTCACATCATTAAAAAGCAGCAATCTCAAACAATAAAGCCGAAAGCAAAATTACAAAGACCATTACATGAAGAACCTGCAATTATGTTGATTAATCCGGGTCAGTTACCATCATACTCTCAATTGATCTTCTGTTGCATTGGAGCTTTTATTTGTTTGTTTATTACACTTTATATACACTTTTCTGCTGTTTCGTCAGTGTCTTTTACTAATTTGATGCTTAAATTAGTTTGGGTTGGTATTTGTTTGTGCGGAGCTTTCTCTTTTGCTGCAATGAAACAATATGGAAACTTAAATAATGCGGAATACTTTATTGAAACGGTCTCTAACCTCAGAAAATTGTTTAATCTCCTGACTGCCTATCTTTTGTTCGTTGTTGGCGCTTATGCTGTTGAATTTAATTCAATAGATGTTATTTCGGTAACTTTGACAGCTATACTACTAATTTTGCTTGTAACAAATCTTCTCGTTTAATAATACTATACATTTGTTTGTAAAAAATAATATTCAACTTCTTATATTCTTTTTTGCATAGTGTCCTGCATTTCAATGCATAGACACACAAGAAACAATATGATTTCACCATAATTGAAATATCGTTTTTGTATATTCAAATTCCATTTTTATTCAACATTTGACAGACGGGTCAGGTTATATATAAATATCATTGACAAGCTATGCCGATCTTGTCTCGTTAAGAATCATGATAAGAAATCAATGGTCTTTCTCATGCCAAATCTTGAAGTACTCCACTGGTTCGAAATCTGAGCAGATCAATCACCATTAGTTTTTAAGAGACACTAATGAAGCATAAGAGAACGCAACCAATAGCAATTGCATTTGAAAAAATTTGAAACTATCTTATCCAATCAATTTAACCAAATTTCTCTGTTGATTAGCCTGTATAGTATATATTTGCTTGATAATATGAGAAATGTAAAAAATTGAGAAATAAAAAATGCCGATACAAAAATCTAAAATAGCTTGATTTATTATTTGCAACTCATTTATCACTCTTTAAAATTGTCGTGTAAATAATGTAAAGTTTTTGATTTCACAAGAGAAATGTCTAGTTTTGTTACTGTGAAATGGATGGAGCAAAAGAAGAAAGTTGCCAAGAAAGCATTTCTTCCACCAGCACTCACTGGCTTAAAGCTCCAGCTTGCTCGACTTTTCGATATTCGCCCACCCATGAAAATAGAAGCAATATATGATCCGGATGGCAATCTTATTAACTCCATTTCAGACATAATCTCTGGCATGGAACTCATGTTCTCTACAAATCCTCCTGAACAAAATAATCAAGAATCGGATGACGAAGTTTATCTTGAAGAAGAAAAAACGCCAGAAAAGCCTCGCAACCCACCGAAATTTGTTGTTGGACCAAAGAAAATCCAGCCACCTCCTGGCCATCAAAAACCAATCATCCCTCCTCAAAGAAGACGCCGTGAGAGTGAAGAAGTTGCTACCGAAGAGGAAGAAGAATCTCATGAAGAGCAAAATAACATTCAAAAACAGCCAAAAAGCAAAAAATCTTCAATTTCTAAAGCAGATGTACCATTATCTAATAGTACATTCACTTCTCGTGCAAGCATGAGCTCACCAAAGTCCAAAGGAAACAAGAATGATCAGGAAATCGAAAATAATGCCGATGATCAGCCGAAATCTTCATTAAATAAACCAAATTCGCACGCATCGTCAAGGAGATCACTTACAGCTTCACTTAACAGCAATAAAAATAGCCTTAAACCATCAAATACGAATAATCAAACCAAATACCAAGAAATTGATGAAGAAGCCAACGAAAACATGGTTTCTGATATGGTCGAAGCCATGGAAAACACAATTTCAAGAGAAATCGACCCAGATGATGAAGATATTCCAATTTCCAACGAAGAAGGCGACGACGAATACGAAAGATCGCAAGAGAAGACTCTCGATGACGAGAACCAACTACAAAATGAAGAAGATCAGATCATTAAAGAGACAAATCGTAAAATCGAAGAATCTCCGAAGACAGAAAAAGTCGGACCACGCTACTCACCGCTAAATCCGAAATATTCTCCGAAATCTCTCAGCGGAATCTCTTCTCCTACGAAATCTTCGCCAAAGAAGGAAGAAAAGGGCCAAAAGCCAAAGCTTGAGGTCCAGAAAGACGAGAACCTCAAAGATCTCGACACAAATGAGTACTTCAACGATCAATCCGAAATGACAGAAAAATCATTTGTCGAAAAACCAAATGAAAGCAGACAGAAGTCTCCTCCAAGGAGTCTGAATCGTAATAAGTCTCCAACGAACGCAGGAAATAAGGAACAACCGCCGATGTCCTCTCCTACCGTAAATAATCCACCTCCGAACTCTTCTCCAAAGCGCACTCCTTCTTCTCAGAAAGGTATTAAGTTCTCCAATACAGAATCTGCTCTTTTGAATGTAGATTTGGCTCCAAGAGAATCTCCAAAGCCAAAAGCTCCAGAAAGAAGCGTAGTAAGCGATTCAAAGCACACAACTCCTGAAGAACTACTAGATCCATCAGAAATCGAGAAGAAACGCCTTGAAAAGCTCGGAATCAACCACGATAACATTATTCAAAGTTCCTTAGCTGCAACACGCGAAGAGATTGTCAGTGAAGATGATTTCAGACAGGCGCTTTACGCTGTATCCCCTATAATGCAAAGAGCAATGTCCGAACTCTCAAATCTCGAACAAATTCAATTGAGAGAAATTCTGAGGAGCCAATTGAAATTTTTGGGTGAACTTCCCTCTTTCTCTCAAAATTTGGAACGAAATTGTTTCGAGTTTTTGAACACGATTATGACATATTCACGCACAGGATCAGTCCAGAATGTCCACGCAGCGTTAGTTGGACCGAGATCTTCCGGAAAATCAACAGTTTTGAGAATTGTTTTCAAAAAACTTCTCAACATGATGGCAGCGAACGGAACACTCAAGCACACGTTCTGCTTCTTCATAGATGCCAAGGATTTGCTCAAAGATACAGTTCTTGACATCTATCTCACGATTGTCCGAAATACAATCGCTCAAATGGCCGCACAGAGGCTTGATTTCAGGCAACACGCAGATCTCCTCCTTGGCTACTACGAGAAGTTCCTTACTCTCGATAACATCACTCCTTTACCTCCGAAATTTGCTCTCGAAGATGATTTCAGAGGCGCAGCGTTTATTTTGCAAGAAATGAACGAGACATTGTTCACAACATTGAACAAACAGAAGGATATCGAGAGATTCATGATGAACGCCGTAGTTATTCCATTAACTTTTTCACAGGCTTTCGGATATTCGAAGATTGTGTTTGGCGTTGATCACATGGATGTTCTTGACGTAAATATGCCTGAAGCGCACTACAGTTCTCAAGTTCCTCTGATCGAATACTTTAAGATGATGATTTCCGATGGTTTCTACATTATCTCCTGCGAAGATGAAGAGAGACTCTACTCTACATTGGATTCCATCACAGAACAAGGTATCAAGCTCTTGTCTCAGACCACTTTTACCCCTATCTATGACATGGATCAAGACGATAGAAATGTAAATGATGTCACTTTTCTTCTCAATGTTGAAGGAGAAAAATCTTCAGTACAATTGAGGTTAGGAGACTGCGGAGGCTGCTCGGGATACGTTTCTAAGTGGAATGAGATCGCTACTGATGGAAAAACAATGTTCTATCAATTGCAGAAGGAAAAGAAACAAACTCGCCAAATTATGAAGATGAAACTTCAACTTTTGAAGAAATTAAGAACATTCGCTTCTACTATCTTTGAAGATAACTTCGAAAATAAGCTCAAAGACTTCGAAGTCCAAGTTAATGAAAATTAATTTTTTTATTTTTTATATATTTTTGTGTCAAGACTACTTTATGTTCAAAATACTAAACTAATTGATTTATTTGATTTAAATCTAAGTTTTTGTAATTGGAATTAAAATATTTTTGAAATTAATATTAAATTCAAATCAACAACTATTTAGTAACAAAACATATTCATTATTTCCATCAATACTCTAAATCTACAGCACAAAAAGCAACTTTTTAATCTAATTTAACTTATTTGAATTAATATTTTCCATGAAAAAGTACTTTATAAAGGCACAATGAATAGGAAGCTTCTTATTGTTCTACAACTATCATTTTACATTATCATAATATTCCTCATTTTTTTGATGTAAAAAAATTAAAAAGTTTTTTGAATTAATAACGCAACATATATATTTACAAATAATAAAACTAAAAGTTTGGAATCTTTTGAACACGTGGGTATGTTCTAACACGTCTAAGGCAAAATGAATTCCTTGGAACTGCAACATTAGGACTATTAAGCTTGGGCTTTATTACAAACTGTGTCTTGTTAAGATAGTTCTTTGAAACTCCAATCTTACCTAATGATTGTTCAAACTTCTTAAAATAATTCATAATAAGAAGTTGATCAGGAGTTGGGCGGCATTCAGGGTCTAAATCAAGGCACTGTGCAATTAATATCTTCAAATCATTATCTTCAACAAGTTGAATATTGTAATCACAGTTTTCAATCTTGCTAACGATTTCTCCAATATTTCTTCCATGGAATGGAAGCATTCCTGTAGCAATAACATATAATGTTACACCCATTGCCCAAATATCTGCTTTCATTGGATTGTATTCGTATGGCTTGAAAATTTCAGGAGCCATGAACATTGGAGTTCCTTTTACGCATGATGCTGTTGGCTTGTCTCTAAATATTGTTGAGAGACCAAAATCTCCGATCTTTATTCTTCCATATGTATCAATTAAGAAATTAGATGGTTTGAGATCACAATGAGCAATGTTTTTATCATGACAAGCTTTTACAGCAGTAATAACACCACGGATATAGCTTTGGAGTTCAATTCCCTTTGGCGGAGTTTCCTTTCCAAGGAATTTTGATAGATCTCCAACACAATGTTCCATCAACATATAGATGTGATTGTCAAAAACATAATTGTTATAGAGCCTGACAATCCTTGGATCATCTATTTCCATGAGACAATCAACTTCAGACATCTTAAAACGGTTGCTAGGAATCTTCTTTCATGCAAACTCTGATTTAAAATGGCTAGAGTAGACATGGAATACTTCACCATATGCGCCCTGGGCGATAGTCTTGATGAACTGAATGTCGTTCTCTTTGAAGTATTCAAGTTCTGCGGGATTCATTAAAAAATATAAAGTGTTTTATAGATTTGACTTTTTGATGGAAGTATTCAAAAGTATTAAAATGATAGTAGTGGAAAAACATACTTAAGCATTAATTCAACTAATTTTTCGAAATTGAATATTACTTGAAAAAATTGTGAACTAAAAAATTGAGGTGATATATCGAGATTGTGAAAAAATATTATATCAAGGAAATAATAGATAGATGGCTATTGTAGATTATTGGAAATTTTGATATCATAATTTTGAATGACGCTATGTAATAATTTTTGAAAGGTTTATTGAAAAAAATTGAAGTGAATTTTTTTGGGGTAAATGATCAATGATGAGATAAAATAGTATAGATATAATATAACAAATAAAAAATGTTTTAATGATAGAATATTCACAAGATAATGCGGCCATTATTATTAGAAATGAGTATACACTTTAATTTTAGTTTTGAAATTGGTCTGAGCATCTGAACTCAGAAATTTTGTGTTTGAGTTTCAAAGATATTTCAATGAACTGTTGAGACACCAGAAAATGGTTGTATTGGATTCCGATAGTGTAAATCACATCATATTTTAAAGAAGCGTTATAAAGAATTTGGAATAAAAATTTTTTGATATGTCAAATCACTTGATCCTCAAGTTGATGAAAAGATGATATGCTGGAGTATATCATAACAAATTTAAATTAATCCATGGCTCTCAAAATAAGTATCCGCAGTTCACAAATTGCAAATTCAATTACTTTTGTTAATTGAAGTGAAAAATACAAAACATCATTTAACAACTGTATGTGATTATATAAGTATATTTTCTAAATATAAATATTTAAAATTTTTATAAAATAAGAAAATTTTAATAAAATTGAAAATCCTGTATATTTCTTATTTTTTATTTTTTCAATTATTCGCGGTTATGGTCTCAAATAAATTCCAATCGCAAAATTGAATAAAATATCGAAATTTTTCAATACTATTGAATTCCTGCCTCTAAATAAATTCACATTAAAATATCATTTGTTGTTTTAATCACTTTTTATTAAAACATAAAATTTTGCTACTAAACTGTTATTACAGATCTTGAAATTTTGATGTTCTCCATGAAACTATGCTCGTATATTGATGTACAATCAATATCTTTACTTTTTATACTTTTTTATTCTATTTTTTAATACTCGCAAATTTTGAAAAGCCATTCGTCACGAGACTTCATAACATATTGATTACAAATAGCAATATAAGATATTTTTATATCTGAATTTGTTTTAGTCTTTTCGGATCTCATTCTCTGAGTTAACTCTTCAATTATCTCAAATTCTATCTGATATATAGACACATTGTAGGGGATATTTCTTTATTGGATGACACATGCTTTAATTTTTTCAATAAATCTTAATTATGAGCAATTATTTTGAAAAAGTTCATCCTTTTCCTTGCTATTCAGCAACATTGAATTTCTTATTGAATGCCAAAATTCAATTTACCTAACTTTTCCCGACAATGTCTCAAAAGCCTTTATTGTAAATAAAAAATCCTTAAACTATAAAAATAATTTCCATATTTCATTGCATACTTCCAATGCTTTATTTTTCTTTTCTTTCAATTTAATTTCAATGCTTTGAAACCGCACACGTATATTTTCTTTATAATCGGTTTATTTATATACTTCCTATTCTATTATCCATTTTTATGTGATTTTGCTTTCTTTCAATTTTTTCTGTGAGTTTGAATGATCAGTTATAATTTTTTAAAAACAAAGAATTTCCTTTTAACATATATCATTATGAATAACTGTTTCCCGGTCATAAATTTTTGATATTACACTATCTTTCAAATCTTTGTGACAATAAATATTTTAGTAAAATTTTTTATAAATTTAATCTATCACATAGAACCCTACTAAAAATACATTTTTGTTAAAATTTGAATGCCTCAGAAAAATCTTTAAATCATTATTTTCATTCTCAATTTAAAATCTTATGAGTGATAAACCATCAGAGATAGCCCAAAAATACCCACGCACCATTGGCAAGTACAGGATTCTTAAAACAATTGGAAAGGGTTCATATGCAACCGTTGTTTCAGCATTTGATACTAAATTAAAACAAACCGTAGCAATAAAGATGTTAATCGCGAATTCATCACAAAGTGTCACATGGTTACATTTCTTAAAACCGAACTTCGACTTGGCGCTCGATTTGATCATCCAAACATCATCAAACTTTATGAAATTCTCTATGAACCGGAAGCAATTATGATAGTTATGGAATATCTACCTAATAGTGACCTTCAGACAATCCTAGAAAGAGGTGTTCAGTTTACGATTTATGAACAAGTTCGTATATTTAAAGAAATTGTACTCGGATTGAACTATCTCCACAAAAGAGGAATATCACACCGTGATATTAAACCAGAAAATATTCTTTTCGATGAAAACTATCATCCAAAAATAATCGACTTTGGATTCTCTCGTGAAAACTGCTCAAAACTTAATACATATTGTGGAACACCATTCTTTGTAGCCCCTGAAGTCATTACTTCGGATCAATATGACGGTACAAAAGCAGATTTATGGTCACTTGCAGTAACAATGCATATTATGAACACAGGCAAGTTCCCATGGAGATACCGTAGTGATGTACAGCTTATTAAGGATATGCAGTTTGGCAGATTGGAAATTCATAACGAAGCCAAAGGATTAATAGGTCTGATCATCGGCAAACTATTAACATTCGATCCAGCAGACAGACCAACAACAGACGATATCCTCAACATGTTCGCAGAGCACGAGCAAATTCATCAAACTAAAAATGAGCTTCCTCATGTTGCTCTTCAAGGAGGATCTCTTCCAAAGATACAAACAAATAATATTTCATTAAATAGTACATCGAAAAAGTCAAGGTTGTTCAGATCGAACATTGCTTTCAAACACCTTCATAAATCTATGGATTCATTATAATTGTTTATATGTATGCGATTAAATATTGTTGTTTATTTAGAATTTTTACGATCTTTTTGATCGATCAAAAATTTAGTCGATGACATTTTTTTCCTCTATCGTCTTATTGGAAAAATTCGACTTTTTTTCTCGAACTTTTTGAAAGAAATTCCACAGATTTTTGAGTTACTTGATATTCGATCGATTCGTACCTACACATCGAATATACCCTATTCAACCCATTAAATACTCTTTTTTCAAAATTATTTCAAAAATATATGAATCAATGAATAAATACAAAGCTATTTTTAATCATTTCAAACATAAACAATTAATATTTATCTATATTAAATAGGTTCTAAACGAATATAAAAATATATTTGATAAAATTGAAAAATAACTAGCAGTAGCTCATCGACTGATCAATTATTCTTTGAACTTTTCGTGCAAATTCTTTTTTATCTGTTAAATATATCCTCGTGGCTTCTTCGTTTTCATTATAGTCTATATTTGGCTCTTACATAATCGAATGTATGAAACTAACAATTCCGCATATATTGATTCCCTGTAAAACAGGATCTTCAAAATTATCTAATCTTATAAAACCTAAACTATCAACATTTGGATGAAACATTGGGCAAATAAACATTATTTTAGGGAGCTTATCTGGAAATCCATCTGAAAAATCGAATAATAATGGAAAAACTCCTCCTTCATAAGGAGAACCTGTAAATCCAGCGATAACTACAGTCCATCTATATATATCAGGAGTCATTTCGATTGATTCAACTCCAGGTGTCCGCTCTAACTCGAGAAACTGGCTGTGAAGCAGTGCCTCGATATCATTCATTATAAAATTTCCCTTAAAAATGATGTGAGATGATGAAAACATATAGAATTCAGTAATTATTAATAATTTATAATTTTTATTCATCCGGCCAATTTCCATAAAAGAGTCACTTTTTGTCTGAGAAAACAATTGAGCTTGGAAATGCAATATAAAGGGCACAATAGGATGTAATCCAACTATTCACTATAATTTATCGTTTTTATTCAAATCTGCCGGATTTTTATAATATATCCGATTGTAAACAATATTTGTGTAAAATTGAGCATTGTAACGGGTAGATTTTTAAATTATACTAGAATTGAACAGCCAGCTCTTAAAGCTGAGATATATCATATGAACTGGAACCAACATATGTATTCAATATCCAAAAAAGGTGATTTATACATCCGAGTAAGTTTATTTAAAATACAAATGCTGTGGCTTAACATCAATAACAGAATTCCTTATTGCTAGTGGAACATCAGTTTCTCCGGCTGCTGACAAGAGCAGAGGGAATAATTCTTTGATTAGGACTCGATCCTGGTTATTGCCTTCCCAAGGTTCCACTCCTATTGTATTGACTGGAAAAGCCAGAGCCGTCCCTAAGCTGTCGTCGACAAGAACAACTTGCTTTAGGGGTCTATCGATCTTGTTAAGATCCTTTATTGCATAGCCTTGTGCAAACAGGCATGAATCTCTATATAGGCAATTCTCCTTCTTTACGTATGGAGCAATATGCCGAATGATTGACTCCGAGTACTCTCTTCTCGATACTGTAAAGAAAAATATTTCATAATACTTCGATATTTTTTCAAGAAATTCATAAGTCCCAGGTCTCACATGTACAAAATACTTTTTACGCCCCACATCACACTCAAACTCATGTTGTCTAGTTGGAAGTTCAGTGGAGAATATCAAAGTATTGTCCAAATCAATAACGAGGCTTGGAAGCTTATGGACATATCCTGAAAATGTGCCTGCCATAAAATATTTGAACCAAGATGTTAGGCATCCGATTTTATTCATTAATGAAGAATCCCATTCAATTTTTCTGAGGACGAGATTTTGGAATTATGGGAAATATAATCGGTAAAGCTGTTTTTATGGATAAGTCTGTAGAAATGAATACACAACAATATTTATGTGTTTCGGAATTAATGATTTTTTTGAGATTGATTACTTGCCAAAAATTCAATTAGAGAGAAACAAATTATTCCACACAAGGAATCCATTATATCCATTTGTTAAAAATCCTTTCAATTTAACTTTTTTTATTCAAAATTGTAAAGATCATTCAATCTTATTTATCTGCTTTGCATTCTATATAGAACAGTATAACAATTAATAAAATCCTATTTTTGGTTCAAAATTTTGACCTTTACATGACAAATGTGATTCTCCAACGAACATCCAATTAACAATAATTAATTCGAATCAATCAGGTATGCATTCACTGCATTCGATCTTTTAATTTCATATTAACAACTCCTAATCATATTGAATCTCACTTGGAGCAAATTCCTGAGCAGTAATATCCTGAAGTGATTGGTATTTATATACAAAGTAATTTCAATTAATTATCCATTGCATCGATTGTAATGTCTTTCATTTTATCTTCAATTCTTGAATTCAATTGATTAATATTATTATCCATCATATTTTGCGCTCTATCAAAATATAAAACAAGTCAAAGGAGCAGTTTAACTATATAAAATGCAACCATATCTCATTTGGCACCCAAATTATTTATTTTGAACATTGAAATCAATTATTTGACAAACAAACTAACAACTTACAATTATATTGGAGTGTCGATTACCAATTTACATTATCTGCTCTTTTAATGTAGAAATCTCATTGATAAAGTATAATGTGGATTTATATATAAAAAGATCAATTAAAAGGATAATCCGTTTATAATCAGCAATCTGGAGCTATTGTTTAAATTTTATTTTTCAATCTTTTGCAAAATGTCAATTTACAAATGCAAATCATCAATATATCAACAGTTATATTAGTGTATTAACTTTTAATTAGCTTTTCTTATATTGTTGTAAACAGAAATTCATCAAAAGTGACACCTCAGAAAAGCTAAAATATTGAATTTTTGGAACTTTTGATAGAGCACGTTTTTAAATATTAATTAAAGTAAATGTATATTTTGTAAAGATTCTTTTTAATAAAAAAATAAAATTTTGAAGAAGAACACAAAATCTTCTGAAAAATAATATCACATAAACTCATATTATTTTCTAATATATAACTATTTTATATAAAAATCAAATTCAATGATCTTAAAAGCGAAGGATAAACCTCAAAATTTACGAATATAATGAGTGGGAATATAATGCTTATCTATCATAAAACCATATGAAATATCAATTTTTGCTTTACGCCTAATTTTTGACGACAATTAGCAAAAAAATGTTAAATGTTAACACTCAGTCCATTTGAATATGAAAAATAAAATTGACTTTGATTAAATGTTTTTATTTATCATGCAATTCTTCTTGCGACCAAAGATTTGAATAAAAGTTCAAAAAATAAGATAGCTTAAAAATAAATACGGTAGTGTTACTAATAGATGAATAGTATATAAATTCTATTAAAATGGATTTGATCCAAAAAAATATAAACCAAAATAATTGTTATAATTTAAATGAAGAAGTAATTTAAACGATTTTATTTATGATCAAATTTTATATATTTTTTTGGATCAAATCCATTTTAATAGAATTTATATACTATTCATCTATTAGTAAACACTACGTATTATTTTTTAAGCTATCTTATTTTTTTGAACTTTTATTCAAATCTTTGGTCGCAAGAAGAATTGCATGATAAATAAAAACATTTAATCAAAGTCAATTTTATTTTTCATATTCAAATGGACTGAGTGTTAACATTAACATTTTTTGTAATTGTCGTCAAAAATTAGGCGTAAAGCAAAATTGATATTTCATATGGTTTATGATAGATAAGCATTATATTCCCACTCATTATATTCGTAAAATTTTGAGGTTTATCCTTGGCAAACCCAAATTTTAGCTAAAAGTGACAGGAAAAAAAAACGTTTAGTATTAAAAAAAAGACGTGAGAGCTTCGTTCGAAATATAGAGGGAACTGAGAATGCGCAACCATTCTCAGGGAATATTGGATGCTATTCCCGTTCCCTCTGTATGGAAAATTGAGGTTTTCAAAGGGAGTTAAAATAATATCAAATTTATACTAATTTACTTCAAATACAAAAGTTATTTGACAGCTAAAATTAGTTACTTTAGCAAGCCTATCAATACCCTTTTACGATTATTGTTACTTTTTCGAAATAAAAGTAAAAAACAATTTATACTAATTTACTTCAAATACAAAAGTATTTGACAGCTAAAATTAGTTACTTTAGCAAGCCTATCAATACCCTTTTACGATTATTGTTACTTTTCGAATAAAAGTAAAAACAAATTTATACTAATTTACTTCAAAATACAAAAGTATTTGACAGCTAAAATTAGTTACTTTAGCAAGCCTATCAATACCCTTTTACGATTATTGTTACTTTTTCGAAATAAAAAGTAAAAACAAATTTATACTAATTTACTTCAAAATACAAAAGTATTTGACAGCTAAAATTAGTTACTTTAGCAAGGCCTATCAATACCCTTTTTAGATTATTGCTACTTTTTCGAAAATAAAAGTAAAAACAAATTATATACTAATTTACTTCAAAATACAAAAGTATTTGACAGCTAAAATTAGTTACTTTAGCAAGCTATCAATACCCTTTTACGATTATTGCTACTTTTTCGAAATAAAAGTAAAAACAAATTTATACTAATTTACTTCAAATACAAAAGTATTTGACAGCTAAAATTAGTTTACTTTAGGCAAGCCTATTCAATACCCTTTTACGATTATTGCTACTTTTTCGAAATAAAATAAATTTATTATCAAAAACCTTTTTTTCTTAGTAAAAATAAACGAAATTTTTTACCTTATGAACTTTTGATGGAAATATGCAAATTTAAAATAATAAAGAAAGCCGCGAGCGAAGCGATCGGCTTAGTTCGAAGATTTTGATTCAAATCTTTGCTGATCTGTAATTCGCGGAAGCCGCGAGCGAATCGAGCGGCTTAGGTCTAAGATTTTGATTCAAATCTTTGCTTATATTCCTTAAATTCTTTATGAAACTCGCAACAGTTCCATAAAAAATTTTAAATTCTAAACTGTCGAAATTACCGATCGGTAATCACACCCTTCACGGGTGTGTCACTTTTTACAAGTGTGTCACTTTTAGCTAAAATTACCCCTACTCTTTTTCAGAAGATTTCATTCTATATGCCTATGAAAAGTACTCTCAAAACTAACTTTTTCCTAATTATAATTAAATCTAGAATATTGTATTATGCTTAGTATTATTTCATTTTTCTCATTCAATTTAGAATTTACAAATGTCAAAAAATTGAGAGCTGTCACTTTTGATGAATTTCTGTTTATTACAATATTAATTTTTATTTCTTGATATCATATTTTGTTCACTAAAAAGGAAAGGCAAAAACAATTCAATAATACATACACAGAAGCATTCTATCACGCAACCACCCGATGCTAACTCACGCCACACATACACAGAAGCATTCTATCACGCAACCACCCGATGCTAACTCACGCCACACATACACAGAAGCATTCTATCACGCAACCACCCGATGCTAACTCACGCCACACATACACAGAAGCATTCTATCACGCAACCACCCGATGCTAACTCACGCCACACATACACAGAAGCATTCTATCACGCAACCACCCGATGCTAACTCACGCCACACATACACAGAAGCATTCTATCACGCAACCACCCGATGCTAACTCACGCCACACATACACAGAAGCATTCTATCACGCAACCACCCGATGCTAACTCACGCCACACATACACAGAAGCATTCTATCACGCAACCACCCGATGCTAACTCACGCCACACATACACAGAAGCATTCTATCACGCAACCACCCGATGCTAACTCACGCCACACATACACAGAAGCATTCTATCACGCAACCACCCGATGCTAACTCACGCCACACATACACAGAAGCATTCTATCACGCAACCACCCGATGCTAACTCACGCCACACATACACAGAAGCATTCTATCACGCAACCACCCGATGCTAACTCACGCCACACATACACAGAAGCATTCTATCACGAATCCACCCAATTTGACATTAATTTTTATTAATCTTATTTTCATTACTATATGCAACCAACCAATTTGACATTAATTTTTATTAATATATTTTTCATTACTATATGCAACCACCCAATTTGAAATTAATATTCATAAATATATTTATCAAACTTATATGCACCCAACGAATTTTCAAATTCCTATCAACCACTTCTTTATTTTTATATTTTACCATTCTCTTATATACAAATTTAATACAAAGTTTTTATTCACTCATCATCTCTACTTCTTTATTATCTTCATTCTCATTCTAGCAGCTCTCGCATCTTTTACTTCCTTCATTAATTCAGGCAAGTATTTTTCCAACCAAATTTCTGGTTTATTTTGTAATGCAGATTCATAATTTTTTGATTGTTTTTCCAGAGAATTGATTAAATCTTTGGCATCTTGGAACGTTTCAAGATTATAAAGCAGTTTTACGACTAAAACTGCTTTATTTTTATCGTCAATATCAATAAATTCTGCGTATTTTGATATTTCGATCGGCGAACTCTTTTCTTTGTGATCCACGAGTTCATCCTGATCACCTACATTTTTATCGATTGGGAATTCTATGATTTCACCTACGTTTTCTCCTATTTTCATAACATGTATGCCTGCAGAGGGAACATGACTCTTATTCATAAAGAAATCCTTGCAATATTTACAAGGATTCTTATCAGTATTAATATCATTATAGGAGAATCCGCAATGTATGCATTTTTCGTTTAACAAGTCATTCTTCTCGCGT